GGTGCCGCATCGCGCGTTCTCGCGGCGCGACGCAAAAAGCACGACGCACGTCGGAGAAACTGTAACGAGGGTCGGACGGAAAGCTAGTCGACGGTATCATTTGACGCAATAAATCCCCGGCCGATTCGCGTTGGAGCGTTATCCGCCGCGTGATCAGCTGTAGCTCGAGCGCGCGCTTCTTTCTGAACCGCATCGAAGCCGCATCCGCAGAAATTTATACGCGCGTGATAAATGCGAAAATCACGCGTATTCTCGAAATACGAGACGCTGCTGGCTGCAATTTTCAAAATCGGGCTCGTTTTTCAGCGTCGCACAAGGAATTCCTGGATTTAATTAATTTGTCTTCGTAAAGAGAGACAGTTAATCACTTTCATGGCGCGACGTTACCGATTATCATGCGTTTTATACATGCAAAGTATTGGCATTTTTCTCGTGTTACTATTATTAGTATGCGCCGCCTCGGCGGCAATTTAATCACACTTATGTCGCATGTTTGAATTATATGAGATGTTTGCGATAATTTATTAGGGTTGACCGGTAATTGCCACTCGTCCCATTTTTATCCAAATCGATGCGCCAACCTCGGACTAACACACGCGCGCACGAGCATTCGATAAATGCTCAGGAGCACGCAATTCAATGATGCAATGTTGCGATTTTTCTTCGGCCCGTTGCCTTTATACGACGTCGATGAAAGCTTTCTTAAATCAACCAAAAATCATCGATCATGCAATTCTACCCTCCGGCAGAATCCGTTCTTCGAAAAAAATCCAAGGTGGTCTCGAAGTAGGTGGTATTCGAAAAATTCTTTGAAACTAGGCTTGCATAAGACCCAAGACAAAACAATATTCATAAAAAAAGATCGTATTAATATTGAAATTTTATTTCGCATTGACATATGTGATTTCAAATTTAACAAAATTTAGTAAATTATGATTATCAATGTGAATTATGATTATCAAATTAAGATTTTTTTATTTATAAAAATTATAAAAATATTGTAAACCTTTTTTATCATTATCAATGTGAAAACAATAAATTATCGATTATGCTAATACATTTCACACTTTCATTATAATTTCGTACTATTAAGTTCGCACGTTAAGTTAACATCGTCGATCATGTTCTCCATATTTGAGTTCCATCATCGTACTCTGAAAGAAATTACGTTGCAACGGCAATAATTTTCGATCGACAAGCCATGACAGAATTCTCATTTTTAAACATATACATGCGAAAGAGAGTGAGTTTCGCTGAGCATCCAGCAAAGTATCATGTATAAAACCAATTTTGGAGAAATCAAATCATGTAATCGTTTTTATATTTCCATCAAAATTCAATTAGTATTATATATTGTACTCTTTATTATTTATATAATTATTATCCTTCTCTTTTTAATTTTAAATTGCAATATTAAATATTGTATTCATCAGCAGCAGAATTTTTTTAGTTATAAATATTTTAAAAAATAAAAATATATGAAGAAGATTAAATGTTTAAAGCCTTTTTAGCAAATCTGCTTTTGATTCTATGACTTCCAAGTACAATTTTGCTTATTCGCATATTCGCGAATGAACATTAAATGCGTTCCATCTGTCTGAGTTGGTAGATTAATCGTCATTGACAGAATGCCCGAGCCGGTTTGAGTATAATAAGCGAGTGAGTCGCTCAAATAAAAATGATTTACACCGAGCGCGATATGTCGACGAGATAGCGGCGACGTGGATTGAATTCAGATGAGACTCCCTGCAAACGGCCCTAGGAGATTATACTCGGTGTCCTTCGCGAGAGCTCTCTCCAGTGATGATCTTAAATTAGCCCGATCTCAATCACGCCATTATCACAGCAAACTCATTCGTAAATGCGATAATAACGTTTTTGTGATTTGTTACAGCTGTCCATATTTTTATGTTATTTCTTTGGATGTCGCTGATAAAATCAGAATACATTATATTTGCAGTTTTATGAAGGAAATATAAAGTTATAAAGAGATATAGATTAGCAAAAATATATCTATTTGCTTGAGTTATTAAAGCCACAAGAAACTTTAGTTAATTGAAACTAGTTAATTCAATCTTTATCTCAAGGTTACATGAATGAATAATTTAGTAACTCATACTCCGTGACGGTGATGTACATATTAATTTACTCCGGTCAAAAAATACCAATTTAATTTCGCACGGACACGTTGGTTATAAAGCTATGTCTTGTAAAATGTCAGACGCAGTATACAAATAATATGACACGTGTTTTGCAAATGCCAGAGCGGTCGTTTCAGCCAGCGAGGCGAAAGAACGGACATTCCGGCAGGCGAATTATGTTAAGAACGAGCTCAATCGAGAGTATGTGGCGCACCACTTAGGCATATAATTATGCACCCCGGGAATTCCAATTAAATCTGATAATCCAGCGCTTATAACCGGCATAATTACGTTAACGCAAAGTGCCGTGACCGCTGCTGTCATCGCAGAGAGAGAGAGAAAGAGACGTGGAGTGTGACAGGCGCCAAGTGCATTGGCCACACTTGCACCCCGCGGCGCGCAAAATGCCGGATCAAAGAGATCGAGACGATCGAGAGAGGGAGAGAGAAAGAAAAAAGAAACATTGATGCTGGGCGAAAAATAAATCGCCGCGAAATTCTGCACGCGGTGCTACCGGATACGCATCTCGACGGAGAGATTCGTTAACGGCCTCTCGCACCAAGAACCGCGACCATCCCCATGATATTCTCCCTATTTTCGTTCTCTTCGCTCTCTTCGACGCAGTGCAGCGATTATCGATTATACGTATGAAATGATGAGAGAATGTGCAAACTTTGAACGCGAAGAAAAGCTCACCAAATAGCGCCGTAGGAAACGTCAACTCGGATGTTGATTAATTCTCATCGAGGGTACAGATCTTTCGTGAAAACACGTTATTCTTGTTCTCGCACGATGGACTGATGTGTGTGCTTTCGTCATGTTATTAATCTTTCACTTGTTTAAAACGGATATTTGCGTGTTCTTTTACGAAGGCAGGTTTTCGCTTTATTACAGACATGAATTATACATGCGAGATATATAAGCGCGAAGGTAATCATTACTCCATGGGATGCACTTTAGCTTGTCGTCTTGTTATCATCATTATTTCTTTCGCATAAATGTGTATTGTCGATATCTCGAAGTAATTGGATACTTAACACCTGGAAAACTTTATAACCGCACATCTAAACTTTCATTTTCCCATCGTACTTCCATTCTATGCGGATAGATTCGGATGAAGTTTTATCGTTCGCAGAAAGTTGGAACCCTGCTTCCGGCGTGTTCTCGATTTTGTTACTTTATATCTACAGCTGGGTTCGCGCCTTTTTATCCTCAACATTGTTACCCAAGTTCGCCAGTGAGTTAAATAAACTTCTTACCATTGCTCGCTCGTTTCCTTGTTGCTTTTCTTTTTATTCGAAATAGATTCAGCTACCAGAAGCTTTCACGCCATTAATAGGTACCTAGTAAGATTTTATCAACATGTTGGAAAACTTAACAATATATACAGAATACTTTCAGGCTTCATATAATATCATTTTTAATAATTAAACTAACGTTAAAATGTTTTTTTATGTAGCTTTAAATTTTACATCGTGTGTAAGATAGTTATTAATTAATATATAAATAGATATCCAATTTATTTTTTATTCAAATTTTTTTCCGAATATTATAAAATCTTAAAATTTTTCAAAATATAATTAGAAAGCTGTTTCGTAGAATTTTCAGCTATCATCGAAACACGAAATACCATTCATTCATATATCCTTTCTCTTTCGCTCAAAAGTGTTGCATCAATTTACGATTAATCTGTGTTATGTCATGAGTTGAGTAATTTGCGCGCCTTAGATGACGTAATTCTTGTGGTAGGTTAGCCCCATGTCACGCGGTCACCGGGGAAAAAGACTCCTTCGAAATTACGCCCTAAAGAAAGTAGCCGAGATGCCGGAGGAGTTCAAGTAATTATGGCGTGGACTTTCAGAAACCCTTGTTACAAGTTTGACAATTGCGACAATCCAATGAATCTCCGGAATAATGCTTCGAATAAATGTTGCACCGACCTAGTCGTAAATTATGAAATCGACTTTACTAAAAAAACTTATTATAGAACGATTTGTTCCTGACATGGATTTCATAAAAGATATATTACAAAAATATTTATATTAACGCAAGGATTGTCTTGTTTTGACATATAATAATGATACATCTTTTATTGAGATATAAATTAAAAATTCATAAATTAGATTTAAAATTTTTCAAAATTAAAGGGATCGAATTATATCATCCTTTCCATTTTTTGTATTCGTTCATTTCGTATGATATAAATGGCATAATTGTTATAAACACTTCAATTATAAATACTCCTAATATCCTAGAAACTGAGCAATTAACTCTTAAATGACATGATGCGTTGGTTGAAAAAAGAATGGACGATTCTTAACTCGTTACGATTCATACTCGAGAGCAACGTCAACAATTTATAGCTGACGGTTGTTCCTCTAACAAGCTCCTCGATTTTCCGGGGCTCGTAGAATTATAGTTTACGCGGGTGCCCGCAGATATTCCTACACAAGAAGAATTTGAGAAAATTTATTTGCGGCTTAACTTGTTTTCTCTACGAGAGCTGTTGCTATTCAAATCTAGAATATTTATAATTTATCAATATATAATTTTTTTTATTAATATTTATCACTATATAATTTTAATTTATGTACTCAAAGTTAATTAAGTACAAACAATTTGAAGAAAGTTTGAAAATATGATTTCCAAATTATGTGTTCTATATTTATTAATTTAATTCTCTATAACTCTCTATAATTCTCTCTATTTATTAATATAATTTAAAAAAAATTAAAACTGATAATGGCAATAGAATTGCGAAATAAAATATATATTTGATATAAAACTTGTATACTCTAAAATATATATTCCTTTTTCAGTTGTTGTCATTATTTTATTTGGGCACGTGTTTTCTTTTAGAAGGCCGTGAGACTCCACTGTCACCGCCGCCCCCTTCGAGTTCTTCGGTTCAGACTTCACCTCGTGGCTTGGGTTACACGTGTGGTCCCATAGATGGATCGTTGTACGCTGTGGTACATCAGGGTGGTGCAGGAGGCGCCCGCGGCTCGCCATTGACGGTTTCCATGGATAGTGGCATAAGTAGTGCACCACCGCAAAAACCCAGTCCACCAGAACCTGAGCCGGACAATCAAGCTCACGGAGATCTCGATAAACTTCTTCATGATATGATGCTTACCGTCGAGGTAGGATAATTATTGATAATTATATGTATAATGTAGATAATTATTATTGCATTTGTATGTAGAAAAATTAAGAGAAATAAAGATTGAAAAAGAGATGCGCCACTTAGATTACGAAATTTTCTCATAGTCTATGCCAGACCCTCCGACAGATGACTACAACCGTGATCGAAGCGAAAAGATGTACATTCAAGAAACACGCAGCTATAGCAGTCACGGTAGCAGCCATCCGACGTCTACTTATTCTACTTTGAAGGACTCTTATAGAAGTTACAGCAAGGAATCCAGTCCGCCCTACAATTCCAGCAGCAGCTACAGCACCCTAAAGAACAGTATCGAGCATCGGAGGGACGATTTTGAGTATCGTGTGTCTCCAGACCGCAAGATATCCGAGTCTTCCGATTCTTATAGGAAACACGCGGATTCCTTCTCGCCGCCCGGCAATATCGACTTCATCGACGAGGATATCCCGTATCACGCTAGACAGACCAGTCAGCCATTCTCGTACGGTGCCACCACCGACATGATCAAGCATCAGAAACTGTCATCACCTTCATTAGTGAGGAAAGCATCTGTGCGCGGCGTGGCGCCCGTCGTAGATTTCGAAGACATTCTTGGCGAGAATTCTAGAAGACCCATCAGCCCTCTGAGTCCTAATACTCCGGATCCGCCCCCGGAGTTCGCGAACGGACCCGTAAAGAGTGGAACCGATCACATTGATGGGTAAGTGATCTTTTGTCTTAAAAAAAACTTATGTATTTATAAATCTATTTGCGGCAAAGTTACTTTCCTATATTTAAGATTCCATCAAGTATTTTAAGACTAATAGAGAGCAGAATATTCTTGCTCCGTTAATTATGCCTAAAATTATGTCGCGTTTACGCAACATAATTTACTTTATCCTCTCTGCGAAACATCATTAACTCTATTCGCTTTTACCTCTCTCTCTCTCTGTCAACATTTCTAAGAGAAATTTACAGCCTTCGTTTCTCGCGACACACGATACCTACTCATTCTGTCAACGACCGAAAACGGTTTCCTCGCGGCAAATAAATAGCGATGTTGCAAAAGCAGAGATTAGACTAGGTTTCCGTGAACGTCGGCAGGGGAAATCGCGAGTGGGCCGTACTTCTGGCAAAGCTTCCAGACGATCGTCGGCCTGTACAATGTCGCAATGCATTGTCCAAATGGGGCACCGTAAAAGAAACGTACCCGCGCTTGAGAGAAAGACAGAAGATGGGAAAAGAAAGAGAGAGAGATGGCAAAAAAATTCATCAATCGTGGACAATTGTCGACTTATATATGGTTAAAACACGGTACTTTTGCCGCGAATGGTAAATGCGGTCGCCGTGAGTCATTCTCGTTAGTAACGTGAATAAACGAGGATATCTTACATCTCCGTTGATGGTCGATAGCATCTCACGAATGACGTGGATCTCAAAACGCAAGTTGCTAAGTGCAGTCAATGAAACTGCACAAAGTGCTAATTTAACGTTAATTGATTGCAGGAATTTAGCGCGAATAAACAGAATTTGTGTGCGATATGAAACTTATTGCTCATTAACAGTACTTATTATTTAGGTCTATTACAATTATTTTAGTAAGTTGAAATTTCTATCAATTAAAAATTTGTTCCATAAGCGTACCTTAATAAATATAGACAAATCACATATTTAAAAATGATACAAAAATTAATTGTAACGCGTACAAATCAGTTATTTTATTTTGTTTAAAATTGTTACTTTTCAAATTATTTTGTTTAAAATTGTTACTTTTCAAATTAAAAAGGTTTTTGTTAAATTTGCATTAATTTTTTACACACACAGATATATATATATATAATATGATGTAAGTACAATTAACGTTAAAAGAGCACGCTGATCATTATTTCGAAAAAGAATCGCGTTTCGTAAACATAAACGCATCCTATAAATATACAGTTACTATAATATATATATAACGCCATTCACCTCGAAGTCATCAATTTTTTACCGAGACTTTCGCGGTTCAGTCCCGCCCTGTACATTTTGCGAATAAGATGCCGCACCCGAATGGAAGAGAAAGCACTCATGATCATATTAAACGAGCCTGTTAACTCTGTTCGGTACGACGCGACTATAAAGTGATATGTATATCGATTCACGCTGTCACTCTTTCACTGCGGTATAATAAAACATGTCAAATTGAGAAAACCGATGTCATTACGCGAACAATTTTGCAATTTTTTACAAACTGCAGAAAAATGTTTTTCATTTCCAAATTATAAATTTAAATGTCTATCTGTTTAAAAATGAATTTTTCTGAAGAGAGAATTATATATAATTACTATTTATCTTGTAAATCTATGTTTTTAATATTATTTTTAATAAAATATTATTATAGATTTTATTTTTAAACATAAATTTTTTAATAATATTAAACATATTATTCAGTTTATGAAAACTCGCACTCTTTAAAATTCTCAATTATCAAACTCTTTTCAATCTCTTATTTTTTTTAATCACCCAACCATAGAGAGTCTTATAAAACGTGGAATTACGAAGGATGGATGGTAGCTCGTTAAATAGGACGAGCCAAATATCCATGCCGTAAAATTCGTGGCATCATATTGCGCACCGCACGAAACACCGTGAAAATAAACGCACGACTTCCCTTCGCGAGAGAAACGATTTTGCGCTAGGCGCGAACAACCGTAAGATTTCATGCGGTTATTTACGAAGAGATACTTCTTGACCTAGACAGGAAACAGACGACGTTTATGGTTGAAGGGATCGACGGACGTTCGGCAGGTCCGCTTTCTTATGGACAAAGGAAATGGCAGTCTTAGCCATGAGAACATCGGAGATCTTTGCTTTATTCCTTACCAATCCCCTCCTATCTCTCAATCATCTTTCTTTAAATAAAACGAGATGTTGTAATATGGTGTTATTTAATGAATTGAAACATGAACATTTTAGAAATTCTTAAGATCGTAATATTGCGACAATTATATCGTCGAAGAAAAATACGATGAAGCTTAAGAGATAAAGGGAATTATCTATTTTTCTTTTTCTTTCTCCATCTTTTACGAGATAGACGTTGGTCGCTCTCTGATATAATTATAAATATAGAACAGCTGAAAGAGACACATTAAATCGGTTTTGTAGATCATAAATTTAACTCACTCTGCTTTTCTCTATCTTATTTTTTTCATTTACTCACATATGTATTAAAATGGTCTATATTTATTAGTGAGAAATATCAAATGTTTCTTATTTAAAACAAAATAATTCTTCGTCTCAAAATATATAAAGCCTCACATAATTTCTACGCGATACATAATAATAGAGAGAGAGATAATAATAGATAATAGATGGATCACTTTTTGACATCTATTAAAAAATCACAAAATTAATTTAGAAAGAAATAATTATTTATTTCAATTTATATTTTGTTATATTAGTAATACAATTTTATTTTAATTGTTATCACTAAATTTTCGTTGCAACTTTGCTGCCTCTTTTTTCCATAAAGTATTATGATCTCTTTTTATTTTACGCTAATTTTTCTTTTGTCATAATTGCGGGGATACCAGAGAAACAACACTGGGAAACGGAAGTTGTTGGAAAGTGAGGAAGCGCGAAAAGTCGCTCGTAAAGCCTCACATAATTTCTACGCAAACTCGAGCTTGCGTCGTTTTTCCTAGATGGACGAGACTTTCTTATACCGTGGGTTAAACTTTTCTATTGCGCTCGGAAGACCTTTTCATTCAATGTTCTTTCCCGTACTTTTCCCGTTACATATTCATACACTTTTATAGCTTTGCAAATTATTATGCCAGATAAACAAGATCATGCGTAAAAATGATGCAAATAATAAATGAGGATATTTTGTAAGATAATATAGAAATTTTAATTTATTATATCATTTTCTATTTCTGTTTGCTGTTACTATATAATATGTAAAAGAGAAGATACATCTCTCAAATATTTAATAATTAATAAATATGTAGAAATTATTAATTCTTAAATTTATATGAAATGTATTTCCTTTAATATCACGTAGTAACAGCAAACGGTAATATGAAACTAACTTAAAATTACGAAATAGAAGTTATTAACATTATATATAATATATAAACATAGAATTATATAACAAATATTTTATTCTTGAATAAAAAAATGCGTTTTGTACAAATTCACGATTTTTACTTTTAAATTTTTTATAATTTTTTTTAACGAAGATTATTTCAATTTAAAATCTATCTATGAAGCGAATTGACGCATATTGCGTCGTTATGCAAATCAGATCTGGCCTCGCATGTATATGTTTTATGCCATGCTTGGTTTGCGTGCGAGTCATGCGTTTGTTATAATTTTTGCTAATACTAGCATATATATACAGAAGATATATGTACATATATAACCATTTCATTATCAATCATTTAGAATTAACAACTTTCATATAGAATATCAATAATAATAAAAAAATAAATTTTCTCATGTTAAAAAAATAAATTTTTTCATTTTAAAAATGGTAAAAACTACATATATATTTAACAGAAAAAATATGAAATAATTTTGGAGCGAAATACAGTAACTTTGCCGCAACTAAACGATCGAAGCAAATCAACAAAGATAGAATAGTATTTGCTATTCATCATGAATAATAGAAAAGAGGCAGAATTCCAGCTCTTTGTTTTAATAATACGATGTATCGTGTTTGGACTTTCCAAGAAATACAAATCAATATTTCAATCAATGATGAATTTAAAATAAACATTGAGAATTGCGAAAGATTCAACGAATCGGTCAAGGTTGATATAAAGCTCACGATTCCAATCTCTTTCATATTTGATACTTTTAAAGTGATGCTCTATATTTGCCCCATCCAACTTTTTCTTGCATCTTTAAACATACCTATTATATAATTTATTGCTGCAATTCTATGTTTATATATTATGTAATGTTAATAATTTCTATTTCTATATAATTTTAAGTCAGTTTCATATTTTCGTTTGCTATTACTATATGATATCAAAGGAATTACATTTCGTATAAATTTAATAATTAATAATTTCTATTTATTAATTATTAAAAAAATATTTTCTCTTTAAGAAAATTAATATATTTATTATATTTCGATTTGAAAACTCTCTCTTTTTCTCTTCTTATCTATCTTTATCTCTATTTTTCTTTCTCTTCTACTAGAAACTTCTTTTTATAAAATATTAAAATATTTTTCTTTCAATTATATATGAATATATAAATTATCATATATACATTCATGCAATACATATTTTGCATAAAAACAATATAGAATTTTATAATAGCTAACAGCAAACTCAAGGATCTAAAGCAATGCGTCTTTAAACTCACGCTCTTCTCAAGCGACAGTTCACTTATGAGGCGCAGTTTACAACCCTCCCGGGGGTTGTGTGCGCGTTCGGGCGGGGTATAAATTTTGTTATTAAAAAAAAGAAATCCTCCGTGACTTACTCTGATTGGCTACCGGGGCCGCCGTTTATTATCTCGAGGAACGGCTGGATGTAACACGCTCTTCGGAGCCTCACGGATCGCTGGCCCGAAGCGACCTCATCGATCAGGCTGTAATTATCGGCGTCTATCGCAGTAGGAGGTCCAGAATCTGGCGCAGCAGAATTCCGCGAGTCTATTTGCGAAGATCCGGCGCGTTATAACGAGCCTTTGTTATTGGAGTCACCGTCTCGTGTTCCTTACAAAGTGGCCGCAACTTCTCGTATTTTCATGTACAATGTGTAACGCGATAGGACCTTGTTGCAAGACTCTGTTGCAAAACGAGAAATGTATCACGAGATCCGTTATTTGCGACATACTATTAAATATTTTGTGTTATTAAACTATAAAAATATTAAATCGGAAAACCCTCGATTCTGTCATTGACCCTGGGAAGATTTGATAATTTATATAATGAAAGCAACTTATTGAAGAATCTCTTATATTATTTGATAAAGTAATTCTCATTTTTTCGTTTTTATGCACGGCATGCTTGATATAAAGACATCAAAAAGCTCGCGATTAAATAGTTTCATCTCTTTTGTGCCATCATTTAGATTATCGTGGCTAAGGCAACAACAGTTGAAACTAGCCGCTAGGAGAGATGAAAGGAATCCTGGCCGACTTTGGCGACAAGAGACCGGAAACCGTGTCATCGGTGAACTTAGAAGCTTGCAAAGAGGAATATTGAGACACGATGGTTACGCGAGTGACTCGGCGGTTCTCGACGACGATGACGATATGTGGGCAGCGAGTTCCATTTCTGGACAGGTAAGAAATTCTCAGACTATGAGGTTTGAAATGTCAATTGAAGCAAATCATTAATCCTAATTCTTTTTTTTACATGAAATTTTTTTATGGCAAGAAATCTAATAGCACAAGAAGTTTATATAACTGTATTAAATATATGTTATACGATACATACATAGAGAGAATTTCTTTAGTAAAAATCATTCTTAATCCTAGAATGCAAGAAATAATAAAGAATATAAAAATGGAAATATATATTTAATAAAAAGAAAAACGTACTTATGTAAAACTTTGACTACAAAAAAAATATACAGATTTTTTATGACTTTTTGCAACTTGTCGATTTATTGATAATTTAAATAAAAGTGGTTACACGAATATTCATTAATATGTAAAAGACAAATCGCGCATTCTAGGACTAATTTTAATTGACATTCGCACATTTATCAATTAGCCATCCTCGAAAGCTGTTCTGTACACCTCCGCACCAGCTAGTCCTCTACTTCCGCAGAGATCGAGCAGCCGGAAATATAACGGCAGTGCCGGAAACGGAGTTCTCGGCAGACCGCGAGCGGAGAGCATGAACGAACGACCATTCGTCTCCGTAAAACGCGCTTACGAATATCGCAAATATAGTGACAGTCAGGTGAGTACACGTGTGCAATTTTTGAGTATATTCGATACACTCTCTGCTCGTTAGATCGCTGGAATCGTTCGTACCATCGTTTCGAATAATTATGTTGTATATTAAGATTGTAATTATTATTTATATAATATTTTTTGTAGTACTTAATTACATTTTCTTTATGAAACACATATAAACAATTATAGAAACATTTATATAACATTTCAAAAGGTCCAATAGAAAGGTCCAAAGAAGTTATATATACATATAATAATGCAAGTTTATATTTTATATTTATTAAATATTAAAAAATTTGCAATTATTACAGAATATTATTGTAGAACTAATGAATGAAATTGCAGTAACCAAGAATAATAGTGAACGAAATAAAGTGTTATTTTGCATGGAATTTTCAAAACGGTGGTACGATCGATTCCGCTTTATGCCAATAAGAGGGCGGCAGCACAAAAGCTACAATTTAGGCTCCATAGATAACAAGGAAACTCCCACAAACAACACTATATCTTATAACAATACCATATGGTTAGCCCCTTAAATAGCAAGAAAACGGTTTCTAAAACGTAGACCGTAAGGCGATTACCTTTCTCTCTCTATCCGAGATAGAAATTTCCTTTAATCCTTTTTCGTGCTATACTTTCGATGCGCACTTATCAAAAGAGAAATAAATTGCATAATAAAATATTCGTTTTACATTTGCAATTTAAATATTTAATTAATATATAATTTTATTATAAGTGTCATTCTGCACTATTCAGTAACAAATACTTAACGCAGTATTAATTATGTTAATGTGATTTAACATAATTATGTTAATGTTACTTAAAATATTTAGGTTAATGTTACTCATCCGCTAATAAGTTCTGCTTCGGCATTAATATATTTCTCATAAAGAAAAGAAGTAAATCTACAATAACATACATCATGTACGTGAACGATTTTTGCGGTTAATTAAAGTTTGCAAAACACACAGAGCTATGTAGTATTAGAGAAGATTATTCTCTTCATCGTTCTCGCCCAACGCGAACAATTTCCAGCTGACACAGCAGCTGCGTTACGACTCCATCGCGTTAACTCGCGCCATTAATTAGCCCGCGCAATTAATTAACAACGATTCGAGCTTAAAGCTCCGCTAGCGTGGGTAATCGTGAGTATTCAGAGCATAGCACCGAAAGGATTAAACGCTCTTAGTTCGCCGGCATGTAGCATAGCGCTTGGCTTGCATTCCAGAGCCCTCCGACATCCCCTCGCTCAGCCTTAGCGACCGCGCCACCCTTAGGGTTAGCGAGCCAACAATCGAGTTCCAATGGCACAGAGAAGCCGCAACAGCATCAGCATCAGCTTCAGCAGCAGCAACAGCCGCCGCCGCCGCCGCCTCCGCGACCGGAATCGCGCAGCGATAGCTTCGCGCGCGCGGATGCCTTGTTGCGCGAGCATCATCGTCACCAACAGCTGCAATCCGGCATCAGCAGTAGCAGCGATCATATTGAGCGAAAGCAAACGATCACGACTCAGGAATATGCGACGCCGAGTCGGAGCGCGCGTCCTGAGTCGCGAAACCGTGTCGTCTATCAAAGTGTCGGGAGTTACAGCTCGGCCAACAGCGGCGACCAGGTGGACGGCGGATTATTGACGATGGTCGATCAACCTGATCCTCTCGTGAGCCTCATTCAGTCATTAGCCGAAATCTCACCGATTCGCACGTCTCCGAGCACGCCTAAAACCGAAAACGAGCATCCTCCTGGCAGCCCCATAATCGCAGCCGCTACAATACCTACCAGTGTACCTAGCAACGTCACTAATTGCTCCCCTAATCAATCGCCAAAAGCATGGCAGAATTGCATTCAGGTTTGTTTCATCCTCACATGCAAATCCCGCGCGTCCTAGCCCAGGAATCGTATGTTTCATGTAACAAGCATTTGTCTTAACTTTTTTATGCATTTTTCTGATCAATCGTTATCAAAAATTCAACACCAATCTGATATTTCAAGCTTATCCAGCACGCCTCGCTTGGCTGGTAGCGCATAGACTGACGTAGAAAATGATGTGCATTTTGCTCGCGACTAATCGATGTCTCATCACATTTATACCGCGCGTTACGTACGTAATTATAATAATCGTCTCAAAATCCACGCAGCCACACAATGACTCGACGTCATCGTGGACCGAGAGAAGCGTCAGTCCTGGAAGCGCGATCATCAGCGGCGCTTCGCGACCACAAACACCAGCATTTCCGGTCCATCCGCGAACGCCGTACGTCAATAATGCGTCACCAACGGTGACATTCGCCAGTGATCGCACTTACATGACTTCCAACAACAGCTACAATGTTAGCAACAATAACAATAATGTTAGCAACGAGGCTGGCGGTAACAATAACAATAATGTCGGGAACTACAGCGCCGAACGAACGATATACATCGAAGAACGAAGAGAAGCCTCCAAGGAGACGGGGCTTCCACCCAAGAGTCCGACAACACAGCGGTAGGTTCTACTTTCTATTTAATATATATTTTTAATGCATAATTATATGAATAATTATTGGGAATAAAAAATTTTTAAGCTCTTTTTGAGATGCTGAAAAATTTCACAGTTGTAAGCTATATATAAATAAGATTATAAAATATTTACATATTACCGCGATATATATTATATATTACCGATATACTACTACTATATGTACGAGAGAGTTTTAATAATTTTAATTTTAATTAAGTGACCAAAATTTTCAATTAGGTAAAAAAAATGTAATACAAAATGAAAACATTTTCTGCTTCTCTGCGCAAATTACTTTTGGCAAGAAAAATATTGAGCTATAAAATATATTTAATTCTTGAATTTTGAAATATCAATTGAAGGACTGCACATTCGCGCCGCTTGGTGTCTTATAAAAATATTTCTAATAATCCATATATTTTATAACGTAAAAAAAAAATCTTTGAACACGACAGAAGATTGCAAAGCTACGGTAATGATGATGCAGGATGATATTCGTGATTCTAGACGCTTGAGTTTTCCGGCAAGCGGGCCGCTTAAACAAATGCATAACAAACGATGGCCGCTCACTAACCAATCGGCGTCGTTCGACTATAGGTAATATACATCACGAAGAATCGCGCGAACAAGCGATCTCTGTAATTGAACATGCAATTAACGACGTTAGAATTAATCACAACGGCGGAGAGCGTCGCGTCCAAATATGCACCATGAATGTTTTGTGTCATGTTACTAACCGCGCGTGCATTGATACGCTCGGAATGCGATTGTATCATATCGTGAATAATAAATCATTTTTATTTATGAGATAATAAATGAATGAAAAACTTTTCTTTTCTCAATTAAATTTTTTTCTGCGTTTCATAATCCTAATAACATTAATTTTATATAATTTATTCTCCATTCGCATTTCTGATGTTCATTAACATTTACTACAAATTTTAATGATTTATCATAGATAATAAACAAGATCATAACTCACTACAGCTTATCGCGATAAATTGTTTCAATTATTATATTTTATGTCTTTTATGCAATTATATTAAAAAAATTTAACTCATTATTATATCATGAATATAAATCGTACCTACGTATGCTAGCCATATGTGTGTGTTGCACTTTCAAAATAACAAGAATTCGCATTTCCTTGCATCGTGTGTCATAAAAATCTATTATAGAATAAGTACATGTACCAAAGAAATAAATTATATTGTTGAAGAACCGAGATAACTTTTCCTTTTATCCTCACAGAAATTTCAAAATGAATTTCTTTTCTATCAATCCTATTTCCTGCTTTTCACTAGAAGCGTTTGTTTTATTTAACATTAGACGCTCCTTTCGTCTTTTCCGGACTTTTCTCCCACGATAGTGTGTACCATTTTCCTCTGATGTTTTCCTCACGATGTATAGCACTATGCACGAGTCAGCCAATACACGTCTGCCTGCACGGAAATGTCGATATATTTTCGTCGGATATTTTTTTAACGTTACATTTGATTACTCATTTTGCAGCAAGGACCGACCTGTTTCTCCGCTAAGCGAATCGGCGATGTCGCAGCCGCAGGCTGTTTCACGCAGTCCTGGAACACCGACCCACATAGAATTCGCCCAAAGCCCCAAAGTAAGCATTTCTATATTATTAGTTAAACGTGACTGTGTAGTATGGAGTTGTTTTAATTGTACTAAGATGATAAAAGAAAAAAAAGAGAGAAAAAATAGCAGTTATATAATGGATATAATTTCTGATCAAACTCAAATTTTATGATATAATATCTTACGATATGATTTTTTTATTACTGATTTTGTTCAAAAATAATTTATTGATATGATGATTGAAATGAAATACTAGAAATATTTGTTAATTATACTAGATATTTTGATATATCGCATGAGAAAATTATCTTTAGAATGTTCGAATAAATTATTTTTCTGGATTTCGCAGAGTGCTACGTCATACACTTCAATCAATAGCGGTGGTCAATCTTCACCGCAGGTTCAATATTATGGTTCAAGACGCTCCAGCGTTCATTCGAACACCGAACCCCAGGAGGTAGCCGACGCTAATGTGAAATTTGTACGCGACACCAGCAGAATCTGGTATAAGCCCAATATATCGCGGGAGCAAGGTAATTTCCAAGCTTTTCTTTTTATTAGGCATTCTATTTTTATCATAACAAATAAGGAATAAATATTCATATTTATGACATGGATCAAATGTATAATAATATAAAACGCAATAAGATTAAAATTTCACTTATAAATTCCTCTATTTAATTTCTTATGCAATTGTTTAACAAAATTGCAAGAAAACAGCATAAATTTTCTCAATCGAATAAAGATTTAAAATCTTTAGTTTATTTTGCCTTATACACTCAATTTAATATAAATTAAATTAAGATAGAGAAACTTAAAATAAATAAAATAAAATAAATTAAATTAAAATAAATTAAATTAAGATAGAGGAACTTTAAATTTGACTTGACACCGATTCGAGTTTAGAATAATCTTTTACTTACGAATTCTTTCCGATTCATTAAAATTAAAAAGAAAAGAAGGAAATTTTTAAATATTTTAAATATTATTGTTACAGCTTGTAATGTTTTGTACATCTTTACAATTGATACGGAATCTTGCGAGAAATAAACATGACGAAATTTTTTAGCAATTTCAATGCTGAAAGACGCGACACCCGGGACATTCGTGGTACGAGACAGCAATTCGTTCCCAGGTGCTTTCGGGTTAGCATTGAAAGTGGCAACGCCACCCCCTGGCGCGCCCAGCAGTCCGCGAGATCCTTCGAGCGAACTTGTCAGACACTTCCTGATCGAGCCAACATCACGTGGCGTTAGACTAAAGGGATGCGCAAACGAACCGGTCTTTAGTTCACTTTCGGCATTGGTTTACCAGCATAGTCTAATGGCCATGGCGTTACCTTGTCAACTGTTGTTACCCGAACCGGAAGCAGCCGCTAGAGCTTTGGATTCACCTGGTACTAATAGTACTCAACAGCTTCTTGCTCAAGGAGCAGGTAATTAATTCACTAATGAAATGATTAATTCACTATTTCTACGTTATATTAAATTAAACGCGATAAAAAAACAGTAAATTTTCTCAGTCGAAAGACCTAAAATCTTTAGTTTATTTTGTCACATATACTCAATTTAATAAATTAAATTAAACAGATAGAACTTTAAATTTGTTTTTTTTAAATAGATATCGATTCTGAACTTAGAATAATCTTTTACTTACAAAATCTTTGTGTGATTCATTAAAATTAAAAAGAAGAGAAGGAAATTTTATAAATATTTTAAATATTATTATTTTAATTATTATTATTACAGCTTGTAATGTTCTGTACCTCTTTACGATTGATACGGAATCTTTGACCGGACCGCAAGCCATTAAAAAAGCTATCACCAGCCTGTTTGAGCAGAAGCCACTTCCGATTGCGACAATTGTTCATTTTAAGGTTTCCACGCAGGGCATTACTTTGACTGACAATGCTAGGAAGCTATTTTTCCGTAGACATTATCCAACAAATAATATAAGTTATTGCGGATTAGACACCGAAGAACGCACGTGGGAATTTGCTAGTGAAGATACCGGAAGATCACTTAGCGCTCAGTATGTTTTTAAACATTAATCGTTTTTTAAACAATTTTTTATGCAATTATACAAAACAATATAAACATCTGATATATATGTATATATAATATATATGTATATATATATATATATATATATATAAAATATTTTTTTAGAATTTTTGATTTATAATATTATCTTAAATCTAAAATTAGAGAGAAAAAATATGGAGATTCATGAATTCAAATATTTTTTAATCGTGATAGACTTCTTTTTAATATTCTGTAGGAAATTTGTTGTAATTCAATTTCTTTTACTTAATTTATTTGTTTATCATTTTTTCTAGTCGCTGCTTCGGTTTTGTGGCAAGAAAGCCTGCTCATAAATCGGACAATCAGTGCCACGTATTTGCCGAACTGGAACCAGAGCAACCGGCCACGGCTATTGTAAATTTCGTGAATAAAGTCATGATGGGAAGTTCCATTGCCAAGGCTAATATCGTCTAAGAATCGCAATTTGCTCGCCGCAATCGCCAAGATCAAGGAGCACAAATATTATTGTGAACTTATTAGCGATTCCACCTCGAATATTTCACATCGATTACATATCTCTAACGCAAAAAATGTAAAATCGAGTTGAGGGCAAAAAGTCGAGAATGAATAATCGATATAATCGATTAATAAAATCGTTATACCTCTGACACGCGAAAGATGCGCGCGAATCTTTTGAAAGAATCCGCCGAAAAATGGCATCGCACGAATTAATTATTATCGTTAACCACTACGTAATAAATCTTCGTGCATTAGCGTTAATCAGTAGACATCTATGTTACAAATAATAAGGACGATATAAGTATCGATAAAACGCCGGGAAAAAGTCGAGGACCCTCTCTCCGAAAAAAAATACGAAAAGAACGAGAGGCTATGCATGAATCGATTCCATCCTCGCGTCAATATGCAGTCAGGATAAGAAAGTTATTGTTATAATTAGCGTTATTGTTGCGATTTAACATAGCGAATAGTAAAGTCCTATATAGTGGGTGGTCTAAAGAGAGTAAGGTGGTCAAATAACAACGTTAATACAGTTTGATTTTTAAATTCTTTCTAAAAAAAAGGCATGTAGATACTTGAAAATCTTAAAGTTTATATTATTGCTTCTTTTCTGCGATGCTGATTAGTTTGTTTGCTACGACTTGTTTCATTTGTGTTATTTGCGGCTATCAAATCAGCTATCAATTTTGACAATTTGTGTGAAATAAAACAAAGTTATCATTAAATATATACAATGAAAAAGAATTTACGTTTTGTGTTATTTTAGTATTAATAAAATCTTGATCATTCTGTAACACCTTTTAAAACATAAGGAATATTATAATATTTATCTAATTATTTCCTATTTAGTAGTTATCAAACTACAGCAAATTTCGAATTATATTTTTGCAAAATATATTTATTCATATATACCTCATTTGCAAAATTTTTTAAGATTTTTTTTTGCGAAATTGTCGAGTTCGTGATTTCGCCACCTTCTCCCGTCTAAAATACGATTGATTAGCCATCAATACGCGAATTTATCGATAGCTCGTAGTCATAGTTGAAAAAAATCAACCGTGCCCTTCGTGCGATCTACGAAGGGTATTGAGCATTCAAAACGAGCGTATTTCGCGTGACATTGAATGCGCCTTCGATTTCAGAAACTATTTACGCACTGTGCACGTACACTTACGCATTGTTATGCATACTACATACACATAACACTATACATGGAAAATAATAAAAATGCTCGCGCATTATTATGCAAGTGATTCCAAACAATATTATTCATATGACTTAGTTTTTAAAAAATTTTTTAATTCTCTCTCCATTTATGTCCAAAGAAATCCATCATAATAGAAATTGATTTACTTTACAATTAAATGAGTTTTAAAATAGAGAACGAAATTTTAAGTATTTCTTAATTTTAGAAAAATATCTAGTAAAACTTGAATGACGAATAAATTATTAAATAATGTGCGAACATTTTAAATTTATAAATTATCATATACTGGAGACTCTCGAGTAATGTTTGACAGAGAATGTTACGTCGTTTACAGAGGATATTATACACATACACATTCACATATACGCATATAAGAAACCCCCGTGTCATGCTCCCTCGATGTATGAAAGAACAATGTCATAAATAACTGCAAATATGCCATTGCGCGAAATAAAATCGCCTTAAAAAAAGGCCTTGAGGAGAACTGTCGTAGGCAGTCCTTGGAGAAAGCAATGTTACATTTAGGATTCGTTCAAAGATAACGCAGATGATTGGAATGAGAGATGCTACTCGGGAAGGAGTATGCACGAGACGAGGCAATATCGCGCGTATTCTTTCGGTGAACCCATAGATTTTCTTGCCATTTCAGGCTCGTGTACCGTCGAGTGCCGGTCTTCGAAGAGCCCGCTCCGATGGACACGACGATGAGCAGTCAATTATTACGATCGAATCAATTATATTGTAATTACAACAATATGGCGACGCGAGAGGACTACCGGTGCTCACACCAGCCGGCCTTCCTCTCGACATGTCGCCGATTTTTTCGTCTACTTTTTCGTCTTCTATTCTTCTATTTTCGTCTTCCGAACGAAGATCGGTTGAAGCATTTTCCGCTCTTTGCGAATTCCTTTGCGACTGAGGAAGGAAGGACTCATAGTTATGCAACGTGCTAGTCAAAATTCGTGCTGTATATGCGATGATCAAGAAATAGATTAATGTTGGAAGGGGGTCCTAAGAGTCCTTGGATACGCTCGGTCTTTGAATGGCGACATGTGAGATATGTATATCACCTTGCGCTGAGGATAGATGTGTAATAAAACAATCTTAAAGGTGGTGAGATTGAAACGACGCCTTGAAATATATAAAGATGAGTAGTCGTCGCCGAAGGGATTAAGGAAACTCGCTTAAAAGAACCGATCGTGTCTTCCTTTATTGTTCTTTCTTCTCTTCGTCGCCCATCTACGCTTTTTTCTCCGCCTAAATTTTCTTTCGTACGCGTCTAAACCCGGCTAACAGCGTAACATTAATTTAACATTCAGTCATTATAATAATAATTAATAATATTATTATTTGTTTATGCTCTATTATACTCTCTGTATGTTTATGCAATAATTGTATGTCTTGCGTGCTGTATGAGTACGCGCGTATAGTTGTAACAATAAATCATATTCACAGCGTTTCACAGAGTTTTCTTTAATCTTATTTATATATATTTTAAACTATTCTAATGTATATTATAATTTATACAATTTTAACTTTTATATATTATATATATATATATATATATATATATATAATTATATATAATATATATCTAATATATATATATATATATATATATATTATATAAAAGTTTTATATATATTAATTTACTAACAATAACCAAAAGATCAATTTTTGAGAACCGTGAAAGCAGGCAGCCGTTCGTTAAGAAAAAGTTTGCTCCTAAAATAATTGGATATCGCAAAGTTAGTCGCGAGAAAAATAATATTTCGGAACAATAAGAACGGTAGTCTCGACAGAAATTTTTCTTGAAAATGTTAAAATATTTAATTTTAATAAGATTGTATACATAATGAAGTTATAAATAAAAGAGGCAGTAATAATAGATTTAAAAATAAAAATATGATTGATCGATTTCATTTTCAAATAAGAAGAAATTGTGTTTTATACATTTTATTTGATTATTTTATTATATTGGGATAGTGTGTTAAATATTGTTTCAATTCATTGTTTTCAAGATATATATAGATATATACATATGTCCGCTTTTTTGTTTAAATATATTTTTATATATTAATTTTACTTTAATTCGTTTTTAATTTAATTTTTCTCAAAAAATAGATAAAAGTAATATTAGGATATAATATTTTTATTATGTTATTTTATTTCTTTTTATTAATAAAATTAAAAGAAAAAGGATAACATATTATATTTATCATTGCTCTGCAACTGCAGATACATTTTAATAGAATTAAAATTTAATAAATTTAAAATTTAATCAAATTTAAAGTATACATTAATAGAAAATCAATATTGCATCTTTAATTTAATATTTATTATATCCATTATTACTGCCTCTTTTATTTGTATTCATTATTTTTACCTGATATCCCCACACTTTAAAAGAATTATTTTGTATTTGTTATTTGTAATTAAGAGTGCACGCCCGCATCCGCACATATACATACATAAAAGTATTAATAATTAATCTAATTTCAAAAATAGCAAGAAATGTTTTACTAAGCTAAAATTATTCAGCAAATTTTAAAAAATGTGAACTCAAAAGATAAAATTAAAGATAATAATAAAATCAATAAATTTTGTTGATAAATGTATAAATACTTAATAAAGTAATAAGTATTAACGTCATATACAAATAAAGTAACAAAATGTATATAATTTATCTAATGTAAGTAACAAATATATATATATATATATATATTTTTTTTTTAATAATATATTATATGTATATATATATATATATATATATATATATATATATACACACTAATACATGATTATATTTATAAATGACGTTAAAATATAAACATCAAAAATCATTAATACTTTTACGTTAACATTTTTTATTCTTTAAGTATTATAGTTTCTTAATACTAATCTTTTTTATATTTTTTTCTGTTAATATTTTTGAAAGAACTATCAAAAATTGCTGTAACTATTTCATATTATATATATTTCATATTATTATATTAATTTTGTTATTATAATATGTTAAAATATAAGAAAATACTATTCGAGCACACTTTATTCAGCATAATAATTTTAATACGCAAACCGTACAGCTGCTTCCTCTATATGTTAAGCTCAGAAACAGTAAGGCACAACATTTTTATCAGCTGACAATAAAATAAAGTTAATTCATTAATTTCAAAATGCATTAATACAAAAATAGATTGAAATTTCGTAAATTTGAAAAAGAAATTTGTATTGTTATACAAATAATAATATTTTAAAACTTTTATTTACTTAAATGAAATATATATAAGATAAAATAGTTGTCCAAGAGATAGAAACAACGGATTTATTTCCATGCATTTATATAAATCCACTGCTTCAAAATAAAAATTTCGTCGAGTACTCACCGGTATTGATGCGCAACAGCGGAGTTGTTAATATTGAAGCTTCGTTGTCTGTAACATACAAATATAAAATCCAAATTATAATAGCGCTTAAAATAATTAATATTTTAAGACATTATTATTATATATGCATTGAATTTTATACGTAATTATAAATAAATATATAAATATGAAATAATTTTAGAAATAGTTAATTTTTAAGTAGAAACTTTTATAGAAAGAATTTTTATAAAAAATTTCCTAAATTAATTTTTCCTAATTTTTATAAAAAATTCCTTTGTTCTTGTTTGAATCATTCAAATAAATGAATCAAATTAATATATGTACGCGATTTATAGATAACAATATAAATAATAATACTCACCATCAGGTTGTTCCGCCGGTGCAGGATGCCTCTCCTAGGCCTGCTCCTCCTCTCAGATCATCAAGACTGCATCGATCTATAACATACAAAAAGAAAATCTAAATTGTAATAATGTCCAAAATAATTAATATTTCAAAAAATTATTATTGTATGTATCGAATTTTATATTCGATCCATATAATAATAGCAGATTAATAAAATAATTCTATAAATTTTAGAAGAAAAAGCATTATTAATCATTCTTCAATAACTTTATAAAAGCTTATATTTTTACAAGATTATAGTTTTTATTTAAAAACCTTTTTCTTCAATTCTCTCTTCTTTAAATCATATAAATAAAAAATCATATTACACGATTAATTGTTTAATTTAAATTATAATAAATATATTTAACATTTAATATATAATTGCAAATAAATAAATTATTTACCAGAAGGTTGCTCTGCCGGAGCCCGATGCCTCTCCTAGGCTTCCTCCTCCTCTCAGTCTTAAACGCGCGATACTTTTAGCGGCACTCCCGCACTCACGTGCGATATTTTTATATCGTTTCCGCACTTTTACGCGCGATACTGAACGGCACTCCCGCACTATTCGATACGATTAAAAATTTTCTGTTTTGTCGCGCGATGTATATATTTAATATATATATATACTTTAAACGGCACTCCCGGTTTCGGTACGAGCGAAAATCCCGTTTCACATTTATGTACAAGAGTCATCTTCGAGTCAACAGGTCGGGATTTCAACGGCATCTTACCTCCGAACAAGAGTTAAGTCCGAAACGGAAGAAAACTATCGATTGATGGAATCAACGCGAATGAAGTTCACTCGACTCTTGTCCGCGCATATAAGATAATATCCTATCTCACAATCAGACGGAACAAGAGAAGGGATCCATTAACGACGATTCCAAGCAATCGATCGAATCCTAACCGATCCGTACCGAACTGGAGCCCGAAGCAGAGCGTGACCTCAATCAGCCGGACTTGAGCAAAAGCTCAAAACCGCGCGCCCACATACACAGTACTGGCATCCGTGCGCGGCCGACATCACCTAAGTGCCGCGTTGCACCAGGCGTGAAAAAGATCGTTGCAGCAACGACTCAATGAGACATCCCAGTTAATTGACGTCGGAAGATGACAACTCGATGACAAATAAATGAAATTGGGATTGCGAGAAAGTCCAACGCGAAAACGCGATGACGCGAAAAAGCTAAACGCGAAAACGCGGTAACGAGACGCCGCCATCCGCGACACGTTGACGGCACCGACGACGGAAAGTCGACGACGCAATGCGTTCAACGCCCGTAGATGCCCGTACCACATATGAGCCATTGTGCGACTCGTGGCAATGCTGTGCTGGGTACTTAGCTTCCTCTTCAGGCTCCTTGAGATTCATTTTAAATAAAAAAATTTAAAATAAATCTCAAGGCACCATCCAAGTACTGAGCCACCCCACCGCGTCAAGGTGTACCCATAGAGGGGTGGATTATACTCATTTATAATATAATGTATAATTTGAAATTTGTGTGAAATTTATTTTATAATTGAAAAATTATCTATATAGCATCTCTCTTTTTTTCGATTAAAAAGAGAAAGATGCAGATATGTTTCTAAAAAAACAAGCTTTAAGTCCTGATTAATTTGCCTTTTAATTAAAAGTCCACCAACTCTTTTTCGCGCATAATTATCCTATCTCGTATCGAATCTGGACCCGCTAAGCACAAAATAAATTATAAAATATGTATAAAATATATATAATAATTGTAAAATATATATTATAAAATTATATAGTATACATATAGTATACATTATATAGTATACATATCACACAATTCAAATTCATTTAAAATATTGTATCAGAAATTAATTCTCATATACCTTGCATATCCAAAAGATGTCAAGAAGGTATCCAGAAGATATCTTTGGGCAATTAGGCATCTTCAGGATGTCCTGTTAATGTCTTTTGGACATAGGATGCTATATAGGTTATTAGTCATTTGATCTATTATTATTCGTGATACGAGATTATATTTGAATATAAGAAATGTACATGAGAATCATAATGAAAATAATTATTATTTGTAAATATATTACAATAAAGTATTAGTTAATAATTATCTATTTTCGTCACTTTAATTTATACTTTGAGAATGAATAAATTGTGTGTAAAATATTTAATTCAGTAAATAACTATCATATACTTTGACACATGATTTATATACACAAGAAGATAGAAAAGCCTTAACCCATTAATTTATGCATGTATTGTAATATGTTGTTTTCCCTGTACATATTGATATCTAAATTTATGTGTTAAGTCATTTTCATCTACGGGGTGCATTTTTATATACATATGTATGTACATGACGTATATATCAAAGAGAAATTCAAAGAAATAAATTAATAATATTTTTATGAAATTTAGTATTGCCTTTCCTATTATTTTATCGCTGTGGATTTGATTTGAATTAAAAAGTGCATCCATTTAACAAGAGTACATCAATCAAATGCTTCATTATGTTGAAAAATTTATTTTCTTGGAGAATGTTTTATCGTAAATTTTACATTGAGTATTATTGTGTATATTCAATTTCTATCATATCAATTTACCCATATCTACAAAAATTTGTTGCAATACCTTATGTTCATATTTATTGGTTAAATGAAAAATATTAGCAAGGTTATTTAATGTTGTCTCATATTGTTATATCTAATTTTTTATTGTGAGATATTACTATCATAACGAATATAACATATAATGAGCTTTTATGTATTTTTTAAATATATATTCCTTTCGAAGGGAATAAAGTACTCTATAAATACGAAAACTTATAATGAAGATTATAGAAGATAATAAAAAAAAAGAAACAGATTAAAATGAATAATTTTGTATATAAATGTAAATATGGATACGCATAGTTTAGCATTAAATCTTCTATCTAAATCTGTTTAATGTATCTTAATTTTTATAATTAGGTACTAAACTTATTAGTTTACTAATTTTGTGCCGATAATAATCATCAATTAAAAAAATATTCTATAAAAATTTTCACAATCATAAGTATTACAATAGACATGACTAAAAACCGCAAAATAGTTTGAAATTAGCGAAATTAGTTCCATCAAAGCATAAAACATTATAATGATAAGAAGGGATAAATATATTAATCGAATATTATATATATGTAATAAACTTTTAAGTGCGTATTGGAATAATTATAAATTAAAAAGGTACAATATTATGCTTATCAAAAATACCATTTAATTTAAATATTTACATCAATTTTACATTATTTTACACTTTTGATACAATTTTCTACGAATTGAATACAAAAATCTACTGGTTTATAAATATATTTGTTCATGCAGTACGTTTAAAAAACTATTCTTCTAGAAATAATAGGTTATATAATAATATATGATGATGTGTATAGCGCGCACGCGCGTGTGTATATATGCGTGAGTGCGTGCTTGCGCGCGCGTGTGTGTCTGTGTGTGTGTGTCTGTGTGTGTGTGTGTCTGTTTGTGTGTGTCTCTGTGTGTGTGTCTGTGCGTGTGTGCGTGCGTGCGCGTGTGTTTGTGTTTGTATCTATATCTAATAAATTATAAATATAAATAATATAAACGATATAAAACAATATAAAAACTTGAAATCTTTGCTTGATAAATAGATGATTAATACATTATATATTCGTCAAAAACAATAGATGCAATTATGAATATGTTATATTTAAAAGATAAAATATGGCACAAAATCGTCAAATTCATGAAAGCTATCAAAAACAATGATCTAATCAAAATCAGAATTTTACTTAAATTAACTGCTGATGGTTAATTGATGTGTAGCGATATTACGATATTGATCATCTCCTTCGAGATTTATAAGTCCGTTTGAATCATTGACATCTGAATAGATAGACGGAACCTTTTGATAGGAGTAACTGATAATTGCAGTAAAGGTGGAGTGCATGAACTTCGGTTAATTCCATCAGCGTTCGAATATTCGGCACAATTTGACATTACATAACGATTCCATTGATATCGATTCTCAACTAGATTTTCAGAAATGTTTAAAGAGTGTTTATTTGGAGAAAATCGCTAATGCCATTAAATATAAAAATAATATATGACAATAATAATATTAAATAATAATATAATAATAATATAAAATATACATATATACATATATACATATATATATATATATATATATGTATGTATATATATATATATATATATATAACTTATATATATTATTTAATATATAAATATAAATATAAATATATATATTATAAATAATATAAATAATATATATATTATAAATATATATTATAAATATATATATTATAAATATAAATATAATATATATAAATATATATATATATTAATATTATTTATATTATTTATTAATATTATTTAATATATATGTTATATATTATAAATAATATAAATTATATAAATAATTTATAAATTTAAAAATAATATAATAAATATAAAAATAATATAACATTAGGCACAACACAACTTCGCACAATGCATGTGAGCTGAATTTTGATGTTAATGAGGGGGGGGCAAGTATTTAATTAAAATGTAAGAGTATTATGTCTGATAAAAGTAATAAATTGTAAATTTATTAATGAAAATATTAATTTTTCTGATACTAATATATATATATATATATATATATATATATATATATATATATAATATATAATGATGAAATGAGGGGATTGATAGATTTTAATTTTAGGGGTATATTATTATTGAGTATAAGGTATATAAATATATTTATTTATATAATTTATACTAAGTAGGTAGAAAAAAATATATGAAAAAGATTGTTAGTTTAATGAGTGTAAATTATTTATTTAAAGTTTAAGTGGAAGAGTGTAATAATAAGTTATATTTTATGATGTTATTTATTTTGTTTATTTGATTATATATTTGTTTATATATAGATTTGTTTATATATTAATGAAAGAAGTTGGAGTCGAATTATTAACTGATCATTATCGGGAATAACCTAATTCAACCGAAGTTCATAGAGTTCCCCATTACCGCGATTATCAAAGCTCTTCTCGTCTTAATCGATAGCTAATGCTCCGTCTATCTATTCAGATGTCAATGGTTTGAATTATTAGTTAAAAATTCTTTTCATTGTTTTCATTGTTTTTATCAATACTTTCAATGATATAAACAGGAGAACATTGAGTGTCTCGATTACAATGTAATGATACAAAGTATCAGAAATCAAATCTAGAGACCGAACTTGTGTGTGTAAACGTTGAAGCGATGTTATGGTGTTGCTTCGTGCAATATCACTAATTATCTTCGTTCTCTTGTCTTATGACTGATTTTACGGCGTTTACTGGCACGTTCTGGAAGACTGCTATCAGAAAGGTCAGATGTTGGTGACTGTGGATTCACGGTCGATGCAGCATCTACATCTTCTATTTGCCAAATATAATTATCCAACAAACTGTCAAGTTCTTGCATCAGTTCAGATTGGCCAGATTCTGATGGCTCTAGATTGCTGCTCGATGTCCCTGGATTGCTGCTCGATGTCCCTGGATTGCTGCTCGATGCAACATCAGGATTTACAGGATTTACAGGATTTACAGGATTTACAGGATTTACAGGATTTACAGGATCTACAGGATTTACAGGATCTACAAGATCATTCGATGGAATTAATCTGTTAGAACATAAAAAATAATTGTATTAATTAATACATAAAATATAGCTTCAATTATATGCATAATACAATATATATCATCAAATTTTTCAACTATTATTTTTTAATGACAAAAAATACTTTTATTATTAAAATATTATCAAAAACTTGAATATTCTTAAAAATTTTATATCAAAAAACCAAAATTTTCAATCGATTATTTAAAAAGAAATTCTTTATACTTATATTCGCAATTTATATTTACATAAAGTTTCACAAATTCTCTCTCTCTCTCTCTCTCTCTCTCTCTCTCTCTTTCTCTTTCTCAATTATCGAAATACTAAAGTAATAAATTTTATATTTATTTATATATGTAATATATAAATATTTTTATGCGGTAACACCTAACAATAAGTTAAATTGACTCAAATATATATACCAAATATTTATCGTAAATACATACTATGTGTGCTAAATATATGAATTTTATAGTTTTATATCCATGATTCTTTTTTGTTATTATTATGCAATAGTATATATAAATGATTCAAAATAGGTAAATTAATAAAATTTGAGTTTTTCCGTTTTTCTTACTCTTTTGGTAGTATATCCAAAGGTAAACGTAGTTTCGGAGGTGAATCGGATTCGAAGATAATGTCGGATCCATGAACTTGGATCAAATGCTTTAGCATGATGCACAGATTACTACGTTGAAACTCATGATGTTCACATTTCTTACACGATCTTGTTTTTTTTATCGATCCTATATGATCCTCAGTCAGGTCATAATACTCTCTTAGGTTCGTGTCTCGCCAATTTTCAAGACTTCTCCATTTATGTTCCGTAACGTTATGTTCGTCTTCTAAATGTGTTTTCATACTGATGTTCACGAATATTGGAAACTCTGTTTTATATGGATTACTATTTGGATCACATAGTTTGCACTTTATATTAATTCTTGTACTATCAGTTGAGCTTTCTATCCTTTCAAAGAGCGATTCCCATTCTTTGATTTTTTTCTTTCCAATTATTTTATAAGTTTTTGGATGTATAGTAGATAAATGTCTATTCATATCTTGTATATCACACTCTTTCTTATAATGGCCTATTTCTTTACCACAAATATCACATACCGACATACTTATAGCGTTATCTTTTATCGAAAAATAATCCCATACCCATTTTCTGAGTAAGAGACGTCTTCTTAACGTTCCATGTTCTGTCGACATGATATCCGCTATGTATCACAGTTCGTGTATTACTGAATACAAAATGAGAATTTAAGGAAAAGTACGAAGAATATAGAAACTGGTGTCTATAAGAAAGAAGGAAAGGTCGCGTAAAGACATATGATATGATTGTATACAAATATTGCTAGACTCTCTAAATCTGCCTCTAAACATGCCTGTTTTGTGTATACAGGGTGACCCATTTTAACTTAGGCAGCCAAATAACTCGAAAAATAAGCACACTACGAAAAAATGGTTAGAATCAAAATTTCGTCATTTCGAGGGGGACGTACAATGACGTTAAAATCAGCCCCCCCACCCCTCCCCCTGGGCGGTGAGGGGGGGCAAGTTTGAAATCTTAAATGGAACCCCCTATTTTTCATTGCATATTCTTGTAGCTTATCTCGAGAGCTTTCCAAAACACTATAATTAAGTACCTTTTTATTAAGTACTTTTTGAGTTATAAGGCTTAAAATAATTTCTTAATTTTACATAAACCATAAAATATCTAGTAAACCATTCATTTTTCGATTATCTTACCTTCATACTTTTATGTACAAAATAATGAGAGGAATCAATTGGTGTAAAGAAAACACATAGTTGTTTCTAAGAAAAAATATGTAATTTGCAATTAACAATTCCATATTTTTTCTTAAAAACAACTGTATGTTTTCTTTACACCAATTGATTCCCTTCATTATTTTGTACATAAAAGTATGAAGGTAAGATAATCGAAAAATGAATGGTTTACTAGATATTTTATGGTTTATGTAAAATTAAGGAATTATTTCAAGCCTTATAACTCAAAAAGTACTTAATAAAAAGGTACTTAATTATAGTGTTTTGGAAAGCTCTCGAGATAAGCTACAAGAATATGCAATGAAAAATAGGGGGTTCCATTTAAGATTTCAAACTTGCCCCCCCTCACCGCCCAGGGGGAGGGGTGGGGGGGCTGATTTTAACGTCATTGTACGTCCCCCTCGAAATGACGAAATTTTGATTCTAACCATTTTTTCGTAGTGTGCTTATTTTTCGAGTTATTTGGCTGCCTAAGTTAAAATGGGTCACCCTGTATATTGATTTAATAATGTTATTTTATAATATTGTAGGTGAAGAAATTATCGTCAAATATATTAATATTTTTATTTATACTGTGGATAATTAAAACCGTTAAAAATTAAAATTATAATATAAACGCCCTTAAAATCGATAATATAATATTTTTAAAATTTGCTCTTAAATTTATATATCTGTTATTGAATTTTTGAACCTATTATTAAATTTTCAGCTTGAATTTTTCGATAATCTCCCTTTCAAGTATATTTAATAAAGATTAAAACAATAGAAATACAATAATTAATATTAAATTTGTGATTCAATACTCTCAATTTAATAATAAATTCTCAATTTAACAATTTTTCTATAATCATTTCTGTATCAACAATTTTTCTATAATCATTCTGTATTAATAAATAAATATTATTACTTTGCTAGAATTTTTAATTAAAATATTTGTAACAATTCAAGCCTTTAATTATTATTCCGATTAAAAAAGTTTTACTCGATTTCTTATATGTACATTTCTATATTTTTTCAATTTTAGAAATTATTGAGAGTGGGGAATTACATTCAAATTATAATTAAATGACATTTTTTAATCGTTTTATCTAGATAAAGCATTAGTTAAACGAACTTGGTTCCAATTTACAACATTTTTGCCAAACGCGACATGTCTGTCTTTTGAATAATATTTGTGCAATAACTGAGCAAATAACGGTTAAATTTTATATAGATTTATATACACAAGAAGATAGAAAAGCCTTAACCCATTAATTTATGCATGTATTGTAATATGTTGTTTTCCCTGTACATATTGATATCTAAATTTATATTAAGTCATTTTCATCTACGGAGTGCATTTTTATATACATATGTATGTACATGACGTATATATCAAAGAGAAATTCAAAGAAATAAATTAATAATATTTTTATGAAATTTAGTATTGCCTTTCCTATTATTTTATCGCTGTGGATTTGATTTGAATTAAAAAGTGCATCCATTTAACAAGAGTACATCAATCAAATGCTTCATTATGTTGAAAAATTTATTTTCTTGGAGAATGTTTTATCGTAAATTTTACATTGAGTATTATTGTGTATATTCAATTTCTATAATATCAATTTACCCATATCTACAAAAATTTGTTGCAATACCTTATTATGTTCATATTTATTGGTTAAATAAAAAATATTAGCAAGGTTATTTAATGTTGTCTCATATTGTTATATCTAATTTTTTATTGTGAGATATTACTATCATAACGAATATAACATATAATGAGCTTTTATGTATTTTTTAAATATATATTCCTTTCGAAGGGAATAAAGTACTCTATAAATACGAAAATTTATAATGAAGATTATAGAAGATAATAAAAAAAAGAAACAGATTAAAATGAATAATTTTGTATATAAATGTAAATATGGATACGCATAGTTTAGCATTAAATCTTCTATCTAAATCTGTTTAATGTATCTTAATTTTTATAATTAGGTACTAAACTTATTAGTTTACTAATTTTGTGCCGATAATAATCATCAATTAAAAAAATATTCTATAAAAATTTTCACAATCATAAGTATTACAATAGACATGACTCAAAACCGCAAAATAGTTTGAAATTAGCGAAATTAGTTCCATCAAAGCATAAAACGTTATAATGATAAGAAGGGATAAATATATTAATCGAATATTATATATATGTAATAAACTTTTAAGTGCATATTGGAATAATTATAAATTAAAAAGGTACAATATTATGCTTATCAAAAATACCATTTAATTTAAATATTTATATCAATTTTACATCATTTTCACTACACTTTTGATACAATTTTCTACGAATTGAATACAAAAATCTACTGGTTTATAAATATATTTGTTCATGCAATACGTTTAAAAAACTATTCTTCTAGAAATAATAATAGGTCATAATATATGATGATGTGTATAACGCGCACGCGCGTGTGTATATATGCGTGCGTGCGTGCTTGCGTGTATGTGTATATGTGTGTGTGTGTGTGCGATGTGTGTGCGCGCGCGCGTATGCGCGTGTGTGTGCATGTGTTTGTGTTTGTATCTATATCTAATAAATTATAAATATAAATGATATAAACGATATAAAATAATATAAAAACTTGAAATCTTTGCTTGATAAATAGATGATTAATACATTATATATTCGTCAAAAACAATGGATGCAATTATGAATATGTTATATTTAAAAAATAAAATAATGGCACAAAATCGTCAAATTCATGAAAGCTATCAAAAACAATGATCTAATCAAAATCAGAATTTTGCTTAAATTAACTGCTAATGGTTAATTGATGTGTAGCGATATTACGATATTGATCATCTCCTTCGAGATTTATAAGTCTGTTTGAATCATTGACATCTGAATAGATAGACGGAACCTTTTGATAGGAGTAACTGATAATTGCAGTAAAGGGGGAGTACATGAACTTCGGTTAATTCCGTCAGCGTTCGAATATTCGGCACAATTTGACATTACATAACGATTCCAGTGACATCGATTCTCAACTAGATTTTCAGAAATGTTTAAAGAGTGTTTATTTGGAGAAAATCGCTAACGCCATTAAATATAAAAATAATATAACAATAATAATATTAAATAATATATAAAATGTACATATATACACACATATGTATATGTATGTATGTATGTATGATGTATATATATATATATATATATATATATATATATATTACTTCTATATATTATTTAATATATAAATATAAATAAATATATATATTTATTTAATATATATATATATATATATATATATATATTTATTTATTAATATTATTAATATTATTTAATATATATGTTATATTAAATAATATATAAAATTTAAAAATAATATAATAAATATAAAAATAATATAACATTAGTCACAACACAACTTCGCACAATGCATGTGAGCAGAACTTTGATGTTAATGAAAGAAGTTGGAATCGAATTATTAACCGTTCATTATCGGGAGTAACCTAATTCAACTGAAGTTCATAGAGTTCCCCATTACTGCGATTATCAGCGATTAAAGCCCTTCTTGTCTTAATCGATAGCTAATGTTCCGTCTATCTATTCAGATGTCAATGGTTTGAATTATGTTAAAAATTCTTTTCATTGTTTTTCAATACTTTCAATAATATAAACAGGAGAATATCGAGTGTCTTGATTACAATATAATGATACTAAAGTATCAGAAATCAAATCTAGAGACGGAACTTGTGTGTGTAGATGTTGAAGCGATGGTGTTGCTTCGTGCAATATCACTAATCATCTTTGTCACTGCTTGCATTTTAATTGATTTTACGGCGTTTCCTGGAAGGTTTTCCAGAGCTGCTTTTAAAACGGCCAGAAGATGTTGATGGCTGTAGATTCATGGTCGATGCAGCATCTACATCTTCTGTTGGCGAATTATCAGTTTTCTTGTAACTGGCATGTTCTTGCTTCAGAAGGAGGTCATCAAAATGGTCAGATGATGATTGTTGCTTTAGATGGCGTTTACTGGCAAGTTCTCGAAGGCTGCTATCAGAAAGGTCAGATGTTGGTAGCTGTGGATTCATGGTCGGTGCAGCATCTACATATTCTATTGACCAATAATTAGTATACATGAAATCAAGATCTTTCATCAGACTGAGCCACATCAGGACATCAGATTGGCCAGATATTGATGGACTGCTCCTCAACATTGCAACATCAGAATTTACAATAGCTTCAATCTCATTCGATTTAATTAATCTGTTAGAACATAAAAAATAATTGTATTAATTAATACTATAAAATATAACTTCAATTATATATCACTAAATTTTTCAACTATTATTTTTTAATGTCAAAAAATACTTTTATTATTAAAATATTATCAAAAACTTGAGTATTCTTAAAAATTTTATATCAAAAAACCAAAATTTTCGGTCGATTATTTGAAAAGAAATTCTTAATACTTATATTCACAATTTATATTTACATAAAGTTTCACAAATTCTCTCTCTCTCTCTCTCTCTCTCTCTCTCTCTCTCAATTATCGAAATACTAAACTAATAAATTTTATATTTATTTATATATGTAATATATAAATATTTTTATGCAGTAACACCTTATAATAAGTTAAATTGTCTCAAATATATATACCAAATATTTATCGTAAATACATACTGTGTGCTAAATATATGAATTTTATAGTTTTTTATCCATGATTCTCTTTTGTTATTATCATCCAATAGTATATATAAATGATTCAAAATAGATAAATTAATAAAATTTGAGTTTTGCCGTTTTTCTTACCCTTTTGGTAGTATATCCAAAGGTAAATATAGTTTCGAAGGTGAAGCGCGTGCGAAGGTAATGTCGGATGGATGATATTGGATAAAATGCTTGAGCATGATGCATAGATTACTACATGGAAACTGATGTTCACATTTCTTACACATTTTCGTTTTTTTGATTGATTCTATCTTTTTATCTTCATCTTCCTCAATCAGGTCATAATACGTTTCGGTTAGATTCGCTCGCCATTTTCTAAGATCTCTCCATTCATTTACCGTAACGTTATGTTGGTATTTTAAATGTATTTCTATATATTTCTCGCAATTCATGTATATTTGAAGCTTTTTATTATATGGATTTTGATCACATAGTTTGCATTTTATAACGCTTTTTGTACTATCAGTTGAGCATGGCACCCTTTCAAAGAACGATTCCCATTGTTTAGTTCTTATCTTTTCAGTTTTTTGATAAATATCCGTATGCATAGTAGATAAATGTCTATATATATTTTCGATATCGGAATCATTCTTTCTTTCTGTACCACAAATATCGCATATCAATATACTTATACTGTCGTCTTTTATCGAAAAATAATCCCGTATCCAATTTTTGATACCTCTTGTATACGGTCCACTTTTTGACGACATGATATCCTCTATGTATCACCAGAGAGAAGACTGAGAGGGGTCACGCTGCCCTTTTTCAAGGAACGCTTTTTCCCCTCCATAAAGTGGCGCTAACTGGCCACCATTTAAATCTATTTTACGGCCGGCGGTACTACGTGGCTGGATCCACTTTTCGCTGCCACGGTAAAACGACCGATTGGTTCATGTCCGTGCTAGATCCATAATTGTGGATCTCAAAAGTATGAAACATATCATACATTTATTAATTTTTATTACATATTATTAACAGCGCGCGATCTTTTTTCACTTTAGCATATATTATAAAGTAATATATATGTATATGCGTGTAAAATATATATAAAATTAAAATGCTTATTTTATTTCACATAAAATTTAATTTTTTAATAATTTTAATAAAAGTATTTCAAAATATATATGTGTATGTTACTCCAATAATAAATATTACCAAAATGAAAAAAAGATCATACGCAATAATGTTTCGTACTTTATTTTGAGATTCACAATAATTAATGAATCTACCACGAACATACGGTCGTTTTATACACTTAGATATATGTATATATATATATATACATATATATGGGGCGTTTCACGCCAAATCGGACACCATTTAGCTTTTGCATCGCCGATTTTTTTGAAAATTTTTTAAGTTTTAGTATTGGTTGAAAGAGGCCTCCATGATTTTTTTCAATTTTTTTTGTCGAATCGTTTTCAAGATATCGATTTTTCAAAAATTACGTTACTTTTTTTTTAGACGTCCATAAGTTTGCGAAAAATGGGCCAAATAGGACGTTTTTTTTTTTGAAATTTTTCTTTTTAGACGCACTTTTGATAAAAAATATCGAAAAAATTTTTCAAACCGTATTTCTATAAGATTTTCAAGATTTAAATATAAATTGTTGATTTGTAATTGTTGATTACAAAAAGCACGTACTGATCGATTTTCTTAAAAGTTTTTTGTAAAAAACTGTCATTCATTCCACAACTTTTAAGCCTAAGTAGATAATGGGATAACGATGGGATCTATTTTTTTTCGATTTTTCTATTTCCATATTTTAATTATCCGTGTTGAAAATAAATATTAATCTTTTTTTCAGGCTCACCGGCAACGGTCATTGTTATTTATGAAATAAAATAGATATATCTTAATCATTTAATGAACGGTGACCGATAATTTTTATTTGAATAAACCACAATATATACAAATTTCAACTCCTCAACAATTATATGACTGGGCAATAAAACCAAATTCTTTGCCAAATATTTATGCTCAATTCTTCTCTAACGAAAATTACATTCGAGCCAAAGAATCATTAGAGAAACGATATATGAGAGCAAAGACAATAACAGGGACGCAAAAATATCATTGTGTAATTCCAGACGGAGAAGATACTTTGAGATTGAAAGAATTTTCATCATCTGTTGAATCTCGAATTTATAAAATATTTAAACGTGTGAGAAAATAAATGCTACTGAATAAAAAAAACTTTATCAAGCATAATAAGTACTTTATTTCGCCCATATCTTTTTCCTGAAATCAATCTGTGAACTAATTAATAATTACTATGTGTCAGATAATTATTGATAGTAGTTCCTGTGTATAGTATTTTTTTTTCAGATATTTTTCAACAAGGATAACTAAAATATGGAAATAGAAAAATCGAAAAAAAATAGATCCCATCGTTATCCCATTATCTACTTAGGCTTAAAAGTTGTGGAATGAATGACAGTTTTTTACAAAAAATTTTTAAGAAAATCGATCAGTACGTGTTTTTTGTAAATCAATAATTTATATTTAAAACTTGAAAATCTTATAGAAATACGGTTTGAAAAATTTTTTTGATATTTTTTATCAAAAGTGCGTCTAAAAAGAAAAATTTCAAAAAAAAAAACGTCCCATTTGGCCCATTTTTCGCAAACTTATGGACGTCTAAAAAAAAAGTAACGTAATTTTTGAAAAATCGATATCTTAAAAACGATTCGACAAAAAAAAATTGAAAAAAATCATGGAGGCCTCTTTCAACCAATACTAAAACAAAAAATTTTCAAAAAAATCGGCGATGCAAAAGCTAAATGGTGTCCGATTTGGCGTGGAACGCCCCATATATATATATATATATATATATATATATATATATATATATATATATATATGGCGCGTTCCACGCCAAATCGGACATATATATATATATATATATATATATATATATATATTAATATATATATATGTATATACAAACGTTTTACGTTACTTGTGTTATCGACATTTCGTGCACGTAGCATAGAATACAACCCGAAATTGTGTGTTACCCATTGAAAACATTCGTGGATATTGGCTTCATAGTTCATATTTATGTTTTTTTGTTTATAGAGGATTCATCGCTTTTAGGAATTATCTAAAAACCGATCATACCATCTCTCGTTCTTCTCTTTGAATATAAAATCAATCAAAACTGAATGAAAACTGTGAGTTTCGTTGTTTGTTTTATAGGTTTTAAAAATGGCTTGTCGTATGCTACACATTTGTAGAGTTGTAAATAATTCAATAAAAAATGTTCAATCTATAAACAATGGTAAGGCAAATTAAATATATCGTTGTCTCTAAATCATTATGTAATTTACATATAATGTGTATTTAAAATTACTCTATCAACTTAACCTTATACATTAACTCTAATAAAATTATGACATTTTTTTCAGGTATATGTAATTTATTGTTTGTCAATCACTCACATTTGTTAAAAACACACGTCCCTTTATTAAATAATACGAGAAATTCTACATTCTTTGTGAATAGTAAGTAAATTTCATGGATATAGCATGTTGATAGTAGTTTATTTTCACAGTAAAAATAGTATTTTACTATGTTTTTGTTCTATAGAAACTGGAGATGAATTATGGAAGGGTGTGACAAGTGTCAGTAATGCAGGAAGACGCAGAGGTAGAGGAAGAGGAGTAGCGAAAAAGAGAGATCTAAACAAGGGGCAAATTATTGGAATGGGAAAAATTCCGATACAATTTCCTGGCCTAAACACTCCTGTGTTTAGAGGAAAAGAATTAGTTCAACAGCAAAAACTGTCTGTAGATCCTGAAAGAAAGCAAAAACTTATAGAATTTCGACAAAGTCAGACCAGACCAATGCGAGTAAAATTATCGCCATTGGAACGTGGTTGGACTAGCAGCAAAATGGGCGGCAGAAAGATTGGACCACCTGATCCTATTGAAGAAGGTTAATATTTATGCTATTATTGGATTATAATGATTAAATCACACACATATAAAAATCATGTGATGTGCTGTTTATTTTCAATTTTTTTCTTTTATGTTTCAGTCCTGGTAATATTAGAATCTTATATAATTAATATTTTTGTTCTGCAGATACTTTTGAAGGTTTTGAAACCTGGGTTTTGGAAAACAAAATGATAACTTGTATGACTGGTAATTTAGGACGCAAGAATAGAGTCAGTTCATTTGTAGTAACTGGAAATGGAAATGGATTAGCTGGATTTGCAATATCAAAAGCACCTGTAGCTAAAGCATCCTTAAAGACGGCTAAAAATAGGGCAGGTCAAAGACTAATGTATATTCCTAGATATAAGGAACACACTGGTAAGAAAATAATTGTGAATATACCACATAATATAAAATTTACTCCTTCTCTTTTAATATCACTTTGTACTTTTCAGTGTTGCATGACTTCTTTACACAGTTTGGGAGTACAAAAATATTTGTAAAAAAAATGCATGAAGGATATGGGCTTGTCTGTCATCGTGTGATAAAAGCGTGTTGCGAGGCAATTGGCATAAAGGACATATATGCCAAAGTAGAAGGAGCTAAAAATGTAAAACATACTGTAAAAGCATTCTTTATTGGTTTATTGCAACAGGTGTGTATATATAAAGTATTTAAAAGCATATACTTTTTATTTAATTTATATTAGAAAAAAAAATTTTTTATTTATAGAAATATATATATATACATATATATATATATATATATATATATATATATATATGATATATGATATATTACAATAATTAAAGTATGATTTCTAATATCATTTGCCATGGGACTGCAAAGAAAGCCAGTTTTAATTCTTTATTTTATTCAATATCTTTAATAATATAATAAATTAAAGCTCTATGCAAATGTGCTTGAAATACTAAACAAAAAAAATTACATTTTTTATGTACAATTCTATAAAGTTTAAGTAGACGAAGAAATCATTATTAATAATATATAAATTGATAAATAAAATAATCATTTGACACAATTTACATTTTTTTAGCTTTATGTTTAACATATATGTATGTATATACGTGTGTGTGTGTGTGTGTGTGTGTGTGCGTGCGCGTGTACACACACACACACATACAACATATATATGTGTAGACATACATACATACACATACATATATGTGTTAGACATAAAGTTAAAAAAATATAAATTGTGTCAAATAATTAATTATTTTATTTATCAATTTATATATTATTAACGACGATTTCTTGTCTACTTAAACTTTATAGAATTGTACATGAGAAATGTAATCTTTTTTTGTTTAGTATTTCAAGCGTATTTTCATGGAACTTTAATTTATTATATTAAAGATATTGAATTGAATATTTATTATATTAAAGATAATGAATTGAATATTTATTATATTAAAGATATTGAATAAAATAAAGAATTAAAGCTGGCTTTTTCTGCAGTCCCATGACAGGTGAAATCAGAAATCATATTTTAATTATTGTAATATATTATGAAGCAAATCAATCTCAAAATAATATCGAAATATTTGCAGAAATCATATCAACAATTAGCAGAAGAAAAACGGTTGCATGTAGTCGAGTTTAAAGCAGAAAATGGGAATTATCCAGTAGTACTTGCTTCACCAGCGCAAGTCAGAAAACCAAACGAAGTGCCATCCAATGAGCCTCTCGATTTTACTCAATATGTAATGGGCAATAGAGTGGTATTGAAAAAGAAGAAATTACCGCCATTCTTTACTAAACTTCCGTCTTACAAAAAGAGATTGGTAAAACTTGAACGAACAAGAAACTCCGATGAAACAAGAATACAATTACTAGCGAAATATGGAAAGCTGCATAGTTTCCTGACCGAAAAATATCCAGAGGCACAATTACTTTGTAAGCGAAAGCCACGCGAAGATGAAACAGTAGAATAAAGAAGTCGTATAATTATTATACTTTTATGTATAAACGTTTCAAAATGATCTAAAATATCTTTATGAATTAAGTTACATTAGAAATATTAGTATAAAATAAACATCCATATGAGATTTAAAATTTGTGTCCTTTTTTTCCTCAGCATTCTTTAAGCGAGAACTGTTTCTTTCGCAAGAATATCAAGTAATTTGATTATTTGATGTTTTTTTGGCAGTTTAAATTTCGTGAAAATATTCGAGAGAAAATTAGATTTTATCGTGTTACTGCACATATCAATTAAATGCTATATCAGATATATATGGCGTAAATATTATTTTAATTTTTTCATATACGAGAATCCATTTTTTATTTCACTGATGTTTTTATAGTGCACCTTGAGTACTTTGCTTCATATGTTCGCAATAAAAATATATTAAGGCAAATTATTTTTTCAGATTTTTTGGATATTTTTATTTATTGAAAAAAAAACATCAGACAAAACTGTACATTTTAAAAATGCCAAAAGGCATTTTTTATTCCTCCACTTTCTGCACATTCCTTCCTGTATATTTTAAAAATACCAAAATGTATCTTTTATTCTTGCATTTTCTGCAAATAATGTACACAAAAATGACATAGATCTATATTTAGCTGGAAACAAAGGAGAAATGAAAAATGCATCTAGAGAATTTAAAAGAATAAAAAACAAATCTAAAAATAATAATATGGTGTAAAGATTAATAATATGTATTTTTTTTCATGAGGAATGTAAAACGCATATTTATGTATTTATTTATTTAAACAAGATTTACTTTAGGGCGCATTCAGACATTCAACTTTATTTTCTGTTTCTTATGATTTATATAAATACAGTGTAATTACCTGTAAATACTGTCATTTTTATGTGCTTACGTTGCACAGAACAATATTTCGAGTACTATATTTATGGATAAACATCTGTATAATAAAAAAAGCACCAAAAGTATAATAGTAGAAAAAAGTAATGTTGTAGGCCAGCATAAGTAACCAATTATCAACCAATTATTCCACCGCTTTGTTTAGCTGCATTAGATTTACAATTTTCTTTTATAATGTTATAAATAAATGTAATATTGTAAATAAGATAAAGATTTAGGCTTAAGTTCCAAATAAATTTATATATTTTATATATATAATATTGCACATATTAAAAGATGATATCGCAGTTGTAATAAAATACAATCCTGGCAAGTAGTGATTTTTGAATCCGACTAAAATAATTTAATTTGATTTATTTTTGAGAATTGCATGCACTACTTGAGAACAAATTATTTTTGTGCCATGTATCACCTGCGTAAAATTCCATGCACTGTAACGATACTGTATTGTCTGCTACATATGAAAAGCTTCATCGGTGAAATAATGTGGTTGAATACAATTGAGATATAAAAAAAGTAATATAATACTTGTAATGAATAACGTTAATGTGGAATACATAAATATTTTGTATTTTAGTTGCATGTAATTAAAATGAGATACGATACTCATGATTACTTTCAAAATGTGTCCACAAATATCATTTAATTTCAATAGCTGCACATTCGTCAAATTAATACTATTACATTAAATATATCAGCACAGCAGCTTGTTTTAATTAATTTAATTTAACTTAACCAAGTATATTATATGCTCCTCATTAAAATGTGTAAAACTGTAACATCACATGTGTATATCGCACATTTAATACGATTAATATACTACGTAATAAAATGTGTTACACTAATGATTAACTATTATTTTTAAAAGCATGGTAAAATCCACGCAGCACATGCTCATGTTTATTCGACTCATTCGACATCTAAAGACATTAAGAGGTTAAGTTAGGTTAGGTCGAAAAAATTATCGTTTGACAGTTGGCATCCCTACAAGATAGGCTGCGCAAGCACTGCTTATACTGCGCGCGTGTACAAAATAAATTTCAAATCGCTTCTAGCCTAACCATCTTCGCGCGATCGACTTTACTTGAATTGTATCGCGTCGCTTCGAATTATGATACGGCGTCAATTTGCCCCGAATGTAATTCGGGACATCGCGACATGCTATATAAGCGTCGAATGAGTACGAATTATCACGCAAATATGATAAATCAAATCGACTCACCATTCACCGGCTGTTCCACAGGCCGCTCCATTCGCTCGCCTCGGGATGTCCCATTCCGATCTGGATGCACACAAACTCACACGATATCATTAACGCGAACGCGCGACACTTTATTCGGCACTCCCGATACACGCTCGCATCCGATGATCATCACCAAAGCGCGAATAACACGACGCGACTTCGCTCGACCTTCGCGATGACGCCATCACTGAATATTGTCAAAAGTCACTGTCAGGCACTTCCATCGACATATTATTATAGTCATGCGATCATCCTTGGACACTTTCACGCTCGTTCACTCGCGATATTCCTTTATTTACGGTTAAAAGACGCGAAAAATGCGGACGTACGACGATCTGCGTAACTGCGTATGACTCCGATTCACACGGATGACGTAGCAATGACGTACTAACATGGTGGCCGAACCGGTGCGCATTCGTTTCTGCGCATTCCCATTACTGTCTTAGGCTGCGGTCGGGAAGACGCTCTGGATGCTTTGAAACATTCTATCTTTGTTCTACATTCCATGAGAATAAAGATAGAATGATGTTTTAAAGCATCCAGAGCGTCTTCTCGACCGCAGGCTTATTACTGTCTAAAATAATAATTTAATTTAAAATACAAAATTAAAAGTTATATTATAGAACTTCAGAGATTTTTGAGAAATAATTATTTAATTCATATCCACACAATTATATCATGATAGTTAAATATCTTTCTTGATAACATTATTGTAATTTTTATTTTAATAAACTTAAATTATCTGAATTATTATGAAAATCCTGATTCATCCCTATAAGCACACAATATTCCTAGGATATTATATAAATATTATTAACTGTTAATAATATTTATCCAATATTTTAGGAATATTGTATTTTACAGGGATTAAACTCACTCGTCACCGATCGTATTGCAATTTCTGAAATTCATTTATGTAATGCATTTTTATTCATTTTCACAACGTGTCAAACTATATCAACATTTATTTCACTAACTTCTTTTAGCAGAAAGCTATTATTTTTATTCGTCGCTTTCTTAAATAAATTATTTTCTAATAAATTATACAAATGGATTATCCAAATACATTACCGTATCTTATACAATTGTCTTTATTATAATAAAAAAATATAAAAAATACAAGAATTGCATATAATTTTCTAATATTAATATATTCAATAATAATCTTAGAAAAATGAAAGAATTTATTTTGTGTATATGTAATTACTTTTTTATTTTTAGAAGAAAATTAACTTTGAAACATAAAATTTACAATTAAATTTAAACAAAAAAAAAGAATCTTTAAATGCCAATTTTGTAAATAAGAATATAATTTTATTGAATTGATATTTGTTAATTATTTCTTATTTATTTTCCTTTTACAGATGTTTTTTACAGACTTGTTAATAACGCGTTTATTTAGCACTAACATAACTTATTATGTTATTTATTAGTTTAAGAAATGAAAAAAATTACTAATATATCTAAGTTTTTAAAATAAATAAAATGTTTGATATATATAAGTAAAATATTCATGGATATAACAAAGTGAAACACTTTTCACAGCAAATTGGAATACGATTTTTGCAAAAATTCTTATGTTTTTGTTCTCAATATTCTCGTTTTTCATATTTCATAAACTCATCGAGAAATATAAGGCAAACAATTTTCAGATAAGATCAAATTATATTACATCCTGCACATGATCTTTTGTTATTTTTGAAGTATTTAGATTTGTAATGCGTAGCGCAGTTTCGATAATGAACTTAGCAAAGTGAAAAATGTTTAATATCTCTTTATATGCTGACGTATAATCTACTATACTGCTTCTGTGTCAAGATTTTAAGATTTTAATATATTTCATATATATAATATACTAATTGACTTACCAAAATTTCGAAATTTAGCGACAAAAAACATCAGGATCCTCGGAGAATTTTCATACGTGATAAATACTTGTAATACTTTGAACGACAAAATATTGGAGGGAAAACTATGAATTTCTCGCGCATGCGTAGTCATCGATCGCACATCGCAAAAGAACGAGCTCTCCGATTGAATCTTAAATTGTGAAAATATACGTCAAAATCGAAATAAATGGACGTGCCTCCTGACAATTGATTAGAAAAATAATGCAAAATCATATTTCTTTTAATTTAATGTCACACAAGTTATTTTTATTTCTCAATTTATACTTACAAGCATCGAAGCGTCGAAGCGTTGCGCCACAATTCCGAACCACAATGCATGAATGTCTAGATGCACATGTTTCAAATTATGTCCCGAACGCCCTCTAATTTCATTCGATAAGGCGAACATAGTTGCCGCACCAATCATAACGCTCTATTTGATTCGTATCGACTAGTTGATTCCACAAGTTTGACTTTCCTATCTCAATATTAAAATATACAGTTTATGGATCTAGGATCACAAATCCCCTAATGTTTGCGCATAAGAATTGCGCATTTTGATCACTAGAGTAAATCAAACCGTATTTAAAAAGAAAATAAGATAGCTTTTTCGAGATCGTATAAAAACTTTTTTATATTTTACATTATCATTACATATTATCGGGAAACAAGTGCGTAAACTTGCATTTCCTAAGAATTATCAATCTTTTTCAATTATATAATATATTGTAAATAATAATCGTAATCGTAAATATAATCATCATCCTATGATTATTTTGTAAAAACATTTAATTAGCAAAAGTTACGTAATTATACATAAGATTTAAAAAGTATTAATTTTTAATATTTTCAGATTGTATTTATGTCAATTGTATATACAGGGTTGGGCAAAAGTCCGGAAACGGTCAAATATCTCGAAAAGGATCAACTATAGCGAAAAATTGTAAATAGCAAAGTTGTAGGGCTTAAAAAAATGTATCTAATGATGACTAAAAATTTTACTTTGAGTGGAGGACGAAGATCATATAAAAGTCAAATTGAATTTTTTAAATGGAACTGCCTACTTTTTATTGCATATTCTTGTAGCTTATCTCGAGAGCTTTCCAAAACACTATAATTAAGTACCTTTTTATTAAGTACTTTTTGAGTTATAAGGCTTGAAATAATTTCTTAATTTTACATAAACCATAAAATATCTAGTAAACCATTCATTTTTCGATTATCTTACCTTCATACTTTTATGTACAAAATAATGAGAGGAATCAATTGGTGTAAAGAAAACACATAGTTGTTTCTAAGAAAAAATATGTAATTTGCAATTAACAATTCCATGCAACAACTATGTGTTTTCTTTACACCAATTGATTCCTCTCATTATTTTGTACATAAAAGTATGAAGGTAAGATAATCGAAAAATGAATGGTTTACTAGATATTTTATGGTTTATGTAAAATTAAGAAATTATTTCAAGCCTTATAACTCAAAAAGTACTTAATAAAAAGGTACTTAATTATAGTGTTTTGGAAAGCTCTCGAGATAAGCTACAAGAATATGCAATAAAAAGTAGGCAGTTCCATTTAAAAAATTCAATTTGACTTTTATATGATCTTCGTCCTCCACTCAAAGTAAAATTTTTAGTCATCATTAGATACATTTTTTTAAGCCCTACAACTTTGCTATTTACAATTTTTCGCTATAGTTGATCCTTTTCGAGATATTTGACCGTTTCCGGACTTTTGCCCAACCCTGTATATGTATGTATACATGTACAATACATATCGTAATACGTAAAATATTGTGACAAAAACATGACAATATATGTATTTACATATTATTTATATAAATTAATTGTCATTAATTATATCAATTATATTAATCATTAATTATCTTAATTATATTAATCATAGTAAAAAAATTTCTCAGTACTAATCGCAATCGTGATTTAGAAAAAGAATTTGTTGGAGCTTTTGTATCATTTTTTTCTTTAAATACCATTTCAATTTTTAATTACGATAATTGCATATGGTGATTATATAGAAAAGTGGATTTAATATTACGTACAGTTACTTTGTTTATATGTATGCTTATATCAGAAAACGTGTTTTGCTAACGGCTAACTTACTGACCTACTATGTGTTGTTCCACCAAACAAATTTGCTGAAATATATTTGAATAATCAACCAATTTTAGTTTACTGTATTAATTAGTAAACAAATTAATATTTTGTTAATAAAGAAATAATTTTTTTAAGTTATGCATAGCGCAATTTCAGATAATTATAATAATATTATATGATTTTTTTGTTAATAAAATAATATTTTATAATAATAATCATACATAAACATTGTTATTCTTAAATAAATTAATTTAAATTGACAATTTTTCAAATAAATATTTATGCTATGAGAGAGAGAGAGAAAGAGAGAGAATTTTCTCTCTGAAAACTAGTATTAATAATACATCGCGAAAAACATACCATTAAATGTATTATTAATTTTAAAATTTACTTTTTTCTCTCTTCTATATTATTTCAAACTCTATAATATTATCAAAATCAATAATTTGCGTTTTCATGCTAAACGATTCAACGATTTATTCCAATCCTGTAATTCCATTGACATATGATGATTATAATCATATGTATTCAATCCTAACGCTTTCAATATTCCATTCATTAACCCAGAAGCCTCTGATTTACTGTGTGACTAAAGAATAAATGTCATCCAACGCGAAGTTGAAATCCCGTAAGCCAGACTCGTGGGGCAGAACAGTGAAACCACGTGTTTTACATGAATCAGTGCCGAGCAACTGGTTCTAGCTGCAGTCAACGCCAGTCAATGAGGGAACTTTGTAGCGTGCATCTTGACGCGATCGAAGTACATCATGAGCGACATCGATTCGATCCTGTACGTGATCCTCGTAGTTTCAGGAATATTTATGCCATATTCGGTAAACGGTAGTCCGTCTCGCGATAGTTATACAGTGACACATCCGAAATATGATTATTCGGAAGAGAAGATTTTCCAGAAGGATAGAAATCTTGATGAAAAAAACAGTGGGTTGGTGTCATTAATTGATCAGGAAATTGTGCGATGAACAGTTTGATGAAATTGTGAATTGTACATTAATATTTAAAAAAATATCAAAATATCAATAAGATTTTGTACACGGAAGGATTATTAAAATAACTATAAAAATAACGCGATGTTAAAGAAGAAACGTTTGTTATATATTTTATTTTTCAACGAAAAATGTACTATATGTAATTTTGAGCACATATAAATATATTTTAGATCAAAAGAGATACTCAATTCGATAACTCTTATTTCAAAGTCAGCTTTTTTTAATTAGCTTTTAACATTTGTCGAATTCTATAAAAGAATCTGAGGAATATCAAATTATAATTCTATTCTTATAAAAATATAATTACCGATTGTACTATTTTTACTTTTAACTTGTTACAATTATTTTAATTGTTACAATTGTATGATCTGTATTTATTAAATCTTATATTTTGTTTTTATTCCGTTAATTAACGGAATAAGATATATTCTTTTGTTTGCTTTCTTTTTTATTCGTGCCTTAATTTACCTTCTCTTGTAAAGAAGTAGACCGTACATATATGTTAATCAGAAAGAATATTCAAGTTTTTTTACTAGCTTTGTATAGTTGATGCCAAGTATACGCAAATTTCATGTAAGCGCATAAATAATGCTTTTGACATTTAAAAAATATACAAATGATCTATAAATTGTTAACATTGTCATAAACACATTTATAAATCTGTATAATCAGAATATCTTTGTAAATATATTTGCAACATTAATATTAATATAATATTTTCAACTTATTTATAACAAGTAATGTATATATATTTAAAAATTAAAAACGTTTACCAATTTTATATTTATTATAACACACACTTGTTTACTTTTCTAATCTCTAGAAAATATCATAAAATACTTTAAAATATTTAAAAATATAAAAAAACTTAATATAAAAAGTATTTATATTATAAACGTAACAAATAACCAACATATAGTTTCCAGAATATTAATAATAATCAAGAAGTGCGACCGATTTGGGATTCTAAAAATAGAAAAGAAGAAAAAATTGAAGCAAATTATTTTCAACAGACACTCAGGGAATCATCCCAGGATGATGATTATGACAGAGGTTTCTCTCTATTTGGCCTAGTTGAAACCATGCTATCTGTCGTTGCAAATGGACTTAGCACAGTTGTGAGCAGCATTGTTGGCACTGAAAAGAAGAATTTGCGATCAAATGTCAATAAAATAAATTATAGAAATTATCAATTAATCAGAGTGTTTCCTAATACGGAAGATAATGTTGCGGATTTGCGTGATTTGAGAGACGCTGAGCCAGAAGACATCAAATTTTGGTCCTTTCCAAATCTTAATAGGTTCACATCTTTACGATTTTTTTTCTTAAAAAATATAATCAATTACTTAACATATTTTTTTTTATATCGATATTTATTTCTCAGGACCTCCGACATTATCGTCGCACCGGATCTTGTAGCTGACGTTAAGAGCTATTTGAGAGATAAAAAAATGGATTTCAAAGTGTTAATATCGGATATTCAGGTAAAATTAAATATGCATGTTTCATATTCTTCTTTTCTTTATATAAATATTATCGCAAAACATATTAAATATTTTCAAAATAAATAAAATTGTTTTGAATAACAATTATTTTTTACATTAAAAAATACTATATTTAGTTAAACATTAAAATTAAAATTATCAATAACCATGAGAACTTTCGAAATTAATTATGTACGTCATTATATGTGGTTTAATCCGAAATTTTAATGACAACAGGTGTTCATGCATAATACTAACACACTTTACTTATAATAATAATTTCCATGATTTCTCTCATTCTCTCATTCTTCTCATTCAATGCGCAAAGACATAAAGAAGTCATAGTAATAAATGAATCATCATTTATTTTATAAGTGAAAAATTACTATATATGTTAATCATTATTCATGCGGCCTATTGATTGATGATTGCTAAAAGAAATGAAGAAAAGAAATCGTACTCTATGTGACATAATTGATTGAAATAATTAATTTTATATGTTGAATTGAATGATAAATTACAGATCTTGAAAATAACTTTAATCTTTAATTAATAGAAAGCAATATCATATCAAAATCCGAAAATGACAAAAGAACAACGCGAAGATTTAGTGACTACTCAAGGTCATAGCATGACATGGAAACGTTATCATCGATACGGCGGTAAGATTATTACAAGATATATTTTTTACGGTGCATTAAACTAATCTAAGTGAGAATAATCTAGTTAATTAAACAATTGTCCTTAGTTTGATATATATTGAGTATATTAATATTCTTACAGATATCGTGCGCTATTTAGAATATCTAGCTTTTAGGTATCCTAACATGCTTGAATTAATAACCATCGGCCACAGTTACGAAGGCCAACCAATAAAAATGGCAAAGGTTTCAACGGGATTAAATAAAGATGGCGAAAGAAAACCTGCGATTTGGATCGATGCCGGTGAGTTTTTTTTATTTGAGGCAAACATTTTTTCCATAAACAAAACTAAAAATAAAAAATATAAATTTAAGATAGAATTTGAAAAATAATTAAATAGTACATGATATATAAATATTGCGAAAAGAATATTTCAATAATTTAGCCGCTTCTTTGGCGATTTCTTTTCCTGTAAAAGCTTTTATCATAAGTGCCCTTTTTTTATTAAATTTATGATTGACCGGTTTTCGGTAACATCAGATTTGCATGCCTTGACCGTATCTCGTCCCGTTAGATTATCTTTTCGATGAATTGTCGTTATATTCGTAGGTATGCACGGACGAGAATGGATCGGTAGCGCCGTGGTGACCTACATACTAAGCCAGTTAGTTGAGAGGAATTCGACCTACTCGAAATTGTTGGATAATTCAGATTGGATGATCTTACCCGTTGTCAATCCCGATGGTTACGAATATAGTCATATCAGCGATCGTTTTTGGCGAAAAACTAGAAGTAATCATGTAGAAAGTCAAGAAGATAGTAGGTAATGAAAAAAGAAAATTCTGTTGTTTATCGCGATTGTGTATTTTAGTACGAACGAATAATTAAAGCAACGCATACGAATGTATTTTTTTGAAGTTTAATATACATTTGTATTTTTCGAATGTGATGTGTATTAAGAAACATATTATTCGTTAATATGATTTTAAAAGATCAATCTTTAGATTAAATTATATACGAAACATTATATAAATTATATTATGATAAGATATGATGAGATCTTAGGTAAAGAAAAACGAGAATGTGTGGACTATTACTACGATATTGAATTAAAAACACTTTTATAAATTTTATTATTTTATTATATAATTATTTTATTATATAATAGAAAATAACGATAAAATTATGGAAAATTATTTATACCACAATGTAAAATAAAATATAAATGTACAGTTTTATTTTAGGTACACACCTAGCAATTTGTTACAGTTTGTAACGCACTATACTAGGTGGTTTTGGACTAAATGCGAAGGAGTTGATCCAAATCGAAATTTTGCATATCACTGGGGCGAGGAAAAGGAAGGGAGAGCTAGTTCAGACCCTTGTCACGAAACTTACTCAGGACCCTTCGCCTTCTCCGAACCAGAGACGAAAGCTATGGCAGATTACATTCTGGCAAATAAGCAACATATTCGGTATATAATTATCTATATTTATTTAATTTATTTAATTTATTTAATTTTTATTTATTTTATTTAATTTTATTATATTTATTTATTTAATTTATTTAATTTTTCTACATTTTTTATTCCAACTTTACATTTTATTTCTTTTTCTAAACTTTTTATTTTATTAAAAGTATATTTAAAATATTTTATATAAACGTATTTTAATTATATTTACATTTTCAGAATGTATTTGACTTTGCATTCTTATTCTCAAATGTGGCTACTACCATGGAGTCATACACGTACAAAACCATCGGATTATTCCGATATGATAAACGTAGCGAAAAAGGCGATTAACGCGATTGCAAAAGTTCATGGCACTCATTATCAACTTGGACCGGTGACAGATCTGATGTATCCAATTTCTGGTAGATACATTTTTATCTATTATTTATAGCATATCATTTATTTCAATTTTAATATACGATTTATGTGCTCGTAAGAAAGATATAACGTGCTAATCTACGATCAGATATTAAAACGATATTAAAAAAGCATTTATCGTGGAAATATTTATCGCAAAGAATCCTCTCTGCAGGGTCATCCGATGACTGGGCCAAAGGGGTAGCCGGTATAAAATACGCATACACAGTAGAACTACGTGATCGAGGAACATACGGATTCTTGTTGCCAGCGACTCAAATAGTTCCGACTGCGCGTGAGATTTGGGCGGGAATTCGCGCAATCGCCCGCTTAGTCACCTGTAACACGTGAAATTGCTCTTATCGAATTAATTTACATTTTTTTCCGAATGATAAAGAGCAGATTAATTCATTTATAAAGCGCATAATTACTGGTATTTCTGCGCAGATTAATATTCTAAAGTAGGGCATTCTTGAGCATTATTGAGAAATCGACACTCGAATCGTTATCAGAATAAATAATAGTTAAAATGACGACGAGAGATAAATTTATTACTTAACTGAGATCATAGGAACATATTGACATTATTGATATTATTAACAAACATGCATGAAATATCAACAAATTTTCATTCTTTACGCATGTACATATGAATTTATGTTCCTAAATTAATTCCTAGAAAATTATAATTGGATTAAATACTTGAAAATTATATTATATATAAAAATTTTATTTTAATTTAATACATTAAAACTATAAAATTTGTATTATCTTCGATATGTTTATTTTTGTACATTTCTATTTGTAAATTAAGTGAAGCATGTATTTCATGTATACAGACTTATATTTAAATTAAGTAAACAGAAAGAGAGAGAGAGAAAGAAAGAGAGAGAAAGAGAGAGAGAATGTGTGTGTAATGTATATAATGTAATGTGAATATATTTATTTATTATTTGTTTTACTATTGTTTTATTATATTGATACTATATTGATACTATTGTTTTATTATATTGATACTTCTTTTAGACAAATAATGAAATAAGTATTGCTTTATGCTATACTTAAACAATATACTGGACTGTTTTAATATTTGTTATTTTAATTAACATACATATAATATATTATAAGGCACATAATATTATAAATAAAAGTGATTCTAGTGTATGCTACTATAATATAAATACAGAAATAAATTAATAACAAAAGAATTTGTAGATTAATGAAGCGTAAGACAATAGTCAGTACACGCTATCTATCCACTCAAGAAAATGCATTATCAAGATGAATCCAAAATAAATGAACCCAAATGCGCATTTATGTCTTATCGTGAGATATTGCGTTATTTCGTAGTATATAAACCGTAAACAGTGTTATTCAACGCAAAGTATCTTCTCTGCTTTAAGGGACAGTCCTTTATAAACCGTAAGTGTCATTCGACAAAAGTACCTTCTCTGCTTTCAGGAGCATCCGCCTTTTATTCACTTGATATATCGATAATGCTGATTCAATATCTTTCAATTGTCATTCTGGTGTTCCAGAGTAAGTATGCATTTTTTTCAATGTGTTACTTGTAATATTTACATTTTCATAAATTGTAAAGCTATTGAAATAAAATAAAATAGAACTTAATATCTTATAATTTCCAATTAACATAAATATCGTAATATATATATGAAATGGGACAAATATCGCAAATATTTTTTTCTAAATTATAAAGTTTATGTAAATTATTTAACTTAGAAATATTTAACAACATATAAAGAAAATATTTTAAATATTTTCTTTTAAAATATTTTAAGTTTTCTAAGTAATTTTAAGATAGATACTTAGAAAACTATATTTTTAAAAGGAGGATTTATTTCTAAAAAATATTATATTTTGAAATCAAAATAACATTACAAAATAATTGAAATATCGACACATCTTGAATATCAATATATTCAAGATTTATGAAAGTATTGTTCTCATCTAGATATTATTATTAAAAGTTCTCTTTAAAATTGTCTATAGCATGTCTGGCCAGTCCCTTCAGTTTGAAACCTAAAATCACTGACGGTAAAGATGCTACACCGGGTGAATTTCCTTATCAGATATCTATTCACTCGGAAGATAAATCGCTTGATATTCCATTCCATCATAGCTGTGGAGGTTCAATTTTGAACGAATATTACGTTTTGACTGCCGCACACTGTGTTAATTTCGTCAGGGAATTTAAAGTCTTCGCTGGCAAGCATCATATTTTTAGAAATGAAGATACTCAACAAAAAGTTGAAATCGAAAAAATCATCATTCATCCACAATATAAGAGGTACGTTTCTATTTCTTTTTAAATAAAGATATCACATTCTCTATAATTTCTAAAAATAGATATCATTATTCTCCATAATTTCTAACTATTAATTTTACTAATTAATATTTCTAACTATTAATTTTATTTAATTTAATCAAGAGCCATCTTCTAATCAAAATTTATATTAATTGCCAAACTATTAATATTGTAATTTTTGCGATGTAAATATTACAAAAAATTATAATCTTACAAACTAAAAGATTTCAAAAATACTTAAAAGTATATTTTAGCTAAAGAAATAATAAATTATAATTAATAATAATAAATTTATATATAAGATATGTATAATATTTATATATAAGATGTTTATGATATAAAATTTAAAAATAGATTATCAATATCATTATTTATGCAAAATTTTTATCCAAATATAGTATTTATTTCTTTTAAAATTATAAATTAATTCATTGATTTCTTATTATAAATCATTTTATTAATGCAATATTACTTGCCGTAATTAAATATCAATTACATCTAAAAGATTACAATTTATTTAAAAGGTTTTAATATAGCAAATATATATGGAAATCAAAATCTCTCAAGAAATTTAAAATTAATTACTTTTTGTAACTATTTTGCAATCTGTAATCCATGTCACGCGACAACGTATCATCACGTCTTTTTCATAATTTTCGCAATCAGTATCCGTGTTTTCCTAACTGATAATATAATAGACATGTCTGGAAGTCATGATATTATCGCAATACTTTAAAGTGAATCATATTGTGTTCTTTCAGAGAATTTTCTACTCAATATGATATCGCTCTCTTGAAATTGAAAACTCCCCTTATTTTCAACAAGAGAGTATCCGCTGTCACTTTACCTCAACGGAACGAGATACGAACTGGAAATGCTGTGCTTTCTGGATGGGGTTCCGTCTCAAAAATATTTAACGTGCAACTTCCTGAAGTTCTTCAAAAAGCTACTGTTCCATTGTTGGACAATCAATCTTGTCTGAAAAAACTTCCGAATAGTATCAAAACAAAATTCTATGATACACAAATCTGCACTGCTTTTGAAGAAATATCCGTTTGCTTTGTAAGTTAAATTAATACATTTTTGCTTTTTTTATTCTCTCTTTCTTTTTCTTTTACATTTAATTAAATTATCATATTAAAAAATGCTATTTTACGATTTTACATTATTAACATTAATGTTATCTATTTAGCCAATTATTTCGTCAATCTCTTCTGTAAAGCTTAAAACAATTTCTAAATTAGCCTCATTTATAAATGTTGCAAAATAACTTCATAAATGAAATAATTTATAACTTTTATTCCTAAATATAATAGAGAGAATTAAAAGATTAAATATTTTCTTAAATTAATTGTACAATCTTTTTCATTGTTTTCTGTAGGGTGATTCTGGCGGTCCACTAGTCCAATTAGAAAACAATACTTATGTTCAAATCGGTATTGTTTCATGGGGTTTTTATCCATGCGGTATAAAAGGCCTTCCTTCTGTCTACACCCGCGTAGCTTCTTACGTTGATTGGATTAACGATATTATTAATGTCGATGATTATTTATATTAAATAGCTTTTGTCTTTTCTATCGATTACTTGTTTGTGAGAATTGTATTACTTAAGACATTATTGTGTGCGCTACTTTCGTATAAATTAAAATAATCAAATTTTTTTAATTGTGAAGAAGAAAATAGTTAATATTTTCCAATAAATACTGATAATAATGACGCTGTATTCCATGTTTCCATTCCACAATAAAGAGAACATTAAAAACAAATAAATGCTACAATACATGATTGTTATATATTTTTTATTTAAAACTCTTATTAATAAATATGAAAAGATAATAAAAAAAATAATCACACCAAATTTTCTAATCTTTTGTATTTTTTACTTCTGTACTATTAAATATTTAAGATACTTCAATTTAATTATTGCACAATTTTATTAATTTTATAAGATGATATCAGTTTAGAATTTAATAGAACTTAAAATTTGCTACAAAATACGTTTGCTATAAAAACGCGTTTTAACTGTTTTACTTTATTTATTAATTATCATTATATTAAATCATGTATATATATATATGTGTGTATGTGTGTGCAAAGGTTAAAAGAATTATTATAATGATTTTTTTATAAGTATTTTTTAAATGATGCTTATTTAATTAAATGTATTAAAAACTTTTTAAAACCATTCTTCTCAGCAATATTTCTCTTATTTTTTTCTAATTAAATTTTTATAAAAGTTTTATTTATATAAGTATTTTTAATAGTAAATAAAATTTATATTATTTTTGATTGCTTATCATCGGCTTTATATTTTAAATAGGCATTCTAATTTAAAAACTAAGTATTCTCTAATATTTTTTTAAGTAATATTTATATTTTATATTTTATCGGAGGAAAAAACTAACATATCATGCATTGATTTCAATCACTAACGAAAGCAACATTATGATCAAACTTGGCTGAGACACTCGATATTGAAGACAGTCTCAATGTACATAATTTCTATGATTGACAATCTTTTAACATGTAAACTTAAAAAAGTTTTTATTAAATTTAAAACAAGCTAATAAAATTATTCATACAGTATTAACTCTTTCAATATTTGAATTTTCAAATGCGATTTTTATTCAACAGCAGATTCTCATGTCTCTCGAAATAACAACACATCAAAGTAAATGAAAGAAAGCATAATAAATAAACTTTATTATTGTTTTTTAATAAAAAATTAAATTAAATCATTAGATTCATATTATATAAAATAATTTTAATAATTTTAATTTTAATTTTAATTTTAATTTTAATTTACTAAATTCAAAACTAACAATATTCTATCTGCATCTTCATCTATTATAAAATATTAAACTAATAAAAAAGCGAAAGAAATGGCAATTTCTATTTTTTTAATGGAATATAATATAGACAGCATATTATAAAATTTATATTCGCAATGCTATAACAATGCAAAAAATTAATTGTAACAGTGTAAATCTTCTATACAATCTTTTGCTAACAAGAAAATGTCTATAATTCTAATCGTCTATATTCCTCTCTTACGAAGTGTAAAATCTTAAGTATAAAATTCTACTTACTGCGAAGAGTAACAGCAAAAAGCAAACATTAAGCTGACAATATACAAATAATGTGCACAAAGATTTATCAGACTTTTATGCACAATATCCCTTCCATAATTATTATATTTTTAATCTTTCGTAATGTGTATTTGAAATTTAAAAACAGGAAAATACATTTTTATTAATCTCGATAAATAAATCAATTTCAAACTGTCGTAAACGAGATTATTGACTTTTCGCGTGCTTTCTTTATTTATTTTATTGGAAGATAATGATTGATCATAATCAGATAATGATAATACGAATCATTGAACTACTGAATGATCCATCATGATTGAAATGCAGTGTAGCTGATTAGATCTGAAAAGATGCTTTATTATCATTGTTCCATAACAGATTTGATGCATGATTTGTATGATAGACAAAGATTTAAATAATTTTGAAACAAATTAAAAACAAAAGAAAAATTAAATCTACTAGTAATATTTTCTATAATTGTCATACTTGTTTCTTGTTAATTATAATTTATTTCAAAAATATAAAATAAATATTAGATTAAAATAAATGTATCTCATATTTAATTCTTCATTTATTTTTAACATTTTTTTGTTTCATTTAATAATTCAATTATTTTTTCTTTTAAAAAGAGTTGATTAAATTAACTAATTAAAAAAAAATTAATATAATAATGAGTTAATATAATAATGAAAACAACAATAAATAATATGTATCAGATGTTTTGATATTAAAGATCATTCTTTCTTTATCGCAAATGTAAGTTATGTTATTAAATTGAAACGCGTAACATAGTAAAAGTAACAGCATTTTGTAAATTAACTTTGTCTACATTAAGTATTAAAAACAATAACATTGTTTAAATTATCTTTGTCTAAATTACTTCGAGATAACATTTAATGATTAAATCAACATAATCAATAAAATTATAGGGAAAGTTTGAGTTTGTAACAAAATCTTTCTTATCTTTAACAGTTCACGGATTTGCGGAGATTACGATGGATTATCATTCAGAGAGATATTCAACGAAATGAGCATAAAATGCAGCCAATTCACTGGATTGGCATCAATCGACAAGATGTTTCCCAAAGCAATCGTGTTCTTTGCTTTCCTAACGGTAGCTTTCGCTAGTCCGGCAGTATTTCGTAAGTATTTTACATTAGATATATATAATAAGTATAACAAGTAAAATTGAATCAATTAGTTAATTGTTTAAAAAGTTGATAAGAATAATTTACAACTTTTATTTTTTAATAAAATTAAATTTCTTAAACAAGTATCCAAATTATCTTATAATTCTACAAAGAAAATAACAGTTTAACCCCGCATATTATAAATTACTTCAATTTTGTTGTACAAGACTTTTTTAACGCATTATAATTGATTTTGTTTGCAAATCTTGTTTTAATTATCATTAATTCTAATTTCAGAAAGACCTCATGTCGGTTTTCGAATACCACCAATCTCGCCACAAATAGTCGGAGGCTCCGAGGCTCCAAAACATTATTATCCATTCACTGCTTCTCTTCAGCAATATGATAGTCATTTTTGCGCTGCATCCATCTTGAATAATCAGTGGGTCGTAACCGCAGCACATTGCGTTCAAGCAGCAAGTTCCTTCACTGTCAAGGCTGGAAAGCACAACATTCAAGATACTGAGGATACCGAACAAATAGCTCAAGTTGCACAGACATTTGTGCATGAACAATATCAAGGGTGAATAAAATTAAACAATAAGTATTAATTATATCAATAAGCCACTTAACTTTTATTCGAATCAGTATTATCAAATGCTTAATAATTTAGTGTCTGTTTATATTTTTATAATACGTATAGAGATAATATATATGTATATATAAAACATAGCAATTCCTAAGTAGAAAGTATCTAGTTCTTATTGCATATATAGATTACATTAATCAAAATTTTTATTTAAAAATAAGAAAAGTAGTGCATATAATAAATTTATAACTTTTTTTTACACATACAACATTGCTCAATAATGTATTAAATAATAATTCTTCGTTAATATTATATGTTATTTTGTTAAACACAATTGTTAAACACAATTGTTTATGAATTTTTATATATGTACCAATTAATATAGATTTTTGAAATTGATTTCAATATTTCTTTTAATTTCCAGTAATGTCGGCCCATATGATATTGGTTTGATCAAGCTTCAAACTCCATTAGTATTCACAAAAGAAGTACAACCCATCGCATTGCCAGAACCTGGAAGTATCCCGACCGGAGATGCAATACTTATCGGATGGGGCTCTACTTCGGAAAGCTGGATTCCAAACATGCCAAACGAACTTCAACATATTGATTTGCACTACCTCGATCTTCAAACTTGTCACGACAATGTTGAGCGCCTCACAGGATCATCTCCCGTCCATGAGACCAATGTCTGTACTGGACCAACTACCGGCGGAATCTCTGCATGCAGCGTAAGAATTACAAACTTATATAAAAACTATTGCTCTACTATAAGTATGAAATTTTAATCAAATTTTCAATTACATATTGTTTAGGGTGATTCTGGCGGACCTTTAATCTCGAATGAACAGAAGCCGGTGCTCACTGGAATAGTGTCTTGGGGTATTATTCCGTGTGGTACTCCTGGTGCGCCATCCGTATACACTGGAGTCTCCAACTATAATGCTTGGATTCAAGAAATAATGGATAAAAATTAAGCATAATTATTGACGATTTATTAATGATTATTGATAATGAATTATTGTATCTTATTTAATATAAACCAAATATCTCGCATAAATAAATAAATTTTGCTTAACGCAACATATACGTTTTTTTATTTTAGGCACATATACATTTTTTTTAAAGTAATTATAAATTGCAACATATACGTTTTTTATTTTAAACGCAAGATACATGTTTTTTAAAGTAATTATAAATTGTAACATATACGTTTTTTAAACTAATTATAAATTGCAACATATACGTTTTTTTACTTTAAACGCAATATATATTAACGCATATATGTATATTATCGTGTGTAGCGATCAGTTGATCGTAGCAGGCATCCTATGTAAGCGTCCGCGTTTGATGACTCTTGCTTGTATGTATCTGTGTGTATATAAATTTGTATGTTTCTGTGTGTATATAATTTCTTTTTTTTATTTTATTCACTAACAATATAAGTAGTAGTAGTAATAAACAAACACTTCTTAACGTATTGTAACGAAATGTGTTCCAAAGCAACTGTGTTTTGTGTTTTTTTAATTGCGACTTTTGCCAGTAAGTATTTACTTACATAACTTATTTGAAAGTACAAAGCGATAGTATGTAAACTAGTCAGAAAAGGCAATAAATAATACGTAAGTTTTGTTTTAACTAATAAAATCAAATTAAATAAATGTTCTACATTGTTAAGAATTATTTTAACTTTATTATATGAGATTTTATTTAGAGTATCATAATCGATGTGTTTATATATCGAAAAGCTCTTAATTGCATTATTAATTTCAGAGAGACCTCATCTTAGTCTTCTTCAAGGAAGAGTATACAGAGATTTTTCGGTCCGGATAATTGGGGATAATGAGCAGCCTCAAACTTATTATCCGTTCATAGTTTTCTTTCAGAATATTACAGCCGGACGTACAACACATTTTTGTGCTGGTTCTATTTTAAGTAATGAATGGATTATAACCAGAACACACTGTCTGGAGAATATTTATACTACTGATATCATCGTTAAAGCTGGAAAACATAAGAGTCGAAATGCCGAAAACATTGGTCAAACAGTCAAAGTTGGACAGATTATCATACATGAAAATTATAAGTAAGTAAAATGTTAAAAATAATATATGTATATATATATATATATGTGTAAGTACAAATCATGTATCAAATTCTCTGTTAAATTTGCTTATTACATCAGTATATACATACACGTGTGTGTGTGTGTGTGTGTGTGTGTGTGCGCGCGCGCGCGCGCGCGTGTGTATGTGTATGTAATTACCACTACGTTTTCATTAGTAATTTTGATTATAATTTTCATAATCATTAATGAGATATCTATAGAAATCTACAAATTATGTTTTTATATGTGTATGTATATATATATATATATATATATATATATATATGTATATATATATATATATATATACAGGGTGTCCCATTTTAATCCATCCAATCGAATATCTCGAAAACCAAGCTTGAAAGAGAAAAATGTTTCAGACAAAAGTTGTATGGTTTCTAGGGGGACATAAGATGGTACCATTGGTTTGACCTTGAAGAGTTATTTGAAGGTCACATGAAGGTCACCTTCAATTTCTTAAATGGAATCTACATTTTCTCATTACATATTCTTGTAGCTTATCTCGAGAGCTTTCCAAAACACTATAATAAAATATTTTTTTATTGAGTACTTTTCGAGTTATGAGGCTTGAAATCATTTCTTAATTTAACATAAACCGTAATATATCTAGTAAAATATTCATTTTTCGATTATCTTGCTTTAATACTTTTATGTACAAAATAATGAGAGAAATCAATGGTGTAAAAAAAACTCATAGTTGTTTCAAAGAAAAAATATGTAATTGTTAATTGCAAATTACATATTTTTTCTAAAAATAACTATGTGTTTTCTTTACACCAATTGATTCCTCTCATTATTTTGTACATAAAAGTATTAAAGCAAGATAATCGAAAAATGAATATTTTACTAGATATATTACGGTTTATGTTAAATTAAGAAATGATTTTAAGCTTCATAACTCGAAAAGTACTCAATAAAAAAATATTTTATTATAGTGTTTTGGAAAGCTCTCGAGATGAGCTACAAGAATATGTAATGAGAAAATGTAGATTCCATTTAAGAAATTGAAGGTGACCTTCATGTGACCTTCAAATAACTCTTCAAGGTCAAACCAATGGTACCATCTTATGTCCCCCTAGAGACCATACAACTTTTGTCTGAAACATTTTTCTCTTTCAAACTTGGTTTTCGAGATATTCGATTGGATGGATTAAAATGGGACACCCTGTATATATTATTGCATATAAAAAACATAATTTAAATTGTCAGATTTTATATCAAAGATTTATATAAATAACTATAGTTATTTATTGGAATAGAGATGAAAATTATAATCAAAATTATTAATGAAAACGTATTGCTATTGTAATTATGATTTGTTTATAATTAAAGAAACTACATCTCAAATATATTTTGAATAATGCACACAATTAATTCTATAGATCTCATTAATATACAATAAAAAACATTTTTTTTCGATTCCGCATAATATTATTTTCCATTAATAATATCTAACTTTATATTTACATATAATTGTTTAATTTATATAATAATAAATAAATAAAAAATTATATAATTATTCTGATACTTTGCAATTTGCAGGAATATTAGTAATTTTGACATTGGTATGATCAAACTTAAGACTCCATTAAAGTTTACAAACGAAATATAAGCTATTGAATTGCAGAAAGTGAAACAACTGGAATTGTATATTTGTACGGATGGAATTTAATTTTACCAAATGAAATTAATAAAGGGAATGAACTTAAGCATATTAAGCTACATCGACCATAATGTCTGCAACATATTTTTTAAAGCTCTAAAGCTTGGATTTCTCATTGATGAAATCTCTATCTGTGCTGGACCATTAGCTCGTGGAATCTCTGACTACAATGTAAGAATAAAGAAAGAAAGATATATATATATATATATATATATATATATATATATATATATATATAGAAATAGAGATAGAAAGGAAGAGAAAGAGAAAATTGCAAACTTATAGTAAACTATGATAATCATTCTATACCAAAAAAGATTATGTTCGGTGCTAATTAGAATTTTATCTGAGATTGTACCATGCAGACATGGTTCACCAACTGTATACAGGTACACTAGAGTATCCAAATTTAACTCATGGATTGAACAGAAAATTAACTAATCACACAACATATATAAGTAAAACCGTATTTAATTAAACAAGTATTACTGATCTTCTTTTATTTAATATGTAACAATCGTTAGCGCTATAATTTAAACGTTAGTGATTCATTAAAATCAACAAAAAAATACATAGCAAAATTTTAAAATTTATCTGATATATATAACTGATATATATAATGTAAATAAAAATATAATAAAAAAATGCGAAATTTTAAAAATCTTTCATGCAGTTGTTAATAAAATTTTTACAATTAGTAATTTTTATTTATGAGGTAAAATAAAATGTAATAAAACAATAATTTTATGTAATTATATAACTGTATAATTCGAATATTAAAAACAGAAAATCTTTCCTTCTATAAGTTTTTACAATACTTTCCAAAATATAATACAATAACATGTGAGGTAATAGAAACCTATCCAAATGTATCAATTTTATAATCATATTAATCTAATAACTTAATTAATAATTATACTGTTTTACAAGCCTCCGTAATTATTTGCACTGCAGCAAGCGCTTCTTTGGCTGTAACTATAATAAAACGAGCAGGCAATAAGAAACCGTATTTCCCAGTATCTCTCAATTCGATTGTGTATGTATATTTAAGCTTCGGCAGAGCCTTTGCCCAGTCATCAGATCCCCCCGATGCCGGATATAAAGTTGTCGCGCTATTTCCGACAGTATACACACTACCACCTGCCTTTTTCATGGCTGTCGCTGCTTCGCGACCGACTTTATCAAGATCGACATAATCGGGTGGCAAACGATTATCATAACCCCATGGATATAAGATATACTGTCCATAAGAATGGAAAGTCAAAAATGCCTGAGAAAAAATAATAAAACGTAATCAAAATTCATATATATTTCAGATTTTATCATATAGGAACATAAACCCAGAATCGCAATTTTGTAGGAATAAAAAAAAACATTGTTCACATTTGAATTTTACACATAAGAATGCAATTTTCATATATATTTTGAAAATAGCGCATTTCTAAATTTGCAAAATAATATCTGATTTTGATATTATAACTTTATTGATATTGGAATACTACATTATTATGAAGCCCTTTTTATAACTATTTAACTACATTATTATGAAACCCTTTTTATAACTATTTACATATTTCAGACTTTAATGCAAAAAATGTAAGATTGAAGGATTAAATTGTTTATATTAAACCTTAGGATTAAAAATTTGTTATAATTCTGTCTCTTCGTGCTAAGTATTTTTTTAAATTAATAATGTTGTAAAAATTTATAAAATTTGCTTATAATATAAATTTGCTTTCTTTTTAAATAATGTCTAATAGCAACTTTATATTATAAAAAAATGTAATTTTTAAAAGCAACAAATAGAACAAAGTGAAAATAGAGCAATTTGAAAATTTGTACAAGTTAATATCGAATATATTTTAACCGACCTTGAAATTTGCTGAGCTGATCTCGAAGAAGTTTCGAATAGCATCACTTTCTGGCTCGGAAAACGGTTTAGAGCCTGCATACGTATCTTTGCAAATATCTTTGCTTGTTCCTTTTCCACCCCATTTATATCCAAAATTGCGATTTAAATCAACACCGGAACAACCGGCATAACCAGCTTTCCTTCTATTCTTCCTCCATAAACGATCGACAGTGAAAGTATAATCATATCCGTCGGGATTGACTACAGGCAAAATATAATAGTCAGTTTCCAATCTTTCGCTGTTTTCGACCAAATACTCGATAATGTACGTAACAGATGCCGGCGATATCCATTCGCGAGCGTGAATACCCCCATCAATCCAAATTGCTGGCGCATTTAGCTTACCATTGCTGATTCTTAAAACCTATAACATTTATAACGTAATTTTTAAATTCTTATAGTATCGTAAACATCTATATTAGATAATTTCAATATTAATTAAGCAAGTGTAATATACTTTAAGAGGGCGACCTTCGATGGAATGACCAATAGTTTGAACCGAACAAAGATCAGGATACGTTTCCGCCAAAAAATCCAAATAACCATAGATATCAGCCAATTGATGATATGTAGTCCACTCCATTCGATGACCTGGTGCATATACCTTCAAGATTATTCAGAGATTGCACGTTCCGTCCCTTCCTACGCTTGTTTTACAATCGCTTCGCAGATTTAGCTCGATATAGTATGACATACATAAGACAAGAGCATTTTTTTTATTTGTGATATTATGAAATACTCGACACACTCATGATATAAACGCGATACATAAAGCATCGTTCTGAATCGACGAAGCGTATTATGCGCGCTTGAGAAGCTCACCCCTAAAATGCCAAGGACCACCTCCACCGTGTATAACTACGGGATAACGAAGAGGACGAGGACGTGGATATTTACTTCTGATTCCCTGCCACCAAGCGTAACGAGCTAAAAAATGACTGAAAGCCTCACTTCGATGACGAAATGATACTGACAATTGGCGAATATTTGTATTTATTCTATTACAGCTTAATTTGCAACGCGATCCAACGATTTTAAATAGGGAAATAAAGCTGTTGTTTGCAAAAAGCGTTTTCTTATGAAACGTGACTTAATCAAAAATCGAATCTCGTTCTTATGTCCCTAAATAATGGCATCGCGTGCGTGATCGGATCGATCAAGTAGAAACGGCACAGGAAAACGTCAAAATGCTGCAAAACGCATATACGTGCGAGGACTACACATTGGTATTTTACGCACACCTTCCGTACAAGTGAAATGTAACTGTTAATGTTAATCAGCATTGAAGCGGAACCAGGTTACCGGGTAGTGTTCATTCGAGGTCAATTACCTCGATTCGTTTCCAATCGTTTATCTCGTCAATTACCTCGATTCTCTTTCTTTTATCAAAAATAACGATAACACAACATTTAATAAAGTTATCTATAATAATCGCTTATTAAATTGTTTTCTTGAGACATATACGTTTTAAGTTCATGACTTTCACAATAATCAGATATCAAAAAGTATATCGATAACGACTATCTCGACAAATTATTCTTACACAATAGATTTAATTTTTAACACATTTGATAATCGAAATCATCTGATGAGATTTCGTCAGTGATTTATATAAACTCATATATTGATTTTGTAAGTATTTACTTTATATATGTTTCAAACATTAAAGATACTACATGTATAATTTTAATAAGAAATAATTAAAAATTCAATTAGAATATAATAAAATGGTAGCTATTGATAGTTATCAGAAAAAAAACTTATTTCACAACACACAATTATTCAGTTTGTAATTTTACCAAATAATTTACTCCTAAATTAACAATGAACAATGATCTGCAATATATTTATAACATATCGTTTTTAAGTAAGAATTATCAATTTATTTTTATTAACTTTCTTCGCTAGTTATAAATTGAATCAGAGGCAATGCTATGATTACAAACTAATCAAACAATAGCTTTTTTCATGTCAGTGGAATAAATTCAATTATAACAATTATTAAGCTTTTATTTAATAATAATAATAATAATAATAATGACTATTAAAAGCGATGAAAAAATGATAAAAATTGATATAATGCAAATAGCAAATATAATAAAAGCAGCTATAATTCATTTCGCGTAAGCTATTAATAAAAATGCTATTTAAAATATTAAACAATATTTGTATGGATTAATATTTCACTATATAATCATTGTTCAAGAAGTCATTATCAGTTTCGAAAAGTTATTATTTTCATTGATAAGATTATGTTTGCAGCGTGACTACAATAATTTTTCCACATATCAATAATGGATTTATATATATTAATGTAATTGTAATAAAAGTCTCAAACCTTTACGTCCTTCGAGTTCCTCTTGCGCTTCCGGTGAAAGAGGAGGATTCTCCTCCTTGATCGCTTGTTCTACATCATCGATCAAAATTTGATATTTTACACCGTAACTTTTGAATAGAGATTCTATGTTCTCTACCATATTATTTTTCACAAAAATATCTGCGGCCGATGCGTTATTAGACCATATAGAATATGCTAAAGAATATGAAAAGAAAGAAATGCATTTAACTATTCTTTTTCTTATTCCAATTCTTGACATATAAGTCTATTTTAAATTGGCAATATAATAGATTCTGTTTAAATATAAATTTTGATTACGTACAACCATATTCATCGTAACGTTCCACTAATTCGTCCACGGAGCTGTTATCTTTATGAATCCTCCATACTTGATCCCCCTTGTAAATAATTCGTTCGCTGGAAAAATCCTTTGGCTCCTTCTTTCCTTCACTGATATTATCAACGAATTCTCTCGTTTGACGTTCGAGAATGGACGCGTCGACGACGAAGACGATGATTGCTATCATCACCAACGTCGTCAATTTGGCGCACTTTATTCGCAGTAGTCTGTGGTTGTTCATCTTCGTCAAAACTGTCTTTGAGAGAAGAATGTACATAGCTTTTATAATACGCGCCACGGTCGGTGATCGGGAATAACGGGATTGCTCGATCGAAGATCCGAAGATTGTCGAATCCCCTATCGCGAACTATCGCGTTAAAGATCTTTGACCTTTAAAAATATTGTTTAATAATCTAAAGTAATAAAGATCAATATCTATCTACAGTATCAATTAATAGAAATAAAGTTTGATAGGTATACATTTGTCATCAATTGTATTTGTTACTTCTCTTAATTAATCTTTTCTCTTTTTCTCTCTTTACAAAACAATCATGATAAAATTAAGAAAAATGTTTTTATAAAAACACAATATAATATACGTATGTGTATCTATATAATCGTACATATCATATCTTGTCAGTAACTTTACGTTTTTTTGTCATTCGTAGAGTTTTATAAACTTAGAGCAAAAGTAATTTCAAAAAGAATGATAAATGCAAAAATTTTTCTTTCTTTAATTTGTGTTAGCCTGTTTATATGTTTTAGAGTGATACATTTATCTGTAAACTGGATGCTATCGGTGCAAGAATTCGTCGTCGCAATCAACCTATTGATACATGGCTACTTATTTAATTAAGAACACCTACGTAGCTCTCGACGACGGCGCAAATCGCGGGCAGACCCGCGGCTTCTGCATGTCGTTCTCGCACTGCGATCGCAGAGACCGATTAATAAAAGAAACCGTGTCGCGTGTTACGTCCATATAATTTCAGAACAGTTCAGATTTGGGACGAAATCGTAAAACCATGAAGTGCCTGTTGACCATCGTTATTCTCGTGACTGTTACCTCGACCATCGAGGTACCGTTTGCTGTGTGCGCTAAAACGATTTTATTATATCTTTTTCAATCGTAACTGCATTTTTCGGATACCGTTAATATATGATCTTAATCATCAGACAATACGAAATAGAAATTAATTTATTATATTAGTTCTTTATCTATCTTTATTTATCGCAGTTCTTTATCTTAGTCGTAATTTGATAAAGTATATCAAACAATTAAAAGTATCTCTAGAATATTTCAATATGAATCTTTTCAATATTGCATCTTCCATACATTCTCATAAAATAAAAAACTCAATGCAAAAAACAATCCAATTAATCGCGGAATTTACTTGATTGTATCGAATTTTTATTATAGATTAAATGTTAATTTTAAAAAAATATTTTGTGACAAGTATATTCTAATAATAAAAATAGATCTTATTGATATATAAATGATAAAACTTGAACACTTTTATGATAAGCTATTAATTACTTAATGTCTGAGAAATACACGTACGTATAAATCGCATAATAGAAATGAACAAATACAGTATAATAGGTCAAATGTTGCTTTTATAAGGTTTCCACGATCGTTACGTTTTGATAGACGAATGTATGTGTATATGCAAAATGCACGTATATAAATTTACACGCAAGCGATTCTCCTATGGATTTATCCTATGGATTTATACTAATTTAAAATTGCGCTTTGGATTAAATTCTATATATTAAATTAATTGGCTTTATTTTATATTATTTTTGTTAGTTTAGTTATTTGTGATCGTACCTTTTCGCTCGTAGAATTATTTAATTCGTCAATTTATTTTTTTTAATCATTAGTGTCTCTTTTTCCTTCAAAGTAACTTAATAATTATTGCGTATCGTGTGCATAAAAGATATGTAAGATTGAAAAAAAAGAAGTAGAAAATTTAATTTTATTTCAGGCCAAAACATTCCAAGTCACGGAACAGGTGTATTTCGATATCATAATTGACGATCATCCAGTTGGACGAATTATTATCGGTTTGTTCGGCAATATTGCGCCCAGAACGGTAAAAAACTTTATCACTTTTGCTACCACCGGCGTAGCTGGAAAAAAGTATGCGGGAACCAAATTTCATCGCGTGATAAAGAAGTTCATGATACAAGGTTACACATTCCTATAGGACCATGATTATAAAAAAAATTTCCTAAATGCTGCATATAAATTGTCGTTATTTATCGTCACATATATTGTAGGTGGCGACGTCGAAAACGGTGACGGCACTGGCTCCATCAGTATTTACGGCAAATATTTTGATGATGAGACCTTTGAAGTGAAGCATAGCGGACCGTTGTTTGTCAGCATGGCAAATTCTGGAAAGAACACCAACGGCTGCCAATTTTTCATCACCACTATAGCAGCACCTTGGCTAGATGATCACCATGTAGTATTTGGAAAAGTAATAAAACAAATACAATTATAATATCCGTAACGGAATTTATTTCATGCATAAAAAATATATTAAAAATGATGTATTTAATTAATAAAATTAATTATCTTATCTTATTATTATTATAAAATATATTTTGCTCTTGGCAAAATGTGTCTTTATTAATATTTTAAATAATTTTTGTTGTAGGTTGTCAGTGGTGAAGATGTGGTCTTCAAAATCGAACAGACGAAAACGGATAGCGATGATATTCCATTGGTGCCTGTAGTAATTTACAACAGTGGAACTCTCCCAACAGAACATTATACTATATCAGACAACCCTTACGAGTAATCTCTAACGTTTTTTACGCGATATTAATTTATAGCCTTTTTCAATTCTTCCATAGATTTATCGAACTATGATGTTCTATTGCTTTATTACAAATCATACGTTAGTAATGTTTGGTATTAATAATCATGTAGATAATAATTATTACAATGATTAATTAGTTGAATAATCATGTGTAAGATCGATTGTATTTTGATGTAGGTAGTTATATTTTCCGTAACGTTTAATAATACTTTATATTTTTAATTATTTCTTGTGTCTGCATGAACGAAAAGACTGCTAATTAGATATAATCACAAAAGTAGACATTGAAATTGCAATGCGCTTACACACAGATGTACACATAGATGTATATTTAAAATATATTCTTTCATGCATTATTTAACTTTTAAGCTAAATTGCGTTTGCATTTAACTAGACAAATAATCTTTTAGTGACACAGCGTTTTAAATTTACGATCCATTAATGCGACATTAAAATGCATACTTGCAGTGCATGGGCGTGGATCAAAGCGACCTGCGTACCATTGGGATTCAGCTTCTCAATACTCGCAGTTTTCCATTACATGATGAAACAGCTGGATGTTTAAGCGATAATATCTTAATATGGAAGACTGATTTAAACTGAAATTACGGATTGACGCTCTCTTTATCATCTAAAGATCTTACATTTATTTTTTTATGAAAACCTCTGTAATTATACAAAATAATTATACACATTGTATATAATTATATATATCATTTTCATAATAAAATTATATTACATGTATAGCTAATATAGGACCATAGGTATGCTTCTTCTCAATAACAAGATAAGGCACATTAGACGCCATCTCTACAAAGATCACAGCATTATAGTAGACATGGACTGCTCTATTTATCTTGTAACCAATTGATTTTACAATAAATTAATTTTAAAAAATATAACATTATATTTTCTGATCTCATGTCTGCCTATTATATCATGTAATAGCAATAGATATTTTAGAACATACAAAAAATGAATCATACGATAACGATTTATTTTATTCATAATGATGTAATATATGTATATTAAAAGCAAATTAAATAGTGCAAGAAAATATTTTTTAATTAATGATTAATGACATATTGGATAGAAGGAAAAAGAATCGCATTAGTAGACGAGATTATCGATGACGCATAAAGATTCCGCGCATGCACATTAGGTTTCGTCGCCTCATTGTACGCCAGTGAATGCGGGTATCTGGCCTAGCCTTGGCTAAGCGCCTGGATGATCAGTTAGTCGGTGGCAAACCAAACGTTACAAAACATCAGTGAACGACTGAAAACAGATGCGACGGAGAATCGACCGTTGGTCGATGCTCCGACGAGTAGTAGAGTAGTAATAGATTACACGTGGGTGTATACGAGAGCTGCCATTCATAAAATTATAATAGATACATAGTAATTAAGTTCAAAGGTATATCAGGTATTATATAGTACAAAGATATATCAGTGAAGTAGTGATTAACAGTGTATTGCTTCCGCGGAAAAGCGTGCCGGGAAGCGTATGTTGCTCTCTTCGAAGTTTGATCGACCTAAGGACAGCTGGGAGAGAACCCTTGGTAGGGGATGCTTTGAAACAGTGTGCTCGTGTGCTCGTATAAGGTACGCATTGTGTTTTCTACTGCAACGATTTATATTGATACGAAATGCTGACGTTGGAAATCTGCAGAATGTTTAGAATCTAATTTCTATTTGTTGTAACTTTTGAATAGATCTTTGTTGAAAAAAAAGAAGAATACTTGGAAAATATCATGAACCTATATGAGAAAAGATTTTTATTTAAATTAATGATTGTAGATACAATAGATTATATCAAAGAACGACTTAATAGATTGCATGATATATTTATTTGCATTAAATAAAACAGTTTGAATTTCCTTTCTTATATATTTATAAACAGGATTTCTCTGGTGGTTACAAACTAATTTTGGAGTAATAAATAGAATTTAATAAATAAATTTGTGAAATAGCTGAAGTGTACAGTAGATTGAGATTTATCCAAAGAGATTAGTCATGAAATTAAAACAATGTAGATGTAAAATTGTGATATCTCGTATAAAATTGTGTGATCACGTCTTTCTTACATTGTTTACTACAATTGTAAACGGAAGTATGAGCCATCGCGAATATATGTTGATGTCAAGGACTATAAGGATTTGTAATGTTGATTTAAATCTAGAAATAACTTTGTGAATAAAATTTCTATGAAATTTCTTGCTTGAAATCTTACGTATTTTTAATCTTCGTGTGATATTATATATTTTATATTTTATATATTTTTACATTTGTTTCTTACTAAAAACAAACCAAAAAAACTTTTGAATAGATCATAAAATATATTTAAAAAAACAACTCTTTATTAATTTTGAAAATACTAACGATTATTGTCAGTAAGGAAATAAGCACGATTCATTTATGAGGCATGATTGCATTTGCTATTTACATCATCAAATTTTATTACGTTTACCTAATATAATATGTGTGTTTTATGGAAATGATATTTGCAATTGATTAAATCTGTAATTGATAAAATATTTGAAATACATATACACTTTTATACTTGGTAATATCTACGGGGCACTACTTATCGCACAACTGAATACATAAAGCCTCCCAAGCATACATATAACTATTGCATGTAAGATAAAGAAACTCAAGGAAAATTTAACAACTTATTTGCAATTCCGCTTACTGAATTTTCCAAATAAAGATAGAAATGAATCAAGTATTTTGCTTTGTTCGAATTAATCAATAATAAATAGAATATGATATAAATTTTATCATAAAGTATCTTGTTGCTTAAAAATTAAATAATAATAGTCACTGAATTTTGTAATTTATTGGCTATTTTTACTTAATTTACGATTATGAAATGATACATGCTGCAACTATACAATAATAAATATCAATCGTTATAAGTCCTAATCATATGTTTTATTAATAAGTGTCTGTCTTCATTAAAGTTTTTCGAAACATATTTTTTTGACATAACATTTTTGATATATTTTTCTAATCACTCTAGATCATATAGAAAGAGCCAGTCTAAAATTTTATAATTGTTGAGTAATTTTTATAGAACATTTTTACAGAACATTTCTGAAATAATCTTGATAGTTTTTTATCAAAACCATAATAAAATCTAATGTAATATTTTAAGCGCAATTTATTTCTTAAACAAGATTATGTATTCTTTTGATTAACACATCTTTCTCTGAACATTGAGAGAAAGATGTAGTTGCATACAAAATAAGTTAACTCGGTATGCAACTATGCATATTTTGTTATTACAATATTCAATCATAATTTAAATCTAATTTTTCATATTCAAACGTAAATTTTTATAAAGTATATAAGAATAAGTATATAAAAAGAGAAATAACCTACAAGAAAATAATGTTAAAAATAAAAAATATATAGAATAATATCACAATGAGTTGTTTACATTTTTTTACGCAATATATATAATATAAATTTGAATAAATATTCATTTTAAATTAATTAAAAATAGTTCTTTCTAGATTCAAATAGATTATCACATTATATTTGATCAACATTATCGCATATCAGATAAAAACGATTATTTGTAATGCATAAAATCAATTGTTATGATAAATATTAGTAATGAATTCAGCAACATTATTCACTATCTACTTATTGAATTGATTAAAACACTACTATCTAGTTTGAATCCACTATTGAATCTTACTGTCTGTTTGAATCATTGATATTCAACGTATTTTTCTCGCATTCCAATGTAAAGAGATGGATTAGTCATGGATTTTATATTTTATCATGTTTTTGATAAATCAAGATAGATCATATGTTAGAAAATTTTATTCATATGTTCTATTCATATGTTCTAAAATTTTCTGACATATGATCTATCTTGATTTATCAAAAACATGATAAAATATAAAATCCATGACTAATCCATCTCTTTACATTTGAATGGAATGCGAGAAGAATACTTCGAATATCAATGATTCAAATAAACAATCAAGTTAAATAACTAATTAAAATATGACGCATATGTAAGCTACGTGTAGACATTTGAAATTACATTTGTTATTATTTGCAATTTATTTTAAATTACGTGAGTTCTTAAAAGTAGAAATTGAGAAATGTAAAGAGAAATAACATTAAATAATAATAGGTTCAATATCTTGATAAGGAAAATAATTATATCTATATATGAGTCATATAATGTATGTGCTAAAGTATATATACCTTGTCAATCTAAGTATTATTTATCACAAGACGGACGTGCTGCACCCATTCTGTCTTCCACAGGCAGTTCAATAAGTAAAGCTATTAGACATGGCTTATGGGTCTGACATTCGATAATATACTTTCTCGTCTTCACCAAAAAATTACTAACAATATATGTATATAAATTAATTATAATATTTCTTATTATTTTATAATCTTTCTTATTATTTCTTTTTATTTTTTTTTGCAAATCGAATGTACAGAAATCGAATCAAATATTGTAATGAAAGGAAATGATTAACGCTACTCTTAATTAACGCATTCATCCTTTATCTCTCATCATTTTGCTTTCTTTTTCTTTTTTTATACATAACACCATGGAAGCAGCTGTCAAGTCACATAGAATTATACAATGAAATTGATTGATATTGCTCCTACTGGAATAATATCGTCACGCAATGTCATATTTTCCCTCTTTTCACCACACACATCATTTGCGCTCACTTCTTTATACGATAAAGCGTAACTGGCGCACCTCTCAGCGTCCCTATGTAATTGTGACTCATAATTAATGTGGGCGCGCCTCTCATGACCAAAAACATACTTGCTCCTGTTCCCAGAATTGCTTAAAGCAAGTCATTTTGGGAATTTTCAGTCACTCGTCCCGACATCACAAATTATCATGCACGCAATCAAATAACATATATGTATAATACATATATGTATAATCGTTAACAATATTAAAGTCTTAAATTATAATAGTCAATCTTAAATTATATATAATAATTATCAAAAAATTATAGACAAAAATTATAATGATTATTGTCACATAAAATTAATAAGATTATTTTATGTTGTACATACAAATAATTTTAATATTTACATAATTTTAATATTTATAACAATTCAGTTTGTACTATGGCTGCATAATGCAATTATACGAGAGCAGCTAGTAATCCGACGACCTGAGTATGAGATGTTAACGAACATGAAACGTAACGTAACGTAACGAAACCGGTTTATGAAAAAGATTTCAGATCTTAAAGAGATCATAAAGTGAAAAGCGGAACTTCGGCGTTGCGTATCTTGATAATCAGGTTAAAACTGTTCAACTGCGATAGAATTTTGTCGATTCTAGAGAATTTATATCGTACCTAAAATTTTCATAAATTTTTCAAGAATATTTTTTAAAAGTTCTCGCATAAGTTTCCACTCATCCTACTCCTACTTCTTTGTTTCAGAGTGAAAGGCCATCCAGATAGTTCAAGGCATGACGAAGTACTGGCTGAACGTGGCCCTTCTCAGGGTCGTTCTACCAGTCATCTTAGCCGGATGTGAGTTTCATTCACATAACTCCTAGTATATTTTTCACTCTCGTATCTTGCAGATGATAAATAGCTTACGCGTAACATGCAAATAATAAAGTAGATAAAAAAAGCACAAAATATTTTTACACGAGATTTGCACTATTTTGCATTGCTGTTATATTTTTTGCATATTTGCTACTTTAATTAATATGCTATTGATCTCTATATTAAATATATATTCCTCGATATCCTCGATAAAAATTATAATATCGTTATTTAATAACAAAAAGAAATAAAAAAATAAATAATATAAAAAAATGTTTACTTTTATGGATTATTTTCCTACCAATATTAGTTTTTACATATTTTTCACATATATCAATTTTATTACTTTAGTCACGTCTCTATACAGATATACTCATGACGTAATATTTTATCATTCGGTTCAATATGACTCAATATGTCTTATACAATCAAAAATATTTCTAGTATAAAAAAATAAATATTTTTTACCATATTACTTATCTTTATTGAGAAACTGCTTATTATAAAACATAGTACAACTGAAATTAAATGAATATCTAATTCAATATTCATTAATATAAAAGATTATAGTTTTTTACATCACGGTAACATTTTTTGAATTATAATCATAACAAATATAATCAATAATCATGTTTATAAGAGTTTATTATCGTTATTTCTCTCTTATTATAAGAGTTTATTATCATTATTTCTCTTTCATGGATTAATAAATTTAATTAATGTGCATATATTAACAATTGATAAAACGAAAAACCTACAATGTCAGTTTATGCTTCGTAACAGAAATAAAAAAATAGATAATGAAAAATAAGAAAAATCAAAGAATTCGATTTAGATTGACTACTTACATTTTGTATAATCATATTCAGTATTATATTAATGAATAGTTATATAAATAATAGATAAAATATTTTGTATCTTTCACGATATATAATTTTCTCTGATGATTACATGTATACTATATATACAAAAAAAAGAGAAATATTGTCATTATTTATCAACTTGATACACGTTTGATCATTTGCATACATGTTATTAGCATTAACATCTACCTGTATCCCATATTGTTTAATTATTTCTATTAGAAAAGAAAAATTTGAATTATAATAAATCTCATTAATTATTTTACTTTTTTCAAAGCTTATTAACGCGTTTGCATAAAAAAAGTAAGTTTTAATAGAAGGATCTGTTTGATATTTCTAAATATGTTTTTAAGTAATTAATTTAAAATTTATAATTTGAAAATTAATATGCATATATTTTTCAAATCTCTAAAAAATTTATTTATTATTAATTTGTATAAATAAACTTTTACATTTATTAAGTAATATAATAATAAAAATAAATGCATTTTTATATAAAATATATAAAAACATAAAAACGATAATATGAAAATATATTTTCATTTCACATTGTTCCCCCACTGACATCGTGAATATATGTCAAAGCGGCTTGAGAAGTAATCTAAAATTAGGAACAACCGCTTGAACTCGTGTATCCATATCACATAAGGGCAAGGATTACTAATTTTGTCAAAACAAACATATCAAATTAAGTGTATAAAAGAAGCTCTATATTTTTTTATGAGAAATAGAATATTTATGATCTTTAATTTAAATTTGATCTTTTTTTTGAACTTAAATTTATTAAAATAAATTTTTTTGTTTTATATAAACACGATGTATTATCTATTGTGATATTGCTGATAAATTTTGATTATTTTACATAAGAATATAAGCAAAATGTTAATGCTAAAATCTAAATATCAATTTATACTATGAGTTACAGGAAATAAAATAATTTATCTGTTTTTTAAGTTTAGTTGAATTATATTTTCTTTGCATTAAATTTAAAAATACTTAACAACATTATCGAAATAATACAAAAAATCAATTACATTTATCCATCTATCCATTTGTGTGCAAAACAAATCAACATTACATAAACTAATTAAATGACATATGATATAAAGAAATTGCATGCAATATCAAATTATAATCCTTATAACAATTAATCATGGCTGGGACTTTATTTCTTAAAAATATTCCAAGACCATTAACATAAATTTCATGCGTGTAGCCTTATTTTCAATGCCGGCTTCGTGTTATAAAAGAAATTAGACTTATAAACCTTTGACCTCATTCATTAAATATAAGAATTATATGATAAAAAAGATCTTACTGACTTTAATATCTATCGTTCTTGCTAAGATCATTATCAATGTTGCACGTGAGGACTGTTGTAAGCTCAAAAATTAGTACATATTATATTTTTGACAATCGAGAATTAAATTTAATTAATATCATTGCTGCAAAGTAAAAAAACAATCAATAAAATTAACCAAATTAATCTATTTTTGATATTAATGTTTTTACATATGTATTTGCTTCAAGAGAATAGATAATAAAAAATATATAAATATTTTTTTAAATTGAAATAATTTCTTAGAAATATCGTATATAATATTAGCAACACAAGAATAATTATATATTATAAATTATCATTATAAAAAGAGAAAACTTTACAGCTCTCCTCAACGTAATACATAAAAAAATATTTAAAGAAATAAATCGCAGTAGAGATTGTTGTAACAATTAGCAGAATTTCGTGCAGAAGTTTGTGATAATTTTCGCTTGGCAGTCACACAATGTCGTTATTTAGATGCGTTGGACAAATTTAACATCTGCCACGAATAGAATGAGTAAATTGCTAAAGACGACTGGAAATAATACGATATTTTATACAAACATTTGGAAAAGTTTAAATAATACAAATTCTAGCATGTTATAACACTGAGAGTAACGAACAAAGTTACATTCATTTGTGAAACATTTTGTAACGTTCCATGATGCGAAAATAATTATTATCGGCAGACTGAAACTCCTCACAATGATTAGCATTAATTATCACATATGCGTTTGCTATACTTATATACCGGGTACTCATTAAATTAATTATAGATTATTGTACAATATGTATTCATACCCCCCACAAAAATATATTTATTTAGGATATTGATTTTTTATTTTATTAAAATATATATATATATATATATATATATGTATATATATATATATATATATATATATATATATATACACACACACACACACACACACACAATATGTACATAAGATATTAAATATTGCACATAATTTCTTAAATCAAAAAATATTAAAACATTAAAGTATTTAAAACATTTATTATAATTTAAATACGAATTAATAAAAATAAAAAATCTTTAAAACTCGGAGATTGAAATGTCACTTCCCAGAAATTGTTATTGACTGTCGAGTAATTCCCTATCTCATCTATCATAAATGACCTTTTCACAAATGTAGAAACAATTATATCAAGAGCTGCATATGCTTTTTATGTGCTATTGTATGTTTCATCGTCAGAAAAGGTTTCTTTTATAAAAATCTGAAAGTATCAAAATGTACTACATTATTTTATAATTAAAATGAGATAATATAAGTTCTGACAAAAGACCTGTGAACGTTTCTATCTTGATTGAAATAAAAAAAATGTTATTTTTAATTTTCTTTTTCTCTTTCTTTTACACAACCGTGATACAAATGTGAACTTAACATTCTATTTAATATTTTTATTCTAATCTCTAAATATGTTTTAGATTTTAAGTATTTCCTTTAGGTCTCCTCCTTTAACTTATTCTAGAACTCTTTAAAAAAGAAGTTTAAACTGCATATACATATATATATATATATATATATATATATATACATATTAAAGATTTTATTAATTATATCACAATTCTAAAAGTGGGAATGTAAATAGGAATTTTATAGAAATGGATTTCAATTTTATAGGTACAATATGGCGACCAGTGGGATTATCAATCATCTATCTAGTATTGATGCTATATTCTCCGATGGTCCCGATACCGACACACGAAACTATGGCAGGTCATACGGGAATATACCTGAAGATTTGCATCTGCTTAGGCTTTATTGTAGCCATAGCTCAGATCACCTTTCACATTGTTCTCCTGTCTTTACCTCCCTATGGATACTTTCTACAAAATTGTAAGCAACACTCTGATACAAAAATATATTATGTTATCTTTATATTTTTATAAAAGTTTAAACAATAAAATATCTATAAATTTTTTAAATAAATATATTTTTTAAATATATATATATATATATATATATATATAAAGATAAATTGAAAAGTTTCCGTCTGATCAAGAAAATTTCTTCGGGCAGAATGAGATTTACTTCTCTCAACATAGTTTTCTTTGAATTTAATACATTTATTTCATTTTTTTCTTAATCTTTCATGCCTTCGATGAAATAAGATTTGTCTAAATCGGAAAAATAGGCATTTACAAAATTGATTAGGACAAAATCCCAGATAGCCATTTTTTCAAATTTAAGAAAAGAAAGAAGTCGCTTAAGACTAAATTTGGAGAATACGGTGGATGAGAAATCATATCATAATTCATGCAATTTTGTGATATTCGATTTTCTCCATTATCGATAAATTGCAACAATTTGGTCGATTTGAAAGATTGATACAGGAAAACTAAACGTGAGAACGATCTAAAAATTTAGCAGTTGATATTTGACAGAGCTATTTACCGGATTGTTATAGAATTATGATATAAATATTGCTTTTTGTTGATCAGGCCGGAAACTTTTCATATATATATACAATTTTTTACATAAAATTTAAAAAAATATCTTTAATATCTTTAATATCAAATACTACTAAATCAATTTTATATTTTTTATACTTTCAGGCGAGTTTCTAGAGAAGCTTTTCAGACACATAGGCTTTGTCAGATTAGATAGCGCATCTGTATGGGAAATATTTTATTGGTTAACGCCAGAATTCTTAATCTTACCCACCGTACTCGCCGTATATTTTATTTGTCGTTTCCTTACACAAAAACGTAACGAAGAGGAAAATGAGCCTTCCCGTCGTGAGGAAAATAAACAGAAAAAGACGAAAGATAGCACTACAAAGGTAATCATATCTCCTTTTGAAAAAAGAGGATGTTTAATATAAAAAGAAATTATAAAATAATTATATTAATATATTTAAAATATATTATATATATATTTGCCTCATCCGAATTTTTCAATCAAAATTGCTCTAAAGGTCCTTCAATCCAAACTGCATTCTCGACATTATAATTCCGAGAAAAAAAAATCGATATCTGGCCGAAGATAACATACGCCTACGCACATTCATGATTCAGATAATCAACTTCCTGGGAGGTATCGGCACCTACGTCGTCCTAGCGTCATTGTGCTGCGTTGCGGCCTTGACACCATCGATAGAAGCGGCTTTCTACTTCCTGATGTTCCTCGGCGCCGCAACATGTTGGGCCTGCAACAAAGAACTGCAAAAGAAATTCGCCGTGATTTGCAGGATTATCATGGTTATCGTGATCGTTCACATTGTCGTATTACTCGCCTATCAAAACGAATGGCCTCAGGAAATTATTCCCGCATCCAACGCTTGGTCACGTTATCTGGCCCTGACTGCAATTTATCACACCAACTGCAGCGATCCGAGGGATGTAGAATATACAAATAATGCCGACTGGTTGATATATGGATACGTTCTGAGACTCTTCTGGCTGTATTATGTTCTTGCGTTGCAATCGCAATTTCTTAGTAAGAAACCGGTAAGTTCAGATTTTCTCAATCTAATTAGAATTATGATAATAAAAAAAATAATTATTTCTTTTAAATTGATATTATTAATCAGAGGAAAGATTAGAATATATGATATGTGAATATATAAGAATTATATTTTATTAATTGTAAGTAATATTAAAAATTGCAATATTCTTATATTTTTCGTTATTTAGATCTTTAGTGAGAGATATAGTTGTACTTTTAATGTTACAATAACATTAGAATTATTTAAATTAATATATTATCAAATTTTTTGTTTTTATATTAAAAAGAAATATTTGGATTCAAATATAAACTTTTACAGATAAAGCTACATATTAGTTTAGATCAATAAAAATTTGGTGTTGTGATTAATGGAATTTAATTAGAATAGTAATAATTAAATATCTCTCCGTACAATGTACTAATTTTTTTTAGAAATATTATATCAAACAGTATTTTCTTTCTATATTGTTTCTTTCACAATTTGTGTGGATATACTTTAAATTTAAAAACCTTACTGTTCCAAGCTATACGCTATTTGCCTAACATAATTAATCTTTCGTGGGTAAGGGATAATTAACACCGCAAATAATAGCTGATCATCTAACAAAACCTCTAAACTAACTCAAATGTAATTAAGATTTTACTAATTACACACTCGCCAAAATATATAGATTCATTATATATTTTTTTTGTTGCAAAATTACAAAGATAATATTTTTTGGAAGATTTTGTTGAAAATATCTTGCTTCTACTAACGAGGCATTACAGGCAAAGGAAACGAAGCGATTAGGTGACAAACTGGAGAATCTGGGCACTGCATTGTCTAGACACGTATCTATCAGACGCAGAACACCTTCCCAAAGATGGCAATCAGCGCGACGTAAGGCTCGTGTAAGGATTCGTCCCACATGAGCCTATTGATACATATATAATTGATGCAATATGCTTCCACATATTTTTGTAATTATGCAACATTTCTTTTTTGCTAGTTATATTTGATTTCAGATTTTATCTCGTTGATACGGCATTGTCGCAATTGTATGTTTTCTATTTCAAATCCATTTTCCAATTGTTTCAATGTTAAGTTGCCTATTTCCGTAAGAATGTCATTAACTTTTCGAAACTTTCAATATTGTCAAACTTTTAAATATATCTGTTATACATATTTAACATATTTGATTTCTTCAATTCTCATTTTCAAGTTTACGAATCATTTTTTAAATAATATTTTCACTTATTTTTCGTGATCTTATGTTATAATATTTCTCTTATGCTTGTTTATTTTGCTCCTATTAATTATCTCTAATAAACTATTTTTAATATTTTTTAAAGTATCAAACATATCTATTCAACGATGTTGCACTTACAAATGATTTTAATTCGAAAAGATATTGACATATCTCTTGCAGCTTCATATTTATCAATAATCTCCAACAATCTAAATTTCTTCTAAAAATTGATTCTATGTAAAAAAATTGTTTCGCCTATTTTAAAATACTTTCTTATTTGCTATCGCCTTCCAGATGTGCGGTTATTATTTAATGCTGAGCAAAATCTTTTCCGTTTGGATGCTGCTATGTTTAGTTTGCCATTGTTTTAGAAGCCGGTCGTAGATTCGTCGTTACCAACAATCGACGAGCGAACGCCTGTACGTATATCAATTGAATATGCATAGTTAATTAATTATTCGCTAACAGTTCACTCTTCTTACGCATGTGATACAAATAAATTCCATCAAGCAATTCGAGATTTTATTCGTGTAAATATAAATTTCATCATAAATTTCATCATAATCATCAAAAGTACATCAAAATAAATTTCGATGTACTTTTGCACGAATTGATCTCGAAAATTGTTACACGCAAGATCATTTTATTACTAACAAGATTTAATAAACATTAATAAACTGGTGAAGGTAAATGCATATTGTTATATATCCTCTGCATGAGCCTGCCATTATTAGCATGATAGATCGTTAGAAAAATATTAGTTTAGTAATAGCTAGAAAAAAAAAGACATGGCATAATATAAAGTATATTTTATAGATATAAAATAATATATTTTTTAAATTATATTTTTAATTTTTTAATTATCATATTGAAAACATTCAAAAAAGAAGTAGAACATTTTTCGTTGTATAGTTGATGCGGTTTGGATCTGGAAGAACGGGGCTTCTTCAAGATTCCACTACTGGAAGTATCATTGTCCAAGATGGTCATCAGGATGACAGCATACAAATGCAGAGTCTCAGTGAAGGTAATAATATAAATAATATAAAATAATAACATACGATAAAGTTATGTATATTCGTTTAAAAATCGTTAATTAATTATTTTGTAAAAGGAGTGCCTGATGACACACCAGGTATCATCGAGCAAATAATTATGGCAGTATTTTCCATCTTTCAATTAATAGTAAACTCATCATATCTGGCTACAAATATAATAATGATGGTAAGCATGAGAAATTAGAAAATAAAACCTATAAACAAATCAGTTGAAGAATTGTCTTATTATGTTTATCATCTTTCAGACATGGAGTATAATGTATCACAGCTGGACGACATTCGTTCTGCTTCTATGGGCATTGATTCTATGGATGGTTCCCGATAAACGTGCGTCTATGATGAAATGCTCTCCCTTCATCGTATTCTATGCAACTCTTCTACTTCTCGGACAATATGTTTATAGTATGGATTTAAATGACGAAGAATTACCAAGAGTCGTGAGCGGCGTCAAAATTTCCGAAATTGGCTTCAGCAAAGCCGATGAGCTCAGCCGTTGGCATCTGATAGTTAAAGTATATCTTTTATAAATAAAATTTATTCATTTAATCAATAAAATTTTCATTATTTAAGAATTTTATATAAATTATCAAATTATTAATATTCTTACATTTATATATTGTAGTTTATAAGTATTACATATGTACTATATGTAATATAATACTTAATGCAGAATTTTATTTTTTAATTTATAGTGTCTATTCATATCCATGTTTTGGATCACTATGAGACAATATATGGCAGAACGAAAACGACAACAGCGATCTTCCACTCTGAGGGATATGGTAGCGCCCTTACACGTGTCTGTCTCGACAGCTACAACTGCCATGAGTCACGATGAATCAGAAATCAAGAGCAAATTTATGAAAAATGTCGGGGAGCTATTGCACAATCTATTGACGAAATTCTGGATTGCCGTAGTAGCAATCATGTTGTTCATCTGTGGCATTACGGGCGAACGTATGACAGTCTTCAGAATTGTTTACATGTCGCTATTCCTCATTTTTGTAATCACATTCCAGGTATCTTATTTAATTTCTAGGTACATAGATATGTATTTAAAATTTATGTTAATGAAGATATATTATAAATAAATGACGCATGAAATTTTAGATGTCCTGGAAAGTGTGGAGAAGAATGATGTACGTATTCTGGGTGACTGTCATTGCATATTCGATTGCTATGTTAATTCTCGTTTATACTTATCAATTTCAAAATTTTCCAAAGTACTGGGAATATCTCGGTATAGACCAAGATTTGTGAGTAAGACTACTTAATTGTTATTCTAATTATTAGTCAGTTTAAATCTGTTCCAGTGAATGTATTTATTCTATTATTATTTTAGACAAATGGATATTGGATTAGAAATCTATGAGATTAAAGATCTATTCGTGAGATTGCTGACCCCAACGTTTTTCGTCATCATCACAGTGCTTCAGATTCATTATTTCCACAAGGAGTTCCTTAATGTCACTAATATCGACAGATTAGGGTGTGTAAAAGCAATATATTATATCATTATGTAATGACGATATATTTAAAATATATATATTTCATTAATTTTAGGCCTGAAAGCTCATTTAGACGTGCTAGTCTGGGATACTCGCCTAGTTTAAATATTCCAGTATCCTCACCGGCTGATGTCACACTTACTGAAAACGAAAATTATACAATGTATACATTGAAGCAGCTAAAACGTACATATGCTTATCATTTATTTCTTTTACCGATTATTATTCTAACGTCACAAAATTTTATTAAATGCTTTAAAATTCTTTTCAGATATGTCAAAATTAGAAAGAATAGCGCTATTTCGAAAAATAACGAAGCATCTAATAAATTTTTATAATTATACTTGGCTCTTTCTCGAAATTCATATGCAGAAAATTGTTTTTATTTCATTTGTACTTTTATGTATTAATGATGTAAGTGAAATCATCATAATTTATTTCGATTATAAAGCTAAATATATAAAATAAATTAATTATATAAATAAATGTGTTCTAGGTATGTGCAATAAATTTCTTCTTTATCGTTGCCGTAGTCGTGATGATCAATTTCAAAAGAAACATTCAAATAAATGCAATTAACATTATGGCTGCGATAATATCGCTTTTAGTGGTCGCCAAAATGTTGTATCAAATTCAATATATCAATCATGATAATTGGAACGTCAATTGCACTGTAAAAATTAAAATTATACTTTATTATAATAAACGAAAGAAAAATTTTTTCTTAATTTAATTTGATGTATTATCTAAATAATTTTAGAGATATGGAGAGAAAGACAATCAACAGTATACAAGCAACAATACCGTTTACAATATAGCCGAATGGTTCGGGATGAAAAAAGCGGAGCCGGGTGGACTTCCGGATCTATTGAAAGGCTATATTGGCATCGTTTCTGTAACAACTTTCAGAAAAATTATTAGAATTCGTCAATGGTTTTATCGCCATAGTAAAGGAGAATCATTGGACACTCCTCAAATAATGTTTCCGAATATCACTAGAGCAGATGCTGATAAGGGATTGCCAGAGTGCTTGAAATTCCTCTTCAACTATGGTTTCTATAAATTCGGCCTTGAAATATGCCTCATCGGAATCGTTACACTGATCGGCACAAGACTAGATTTTTACTCCGTTTTGTATAGCATGTGGCTATTATTATTTTTTTCGTTAAAGAGAAAAACCGTGGCGCGAATCTGGCCTTGTTTCAGAATTTTTGCCATTACTGTTCTACCTATTCAATATGTCATCGTTGTAGCTCCACCTACGTGGCTTTGTATAGGTAATATGATGGCAAATATAAATCTTTAGATTAAATAAAACAAATAAATAATTTATTTGTTTATTTTAGAATATCCATGGAGCGAGTCTGAGGTGATGAGGAGACTGCAAGAATGGATGTTCTTTCCTGATCCAGATTTTCCACCGAATTCTAAAAAATTGATTTGTAAGTTTTATTAGTTTTATTCTTAAAATTAATTGAATTCTTAAAATGATTTGCAATATTGTTAATGTCTTTTTTATACTCAGGCGATTTTCTCTTATTGATGATGATCGTGCGACAAAGTCTGGTCTTTCATATCGAACAACAAAGCTTACAGTCTGGCAGAGAGTTTGTAGCTGGTCATAATTACTCCGTCTTCCAAGATATGGAAAAACCAAATTTTGTGAATCCTATCAAAGATTATGTGTCTCATATTCAATCATGGCTCGATATAATCAAACGTGGTTGCATGATGAGTCTCATGTGGGTGACGTTATCCATCATGTTCTTGGCTGGAACAAAAAGAACGAATCTCTTTTCGCTGGGTTATCTCATAGGAGCATTCGTATTCCTTTGGCAAGGAAGCGACTTTTATTTGAGACCGATGAAAGTTATTTTAAAATGGTGGAACCTATTAATTGGATACAATGTAATTGTTATCTTCTTGAAAGCCGTACTTCAAGGTGTGGGTTGTGTTCTCATCAAAGACGTAAGTTTCTTTCATTTCTAAATAAATTTTGATTCTCTATTTTTTATAAAAATAGCATATTTTTTAAAATTAAATATAAAATTTAAATTAAAATAATTAAAAATGATAGTGTACATATGATAGAAAATAGTTCATAAAATTAAATATAATAAAAATAAATATAATAAAAACTAAACACATTATACATATATGTATACATATACATATGACATATTCCAAGAAGAATATATAAAAATTATTAAATTATTTTATAATACTAGCTCGAACATTCAGCCTGTTGGCTGGTGCAGTTACTTGGTATTGCATGTCTGAAAAAGTTCAAGAGCTCCAGCGAATTGCTGGATCCTGAGTGTAATGTCGCTAGAGAAGACATCGGCATGGTTTGGGATGGACTATGCCTTTGTTTCCTTTTAATGCAGAAACGACTCTTCAAAAGCTACTACTTCTTCCATATAGTCGATGAGACGAAAGCCATGAGCATTCTAGCATCTCGCGGCGCCGAACTTCTCGAAGAGCTTCATCAGAAGCGTATAGACATTCAGGAGAATGTGGAGAAAACAGTTTTAGAAAAACTGAAATTCAAAATGGATAAAATTAAGGCTAATCAGCAAAGAATACAGAAACCAGATTATAGAGAACTTCAGGCTCACAAAGTCGGTAAGGCACTCCTTTCTTGACAATAATTTTAAATAATATTTACACTAGAAAAAACTATATTTTTTATCGACAAGTAATTCTGAAAAAATATGATTGTTCTTCAATAAGGGATTGTAAGGTTCTGCCTAGATCATAAACGCAAATTAATAATCAATTAATTTCCTTTCGAAAGCCTTTAAAGCTCATATTTTGTTCTAATAACTACGAGTATCTTAACTTAAAACAGATAAGTTAAAAAATTTCTCAAGAATTGATGCTCTTTAATCTCTATATAAATATTAATCATTTTAATTCCAAATTCTATATAAATATTAATCATTTTAATTCCAAACGAATAATTTCGTAATGTCAAATTCATAAAAGTCATTACTTTCTGCAATGTCATTACCATTTCGTTGCCACACTGCGTTCATTACATGTAGCAGAGATACGATATCCAATATATCTATATCTTTAATGCGTAAAAAAGAGGGACAAGCGCCGCTGGCGAGAACTTCCAGCGTAAGCTCCTGCATATCGGGTCATACACCCCCGCAGGGATATCAGACGCCTTTGGACGAGGACGACGATGAGCCACCTCCGCTGACACCACGGGCGGCGTCCCTATTACAGGCTCCCACGCCAAATTCCGCCGTTATGACAGTCAGCCTCGAGGGCTATCTCGAGCCGACTCGTATCTCATTCGGTTCGCCGCCCAGCAGCGAGTTGAATCCTCGGGGACCGTCGCCGGACGAGACATTCCCGGTTTTCTCGCCCCCGCCTTACGATCGGGTTCCGACCGATCGATCGTTAACGTCCTCCATGCGGCACCGTCGTCAATCCAGCTTCCCAAGCGGTCCACCGTGGATGAATGAGCTGCACACCCCGCGTCAATCCATCATCTCGACGGCCTCTCGCTCCCCACATTCGCATCACACGTGTAATCGCTCATCTGCAACAATCTCCTCGTCGCCAGTGTGCCATGATGTCTTATACATATGCTTCCTCACGCCTGCATATCTAGATCTTTCACGAAATATTTTATTGTCTGATGTTCGTCTCGTCTTGCTAGGAGTGGTAGGAGTGTCCCCTTTTTTTAAGTAGTGAAATATGATACGACGATATATAATTAAAAATAATTAATATTAATGTACATAAACGTTTATATTTTCAGGTCTCTATCTATACATATCTGATCTTTTATCAGTCTCTATTATTCTTTATTTCTTTTGTCATAAATTATCTGCCATATCATTTAATAACAAATATTATATACATAATATTATATTTAATATATATAATTATTTTTATAAGATAAATGGAATTTTTTGCATCTATTAATGATTATAATTTTTCATACAGCAATCTCTTCAACGGCAGAGAATTTAATTGTGAATTACTTGGCATATATGTGACATACTGTAATATAGAATATTATGTGCTCTGTACCAATATCGCTAATTTTTTTTTACTTTTTCTATCTTTATTTTATTTTTTGTGTCTTTTTATTAGATGAACTCTATCCAGGAACACGGCCATTGTACAAAATTCGTACGCCGAAGACTAACAGAGAGGGTAAATGTATATTACAGTTATCTGTGCATCCTACCAATCGATTTTCTCATCCCAATGATCCTAGATTTATTCCACAATCTAACTTGTATATAAGATGTACAGTCTAAAAATATAAAAGCTTATATATATATATATATATATATATATATATATATATATATATATAGTTTGAAATGGCTATTGTAGTAAATTTCTTAATTATTTAATTACCTATTTACCTGCATATTTCATAATACTGCAGAAATGTAAAATAACTATAATAAATTTACAATATAATAGTTAAATGTCCTTGCACTTTCTTTTAATTATATTATCACTGCATGACGCTTTTGCTTACGTATTATTATACAAATAACTTATTATTCTTATTAAAAACCGATAATCTTTTTTAAAATTAGCCATTAGATCGGGCGACTATTACATGTTTGATGATCTGGATGACGACGATGTTACCGATTTGGTTCCTGACAGCGAAGTTGAGAAAAAGGAGAAAAAGCGTTTCCATGAACAAGAACAACGACAAAGAAGAATGACTGTTTCGGAGGTATGTATGTGAAGAATATATATGTATCAAAAATTATTCATTATTTTTATTTTTCAAAGATTCTGTATGAATTTGAGTGTGATTATGCTGTGAAATTTCGATTCAAAAAAAATTAAGGTTTTTGTGTTACATTTCACTAATCCCTTAACAAGATACTGATTCATCGAGACTTGAAAAAATTCCAAATATTACAAAAATCAATTCTAATTATTTACATTTAAACTCTTTTATTATATTTATAAGAATAGTTAATACGAATATAAAATATATAACTTATAGAAATATATAATATTTTCAAATTTTCGAAAAATATTTTTAAAGAGAGCTTTCCGATTAGACAGACCACTTTATAGAGTTGAATGGCAGATCTTTTCGTGTAAAGATCGAAAATTTTCTCCTGTATGCCTTATTATTATTATATATTATTTCTTTTTTCGCTCTAAATCTATCGATCACTGTTACCCTTGTTCTCCTTTTCTTCTCTCTTTTTCTCTCCTCGTCGAAGATAAAAGACCACGCAATACGTCCGGACCAAAATCGACGTACGAACTCGAATGTAAATATTGAATCGTGAGAACTGACGCGTAAGTCTCCTTGCAGTTGATGAACACGCTGATTAAGACAGACATTGAAATCGCGACGCACGTCGCCATGTATGGAGGGACCGAAAAGGACGCGCTGAGACTCCGACGTAGAAGCGTACCCTTGACTCGGAAGAAATCATCTATGTCCTATCTGAGCGCTCGCTCCGAGACTGATACTGCCATGGCTACCGATGTGAGACATTTCCTTTCCCTTTAAAAGGCTGCATGACCGCTGCAGGCACTTATTTGGCTATAATCGACTATATATATCGTCAACTTTTATCCTTACATAATTCTGTCTCCAAACGACTACATAAATGACAGATCTCACCATTGAATTTTAATGTGCAGTTGACTTTTGAGGGAAATTGAATTTTATATTTTTCGCAAAAAAACATAATGTCATAACATATATTATTATTAGATTCTATTATTATTAGAAATATATTATTGGATTAATTTATTATAAATACTACAATATTTTATTTTTTTCTTATTAACTCCCTCTTTTAGAAAAATCAACTGCACATTACTTCATCAAAATGTAGGATTCGATTTTTGGCCATTGCTTTCCTGTCCTGCAAAGTCCTGTTTCGCACTTCTGTGCTACATTCTTCTCTTAGTTCCTTCTATATTGCTTCTTCTTCATCGATAAAGCAATCTATTCTTCTATTCCGCCCTTGTGCACCTTTATTTTATCGATGTCTTATTATTGTTAGTCTTATCTTTCGCAAAAAATTATTAATTTGCTGTATTAACATTATATATCTTTTTCTATATAATTTTTTTTTCTCTTTAATATAATTAATATAATTTAATATAATTAATAAAAAAATCTTCTTTATATAATTTATTTAATATTATAACGTATGTTCTATAATATTTTTACTTATATTAAATTTTTTATTAAATATGATTTAATACAGTAATAAGTAAAGTAATCGGCAGCGTATTCTTCTGTAATAATGTGATTACTACATATATATATATATATATATATATATATATATATATATATATATATTTGTGCGTAGTCACCATTATTACAGAATATATATATATATATATATATATATATATATATATATATATGAGAAAGAAATATCATTAACAAGTAAAGACATTGTATAAATGCTAATAATATATAGCGTTTATATAACACTTTTACTTGTCGATGATATCTTTCCTTTCTCCTGAGCTCTCGGCTTCGTAGCAATAAATTATAAAAAGCAAAATCTTACTGTGGTCTTTGTTGTCTTCACATTGTCTAACATTGTCGTACTTAATTTTAATTAACTTGTCGTAAGTACGCAGAAATTTGACAAAATATTTCATCGTTGATACATACAAATATTGTATAAAAATCAACTTATATATATTTATATATTTTTAAATCTATTATAACTCTTGTAAAGTACGATGATTGTACGCTTATGTATAGTACGTTATTTATAATACGCTATATGTATAGTATGAAAGTACATCTATAAAAAATATAAATATAATCAATTATAAAAATAGGGATCTTGATTATGATTAAAAATATGATTAAAAATAATTTTGAAAATTATAGGATGAGAAATGTTAAAGCTCTAATACATCAACAAATAAATTTCTTAATAAAGTGTAGAAAAAATACGAAAAATTTTTTAATTTTATTTTAAATTTTTATAGGAATGTAATAATTATTCGATATCACAGTTCAATATATTTTATATGCACCTTCGCATTTCTCTCAACAGATTTAATTATTTTCAAGCTCACGATTACAATTTAAGCACTGTGTGTATGTATATTCGTGCAATATATATTCTATGATATATAAAATTTATTGTAAAATTAATTAGGGTCCCGATCGAACGAGTCTCACTTCAGTGGAAATGGAAGATAAAGAAGCCACAGACTTGGCTAAAACACCAGAAATTTCTTCAGACGAAGAAGAGGATAAATCTAAAGATAAGAAAGAAGACAAAGAAAAAGAAGAACAGAAAAAAGCTTCGTTCTTCACATATTTCAAGTTTCTTTTGGTGATGATTAACAGCACTCTAACATCGATGACAAAATATCTAAACCAATTCTCGCACGATTACAGATACATTCGTAAAGTTTTAGCAAGAGAGAAAAAAAGTCTAAAGGTATAAATCATTAGAAGAAAGAAATATATTAATTTGCACAAACAAAAAGATAGCTTGTTCGCACTATGCAGTATTTTTAATAATATTGGTGATTATTATGTATTTAGGCAAAACCAGATTTTAGAATGGGAACGCGATTAGGAATCAATCAAATGTGGCAACCAATACCTCTAATACAAGAACGGTAAGTTTGCTCTTATATATTACAAATCTTATAATTATAAAATTAAATTGCATCTTAGTTTATTATATAATTGAGAAATTGTATATATATATTTATTATTAGTAACTCTATAAAAAAAATTTAGCTTCCATAAAAAAAATTATCTTTTTGCTATACCTAAGAAAATTTATATTATTTATTATTTATAGTTATGAAATTCTGGTTTTATAGATATAGGATATTAATTAATCTTACGCTGTATTCTTCCGGCTTTTTAAACGTCAGTTTGTAAATACATAATTGCATAAATTATTTATAATTTGTGTAGCTGCTACTTGCATATATTTGTTTAAAGACAGATGCAAATTTACTTTTAAAAGATAATTTTCTGTAAATAGTTTACGCAATATAATTATACAATATATTTTTATTTTTTCTTATTTCTTTTTAATATCTTACCGCATATTCATAATCTAAGCTAGGTAGTTAAAAATATTTTTATCTATTTTTATAATTGTAACAGTAAATTGTGTCAATAAACAATAAAAAAATTGCGGTAAGAAATTAATTTGTAGTTCCTTAATGTTGCAAAGCATACTTCAAAATATTAGTTGGCATTAAAAGTATTTGTAGTTATAACTTATGCTTCCCTGATTAGAGCGTAAATTAGCAAAAAGTCTAAAATCTGGTATTTAAAAAAAGTGTAAGTATATACGAAGTAATTTTAACGATCTCAGAATTTAAAAAAGTAATATATAGATGTTAGTAGTAAATGTGCTCGCTGTAACAGATTGGCTACAAACGGCAATACTGAAGAATCACTTGATCCTGGCGAAGGTCCAAGCCAACCGTGCCAAGAAGAAAGGTAAAAGCTTTTATGTTGCTGTAAAATATGCTTAAAGTAAAATTTTAGTTTTAATAGTGTTTATGATTATATATAAAATGATTCTTTTGGCTAAACTAATACTAATCCCATTAAAAATTTTATTAGCAATTATCCATTTAATAATTAATTTTAGCAATTTCAATTAATTTCTCACCGACCTTATTTATGCATGCTTGTAAAAATTAATCAATCATCTATTCTTCGTATGATTATATCCGTATCTTTGTCTCCTAAATTTTGTTTGAAATTTTTTAGTTTATTCAAAAATTTATTTTATATCATACTTTCTATTACATTTTAAACTACCTTATTAAATTACTACATTTCATTTTTTAAAGAACGATATTCTGTTTAAAAATTGAGGTTGAACAAAACTTGAAAAAATATACATCACAATATCAAATTTGAATATTGATCTGCGACTAAAAAAAATATCCCTTAAGAATCACAAGAAATCATAAACTTGATATTGATGATGTCTCTTCTGACTTAACAGTATATCATATAGATATGATATTAAAAATGTAAGGAACAGTTTACGGATGATGGATCAAAAGTTAATCGTTGTAAGACTTGTTCTAATATTATTCCAACAAAGAAATAACAAATGTAAATCAAATTCTTTGATTCAATTCTAACGTTATATTGATCTTTTTCAATCTATTTTGTTCTTGTTTTGTTTTTTTTAAATTCCTTTATCATCATTTTCTTTCTATCCATCATTATCTATAATTGATAAAATTGATTATTATAATAGTAATATTTTTGGGTCTTGATTAGAACTTTTTGTGTTCGAAATATATTCGTACGAAATAAACGTAGAAAGAGCGTGGTGTTGTCTGTGTCAGGAAGGAGAGCTCGTTGGCAGTACCACATATCCGAATTCTGGCGCCGAGTTTGGAGCGAGGATTGGACATGTCCTCCTCCAGGTATCGAAATTGTGTCGTAAAAGCCAGGCATTTTTATGGGCTAGGCTTTCTTATTTTAGACGCACTATTTGCACGCCTGCTCTTGCATGCGGCACATCAATTAAGATCTTCCTGTATCCATTTGCCTGTCATACCTATTTTGCGTGCTATATTTTGTGAAAAATCCTTTAAAAAAATGGAATTACTTTCTGGTCCGATAAGGTCATGTAATAATTTAAAAAATTGGCTTATGAATCAGTGATTCTTTGATTATCATGCATAATGACAAAAACAAACGATGTTCACTGAAGTGAACGTCTTAATGTTTCCGAATGTCTTTAGCTCTATTTCTACAAAAATGAAATTTCTGAGCTAAGCTTTAAATGTGCTTTTGATATCAATTTTTCACAGAAGAAAGATGCATTTCTATTTTAATTTATACTATCTAAGTTTGAAGTCTGAAAATATTTTTATGTATTAGAATACAAAAGCTACACTTTTCTCTAGAATATTATTTTATATTATATTTTGATTTAAATTAAAATTTTATATTCACACACAACACATATCTTTATTTTTTGTTATTTTTCTGTTTTTTTATTAAAGAATTAATATTTTAAATTAAATAATCATACAATCAAAATACATATTTCATATAAGTAACAGATCATCTTTCTTCTGGCTTTGTGTTGAATAAATTATTTAATATTATAAAATATAATTGATTGAAAAATTTTATGTGTGCAGCACACTTTTCTCGCAAGCTTTAGCAGTCCAGCAAGATGAAGAGATTAAAGAACTTTCAGAAGTGGATCAACCACCTATCATACAGTTGGCAGCATCTATCTGGTTTGGCATCCTGGCTCATTCCAATTTACTTTGTTACTTTATGGTATTTCTTCATCAAATTAAAAACGCATCTGTACTATCGACACCATTGCCATTTATGGTATTTTTATGGGGTACTTTGACGATTCCGCGACCCTCTAAAACCTTCTGGGTAACATTGATTGCATATGTCGAAGTAAGAAATACACCAAATTAATTTCTGAATTCATAATTAATTTCTGAATATATAAGAGAGAATTAAAAATCTAAACTTTTCAGGCCATTGTCATAATAAAATGTATTTTTCAATTGGAATTGATTTCTTCATCACGAGTTCCAAACAATCCATTATATGTACCGAGAATTATGGGTGTTTTAAAGAGACCTAATTATGCTCTTTGGGATTTATTACTGCTCCTTATGTTATTCTTTCATAGGTATACAGAAAGATATACTTAATAATATATGCAAAAAATAATATAGGTAAAAATTATTTCATAAAATATAACATGTAATTTATCTATAGATTTATGTTAAAATCCTTGGGCCAATGGACTTCATCTTTTAAACAGCGGAAAATTATTCCTTCTCAATTACCTGTGCCATCGAAACTATCTTCAGACAAAGAACAAGAAGAATCTAGCACACAGAAAGAAATCGAGTATGTCACGATTATTATTAAAAAATGTTTGATTTTCAGGTCAATTTTCGATTATAAATATGTCATTTTCATTTCTTTAATATGCTATAGTTCACATGCAGAGATAAAAACATCTCAAGAACGATCTTTGAACGTTCATGCAAGGGATGATACACACGATGTTCCTCCAACAACAGACGATAACGAGAAACTTATTATTGCTCAAGGAGAAATAAATCTTCAAAGTGAATCTTTACCTAAAACAATGGATATAACGTAAGCACCAATTAATATATTTTATCTAAAAATATATATAAAAATAAATAAGTTATATACAGGGTGACCCATTTTAACTTAGGCAGCCAAATAACTCGAAAAGTAAGCACACTACGAAAAAATGGTTAGAATCAAAATTTCGTCATTTCGAGGGGGACGTACAATGACGTTAAAATCAGCCCCCCCACCCCTCCCCCTGGGCGGTGAGGGGGGGCAAGTTTGAAATCTTAAATGGAACCCCCTATTTTTCATTGCATATTCTTGTAGCTTATCTCGAGAGCTTTCCAAAACACTATAATTAAGTACCTTTTTATTAAGTACTTTTTGAGTTATAAGGCTTGAAATAATTTCTTAATTTTACATAAACCATAAAATATCTAGTAAACCATTCATTTTTCGATTATCTTACCTTCATACTTTTATACAAAATAATGAGAGGAATCAATTGGTGTAAAGAAAACACATAGTTGTTTCTAAGAAAAAATATGTAATTTGCAATTAACAATTCCATATTTTTTCTTAAAAACAACTGTATGTTTTCTTTACACCAATTGATTCCTCTCATTATTTTGTACAAAGTAAAAGTATGAAGGTAAGATAATCGAAAAATGAATGGTTTACTAGATATTTTATGGTTTATGTAAAATTAAGAAATTATTTCAAGCCTTATAACTCAAAAAGTACTTAATAAAAAGGTACTTAATTATAGTGTTTTGGAAAGCTCTCGAGATAAGCTACAAGAATATGCAATGAAAAATAGGGGGTTCCATTTAAGATTTCAAACTTGCCCCCCCTCACCGCCCAGGGGGAGGGGTGGGGAGGCTGATTTTAACGTCATTGTACGTCCCCCTTGAAATGACGAAATTTTGATTCTAACCATTTTTTCGTAGTGTGCTTATTTTTCAAGTTATTTGGCTGCCTAAGTTAAAATGGGTCACCCTGTATAAATTTCTGAGAAAAAATTTTTATATATTTATTTCTTATATACATTTCTTATATAACATCTTATTTATAATAAAGATATCAAATAGTATATTATATAATAGAAATAATATTTTAAAAAATGTTATCTTTAATCTAATCTATTATTCTTTGTAAATAGTATATTATATAATAGAAATAATATTTTAAGAAATTTTATCTTTAATCTAATCTATTATTCTTACTAAATTATATCACTTAATTTTGCAGCGTTAATAAATATTTCGGACCAATAAAAAATTTCTTTCAAATTATTATCAATCCAACAGGCAAAGAAAAAACAAATGTTTATGCTTACATGTTTCTTTGTGACTTTTTCAATTTTCTTTTGCTCATCTTCGGATTCTCCGCATTTGGAGTAAGTTTATTAAGTTACAAAATTTATAAATCTATTTATATTTATATAAATAATAATATATATATTTATATAAATAATAATATTAATTATATATTTTATGTGTGAATTATGTTTCCCAATTTTAGACTCAACAAGGCGATGGCGGAGTTACAGCTTATTTTCAAGAAAATCGAGTTCCTATGCCTTTTCTATTGATGTTGTTATTACAATTTGCTCTAATTGTTATCGATAGAGCTCTTTTTCTTAGAAAATATATTGTGGGAAAATTAATTTTTCAATACTGCTTAGTACTCGGTGTTCATTTCTGGATGTTTTTCATTTTACCGAGCGTAACAGAAAGGTAAAATATAATCTTATTATCTCTTCTCTGAACATTTATATTATATACAATATATACATTTTAATAATTGCAGACAATTTAATGATAACCTTGCGCCACAAATCTGGTATATGGTGAAGTGTTTCTATCTTTTGCTAGCAGCTTATCAATTACGACAAGGTTACCCAACTCGAATACTGGGTAACTTTCTATGCAAAAAATACAATATTGTAAATTACGTCTTATTCAAAGGGTCAGTAAAATATTCATAAGATATTCACATTTATTAAAGATAAATATAAAATCATTTTCATATTGAACTTAAAATTTATCCCGCAGGTTTATGTTGGTTCCGTTTCTTTTCGAACTTCGTGCAGTAATGGATTGGATCTGGACTGATACATCTATGACAATAATGGATTGGTTTAAGATGGAAGATATTTTTGCCAGCATTTATCAACTCAAAGTAAGTTCTATAAATATATTATAATAAACGATATTACTTTTATATACAAATACCATTTTTTCAATCTTAATTCAAATATTTACTTAAGATTTTGATAAATATTTATATAACAAATATATAATATTAATTTCTTCTTAACATATGGGAAAAGATTAAATTATGTCAATATTTTGCAAATATATTTTTAAAATTTTAATATATTTTCCATAAAATTTTAGTGCATGCGAGGAGTCGAATCAGATTTTCCTCAACCACGTGGAGAAAAGAAAAAGCAAATGAGCAAGTATTTAGTAGGTGGGAGTGCTCTCTTTTTTATAATCGGATTAATCTGGTTCCCGCTGCTCCTATTTGCACTTGGTAGTACAGTCGGCAAATCGAATTTACCTTATGATGTATCCATGAAAATAAGTATTGGCCCATACGAGCCTATCTATTCCATGTCAGCACAAGGCAGCTCTATCATCGAATATACGGAAGACCAATACAAAACTCTTACAAATATTAATTCGACAGACAGATCGGCAATCACTTTCTTCGAAAATTACATGTATTCTGATGTGGCTGCGGTAAGATTCAGCACTTCCTCGAGAAAACTTTGGAGTATCTCCCCACCCGATAAGGACAGGTTCGTTCCATTTAGAAAAAAAAATCATAGCTTCAAAATAGTTAATTTAAAATCTAGAAATATTTATAATTAATATAAACAATAGAATCTCTAATTAAGCAATGAAAAGTTAGAAATATATATTGTATATATACATGTATATATAATAAAAATTTTATAAAATATAAATTATATAAAGTATACAATAAAATATGGAATAAATTAGCCCTAACAAGATAATAAATATTTTATTATCTTCTTTGGAAAAAATAATATTAAATAATGTTGAGGAATAAAATCTCAATTATTACATAAAAACATTTAAAAGATATATTTCTCGCTCTTTTCAGATTAAAAACAGAATTAGCTTCTAATACTACGATGGTTGTTGTACATGTGGAATGGACAGTTTCAAGAAAAACAGATGCCAAAGATACTACTGGAATCACCACGACGGTTCGTGATATAAAATTGCCGCCTTTGGTGAACGGAGAGTTCAATCCTGTAAGACAAACATTAGTGGACATGCTAAATGAGGACTCTAATACAGTAAATGCAACAATAATATTCCCAAGTGCTTTTCCGAAATTTCTCAAAGTCACCGCTAGAACCACCAGCGTTGTTCCACAATTAATGCAATCGAGTCGTTCACGTAAGGATAATTAGGCGCTTAATTGGATGAGCATAATTAAAATTAATATTATGAAAAATAAAATTATTACTTATGTTTCTAGCTCAAAGAGACCTTGAAGATGAAGATGACAGTTATCTTTACAGAAACGTCAGTATTCAATTATCAACGATCAAAGATTGTTGTGCTCATCAACAATGGTGGGTGATTCATGAGACATGTATCGATCCTCTATACAAAGATGTTTTGAGCCAAGTGCCACTAAATGATTGTAATAACTATATTATGATGTTTCTGTTCAATGACAAGGCTTTCCCTAAAGAATTAAGTTTCATCAGCGGATTCGGGTAAGTTTATAATAAATATGAAAATAATCTTTGTGAGTGTATGTGTTTATTATATAATTCTACAAAAAATAACGAGAAAAAATTTTATAGATTCATTAATGATGATTGCCACATATACACACACGTTATCTAATAATATTTTATATAATATTACAATATAATATGTATAACTTACAGGATTCTTGGTTTATATACTACAGCAGTAATAGTTATAAGTCAGATGATGAGGAAAATTGTCAGTGATATGGCACCCAAGATCATGTTCGACGATTTACCATATGTTGACAGAATTCTTCGGCTTTGTTTGGATATTTATTTGGTTCGCGAAAGCGGCGACTTATGTCTCGAAGAAGATCTGTTTGCCAAATTAATCTTCCTTTATAGATCACCAGAAACACTTATCAAGTGAGATCATGACGTTATATTTATAAATTTTAGATATTATTGTAACATTAAATTTTATAATATTATTTTATATTATTATTATATTATTGCAATTTTCTGGTTATTTTTGTAATATTTTATGGTATTTTTGTAAAAAATTAAGCTAAAACATGCATATAAAAGAATTATAATATAAAAGATTTTAATAGCTGTATAAAGCAGTGATTAGACCATCATTTGTGATTTGTTGATGATACATTAACAAGAGATTTGAACACATTTTTATTTTTAGTTATTAGTTTAGCTAAGAACTGTAACATAATTGTAAAAAATTGTTTTTATTAGATGGACAAGACCACCTGAGGAAGGAGAGAGAACTGATAATGAAGATCAAGAAGAAGAAGACGAAGAGGGAGAGAGACAAGGAGAAGAAAGAAGACCAGAACCATCTCATCGCGATTGAATCATGAGAAAAAAACTGAGATTCTTAAATAATTAATGTTTTGTAATAATAAATGTTGTGTAAATGCTAATTTAATACGGAAAATTTAGAAATATGCATCTCTTCAAAATATATTTTTTTTTCTTTCTTCAAAGTATATATATTTTTTTATATAAAAGATAGGCAAGACAACATTTATTATGAAGACCATTTTTTCCAAAAATTACATTATTAAAAAATATAAATAAATAAACACTTTATTTAAAATTGCCAAAGAAATTAGATATTTCAAGTTTAAAAGACACATGAATGCACTATTTATACAATAAATTGTTCGCATATATACTAGCATACTTCTCTGTCATGAATTATTCAATTCACAAATATTTTGTTAAAAAGAGTCTCCTGAAAATAAAATTTGAAAAAGCTCAATTACTAGATTTTGCTGGAAAATCAATTATTTGACAAAGTTTCGCGAGTCTGACATTCTACAAAAATGTCGCGTTATGTATAAAAAATATAATACATTAATATAAAATGTAATAAAAAGAAGAAAAAGAAAGAGAGAGAGACAGAAGAGAGAGAGAAAAAATATCTTTGTAATATAATTTTGATTATCTCTTAATTGCAAATGATATATTTGCTAATTATAAATAATTAATGTTATAGAACAAATTTTCAACTAACGCATGCATATTATATATTCAAGTTTAAAAAAAGACAAGTTTGTCTTACAAAACACTCAGGAATTAAATATGAATCTATTTGTTGGAAAAATAACTAATTTATTGACATAAACTAATGAAGTGATGTTGTTCCTATCTTAAAGCTGTATATCAGAGTAATTATATTGCGTATAGCTACAAAAAGAGAAAATGCATATGAAAACAATATTTAGTGTTTAAATAATATGTGAAATACATCCGATCCGAAATAAAAAAAGTATAATGTAGATACAAAAAAATCTTAAAAATATATCTTTGGTCATTAATAAATAAATATATAAAATATTTATTAATTTTATCAATTTTTATTATGTTTTAAAGTTTTATTTTTGCAACATATTAACATTGATATCAAAATAAATTTTGAAAATGAAATTTAATTGTACATAAATGGAGAATGCAATTATTTTAGAATGTTTTTATCGCCAAAATTTGTGTGCTTAGTAACATCTATATGTTTTTAATATATTTAATTTAAGATATTAAAAAGATATGATCACATAGATATTGCGTGGTCATGAATCACTGATATGATGGCATTTCAATTTTTTATGTTTTTTAGTTGTGAATACATATAGCTTTGCAGTTTGGCTAATTTTTAAATCCGCATTTTATTTAATGAAAATGTATCGCAAAAAAAGAGAATGTTTATATATATACACACACAAATAATATATGTGTATAAAAATATACTAGTTTATTTAATCAAATCCTATAACATTATTTCCAACCGTATATTATAAATTTATCTTTTTTCAAATATATTTTAAAACTCAGACAGAAATGGAGAGAGAGTAGGAAAAATTATTAATTTTCAATTTCAAATATTTTCATCTCTTTAAATTTTAAATGTATTAATTCTGTAAAATATTTCAACACAATCGTAAGAATAAAAGCGTATTCTAAATTATAGGAAGAATGAAAATTCAAGATATCAAAGAAACAAAATTTTTATAAGCAAATATATAAATTCGTTTATTAAATACTTTATTATAAAAAAGGCACAGAGAACAGATTTTTGTATTAAAATATATGTGCGTTTAAATCTCAATTAATCTCTAACGATTTATATCTTATAAATTTAATATATCTTACACATATTAATAAAAATAAATAAGTTATTTGTTAACAATAATGTAATCAATATCATAGATTAATAAGTATATGTAAAAAGATTCTATTTTTATTACATTATAATATATTAATACTTAAATAGCATTATTTAAAGAAAAGCAGTTTTACCATTTTCTTACGTATTATATCTATGTTAGAAATAAAGACAAATATCATAATAATAAATGTAATAATCTCTTTTAGCAATTCTTGTAAGCAAAGAATACTTTTCCTATATAACTACAACATGCAATATGTAATATTTCTTAAAATGGTAAACAAATAAAATGCAATGTAAATATAATAATTGATACCTAGGCATAAAAAAATTATTCTACTAATTTACTTTCCATTTTTAATACAACTGTTTGGTATTATATTTATGTTAATTCATGGCACTTTAATTTTAAGGCAGCATTTTCTTGTTTTAAGAATTCTAATTTATTCTGCTGATCCTCATTCTGCACTCGCAAAGCAATCAACTCTTGCTGTAATTGCTCATTTTCTTCAATCAAGGCTTTTATTCTAGCAGAATCTTGGCAGGAATGCATTTCTTTGACCAAATCATCTGTCTGGTCCAAAAGATTTTTTATCAAGCCAGCTTGGGAGTTGATATGCAGTTCCTCCATAGCATGTAGAATTTTTGTACTTTCTTGCTTAGTATACATACTTATTAGTTCTTTAATAGCTGTAAGCAAACCAACTGGATCCTGATCTTGTATTTTGAAACCCGATTTCTTCGATTTATTGGGCAACTTTTCTTTCTCTTTAATCGAATAAGAATTAACCTCTCTGGAAGAATCTGGAGGACGATTATTCTCCTTACTGGAAGCATCAAAAGAATAATTGGAAGAATCAGGAGAACGTTTATTCTCCTTACTGGAAGTATTTAAAGAATGAATAGTTTCCTTATGCGATCCGGAACGTCGACTACGATCTTTATTTGCAACTTTATTTTCAGATATCTTAGGACCTCTTGCATCGTGTACTTTTATTTTTTGTTCTTCATTAATACTGTGCTGTTTATTCTCAATTTTTATTTTTACATCTCCAAGTTTCCCTTTACTATCAACAATTTTCTCAGCTTTTTCAATTGTTTTTACATTTACAGAAAGCTTTTTTATATTTTGATCAGATAGTTTCTTAGAATCCTTCAAAGAATCTTTACAGCCTGTAAATGTATTTGAAACAGTTATAATGGAATGTTTCTTATGTGGTTGTGTAACATTATCCCTCTCATCCTGTTCAGAGAATTCAAGTAACGGAGATGAGGTACCATGCCTAGTAGTTATATGACAATCCCTTTGCTCCTGAGATACCTTTGACTGTTTTAATAATGGTTCTAGATCTTCCAAGAAAGAATCATTCATTTTGAATATCTGTATATGGCTATGCGTGGTCTGATTTGATGTTTAAAATAAACGTACCACAGTAGCTATAAAACATATATAAAACATTAAACATAATATATAAACATAATATATTTCTTAATGTCTAACAGGTAGGAAATCCTTTTTTTTTTGCACAATTTAACATAATAATAATAAAAATATACGATATTAATATCTCTATTATAAAATAATGAAATATAACAGTAAAAAAAAATGATTTAATAAATTAATAACGTTACAAACCTGATGAATAAAAATTTATAAATTTAAGGAATTAAACAGTAAACTAGATGCAAAAATAAATATAATAAGCCTCGCACTAACCAAATGATTTAATTGCTAATGTTAACGCGACTTGAACGCAAAGGAAGCGCGCTAGTTGCAGTTAGGTTAGATTAGGTTAGAGTAAGCTTAATCAGCTGATATTGCGCGGTAAATGAAAACAAATGTTTATGGCTTGAGTTGTTTTTGACTTTGTGAAATATTATTGACTATTATTGACATTCTTACTACAGGAAATCGAATAGTCGATCATAAATCTTTTCTTCTAGCACGAATTCGTGAAAAATTAAAAGTTTCATTGATAAATCCAATATTCGTCGATGAAACTTTTCATTTTTCACGAATTCATGTTAAAAGATAAGATTCATGATCGACTTTCTAATCATATGTAAAGCAAGTAAAAAAAAATAAAAGTTGTCATACTGAATGCACACGATATATTAGCGATGAAGCTACCAGTCGACACATTCACTGCTCTCACAAGTCGCAGTGAGGAGCCTATTAATCGCAATTTGCAACCAGTAATATGAACAGGATACTCGTTGCAATTCTGAGCTTATTGTTCTTCGTATTATCTTACGAAGGTACATATGCATTCTTCAACGTATATCCGAAACTCAAAGAATATCCTCTCGCTGACGGAGAGGATCCTGGTACACCGCTTTTCCTGACACCTTTGATAGAAAATGGAGAAATTCAAGAGGCGCGAACGAAGGCTCTCGTTCAACATAAGGATATGGGCAATGTTATCAGTTACTCGGGTTATTTCACAGTTAATAAAAAATATAATTCGAATCTTTTCTTCTGGTTCTTCCCAGCTATGGTGAGCAATTCAGTAATCTTTGTGTATATATAATTATGTATGTAATTTAGTTACTATGAAAGATTTTTAAATGCTTGTGTGTAACAAGTGCTCTTTATCATATTTATACAAATTTTATAAAAACAAAGAAAGACTAAAACGATCTTCAGTAATATTTTTCTGAAATTAAATTCTTAATATCTTTCTTAATATCTTTCTAAAATTAAACTCTTCCTACTAGTAATATCTTTAAAATATTTATGTGATATCTTTAAAAATATTTTTTATTCCTGTAAACAATTATCTTATAATGATATATATGTAAGCCTATTTATATAAAGATTAAAATTGCTTCAAAGTAATTGTTTGTGTATTACAGAATAATCCAGAAACTGCACCAGTAGTTTTATGGCTACAAGGTGGACCAGGTGGGACATCCTTGGCTGGCCTTTTTTTGGAAAATGGCCCATTCATTGTAACTGCTAATAAAACTTTAAAGATGCGACAATATTCATGGACCTTGGAACACAATGTAATATATATTGATAATCCGGTTGGTACTGGTTATAGTTTTACTGATAACAAGAAGGGATATGCCAGAAATGAAGTAGAAGTAGGGAGAAATCTTCATACTGCTTTGGTACAATTTTTCCTATTATTCCCAGAGTTACAAAATAATGATTTCTTTGTCACTGGTGAGTCATATGCTGGGAAGTATGTGCCAGCAGTGTCTCATGCCATTAAAAATCATAATATCAAAGCAAAAACAAAAATTAACTTGAAAGGTCTAGCTATTGGTGATGGATTAAGTGATCCAGAAAACCAATTACAATATGGCGATTATTTGTATCAAATCGGCCTGATAGATCAAAATGGAAAGGCCGAATATCAAAAATACGAACGAAAAGCCCGTGAGTATATTAAGCAAAAAAAATTCGTCCAAGCAGATGAGATTTTTAATATACTCGTTAATTCTGATCCAAATTCTCTGTTTTATAATTTAACTGGTTTTACATATTATTATAACTACTTAAAAGCAAAAGACCATAGTAATGATTCTGATTGGATGTCCGAGTACATTCAAAGAGTTGATGTAAGATCTGCTATACATGTGGGTAGTAATAGTTTTCATTACATAGCTGACATTGTCCAAGAATATCTAATAAAAGACGAAGTGCAATCTGTAATAGGCTATTTAGAAGATCTTGTGGAACATTACAAAGTACTCGTCTATAATGGACAATTGGATATCATTGTAGCATATCCACTCACTGAGAATTATATACAGAAGATGAAGTGGTCAGGGGCATACAAATTTGCAAAAGCACCGAGAAAATTGTGGATGGTCGGAAACGATTTAGCAGGCTATGCAAAATCAGTTGACAATTTAACAGAGGTTCTTGTGCGAAATGCAGGCCATATGGTTCCTTATGATCAACCAAAATGGGCATTAGATCTAATTACCCGTTTCACACACAATAAGGGATTTTAAATGATTATCTGTTATTACAGGATACATATGTTAAAAAAGCTACAGATTTCAATAATACATATAAATAGGTTTATGTATTAAATATATCAATATAAGACGATATCTCAATAATATTTAAAATATTCCAAAAAGTTTTATGAAGTCAAAGATGAATACAATAGATTGATGTAATAAAAATTAATAAATTTATTTTTAAAAAACTATCTTAAGTATTTTCTTATTATATAATATATCATTTATACATCATAAACAATATAAAATATATAGATTTATAATAGATAATTCTATTTCTTTAATAGTTCTAAGCTCGTAACAAAGTCTGCATTCTTATATTACAATTTTTATGTGTAATAACAAGAAAAAATTACATTATGGTAAATAATTAAAATTACCTATATAATATAAAATAAAATATCAATATTATAAATATAGACATGTTATGTTCTTCTATTATTAATTTATATGAATTTAATTTCAATATAAAATGTAAAAAATGTTTCACAATAAATAAATTTATAATTTTTAACTTTTTTATTATATAATGATAAATTCTTTTTTTATTATATAATGATAAATTTTTTGTATGATATTTGACAAATTTCATCTACATTTCATTAAATTTAATCTAAAAATAAGTACAGTAATAAAAATTGATATATTATTAAAATCTATTTTTTGTTCTCCTTTTGAATATCATAATTTTACATGCTCCTATATCCTGGTTGTGACAAACTCGGGAAAATAACTTTTATTATATTATGCATAGAAAATCTTGATAATATTGCTCCTGCTAAACAACCAAACTAGTTTGACTATAGCCTATTAAATTAATTCCTTTAGGAAATGCAGCACCAGTTCGAAATTGTTATGATGAAGCTTTTTTATGGTTGTATAACATTATCTTTCTCATCATCTTTTTGTTCGGAGAACTCAAATAACAGACAAGATAGCATGCCTGCATAGTTACATGGTAACGCATTTGCCGAGTTATTTTTTTACTGTTTTAATATTGGTTCTAGATCTTCTAAGAAAGAATCATTTATTTTGAATATACCTATACAGGGTGACCCATTTTAACTTAGGCAGCCAAATAACTCGAAAAATAAGCACACTACGAAAAAATGGTTAGAATCAAAATTTCGTCATTTCGAGGGAGTCGTACAATGACGTTAAAATCAGCCCCCCCACCCCTCCCCCTGGGCGGTGAGGGGGGGCAAGTTTGAAATCTTAAATGGAACCCCCTATTTTTCATTGCATATTCTTGTAGCTTATCTCGAGAGCTTTCCAAAACACTATAATTAAGTACCTTTTTATTAAGTACTTTTTGAGTTATAAGGCTTGAAATAATTTCTTAATTTTACATAAACCATAAAATATCTAGTAAACCATTCATTTTTCGATTATCTTACCTTCATACTTTTATGTACAAAATAATGAGAGGAATCAATTGGTGTAAAGAAAACACATAGTTGTTTCTAAGAAAAAATATGTAATTTGCAATTAACAATTCCATATTTTTTCTTAAAAACAACTGTATGTTTTCTTTACACCAATTGATTCCTCTCATTATTTTGTACATAAAAGTATGAAGGTAAGATAATCGAAAAATGAATGGTTTACTAGATATTTTATGATTTATGTAAAATTAAGAAATTATTTCAAGCCTTATAACTCAAAAAGTACTTAATAAAAAGGTACTTAATTATAGTGTTTTGGAAAGCTCTCGAGATAAGCTACAAGAATATGCAATGAAAAATAGGGGGTTCCATTTAAGATTTCAAACTTGCCCCCCCTCACCGCCCAGGGGGAGGGGTGGGGGGCTGATTTTAACGTCATTGTACGTCCCCCTCGAAATGACGAAATTTTGATTCTAACCATTTTTTCGTAGTGTGCTTATTTTTCGAGTTATTTGGCTGCCTAAGTTAAAATGGGTCACCCTGTATATGGTTTTGTGTGACCGTTCGACTTAACGTTTAAACTAAAAGAGACGTATCGCAGCAGCTATAAAAACATATATAAAACATTAAACATAATACATTTCTTAATATCTTGATGGAAAAATTGTTTTTTGTGTAATTTAACATAATAATAATATTAATATCTCATATACTAATATCTTACTATTATAAAATAATGAAATATAAAGGATCGTCTACAATAGCAGTAGCAGCAGGTCGTAGCAGTCGTAAGCAAAATGAAGCAAATCCATTTCCTACGGTTACGATGTATGTTCTACGGCGGACGCGCAATCAGAATTAAGAATGCAGAATTCTTCCGTGAGAGCGTATGCGTGACCGCCGTAAAACGCACGAAATCCATAGAAAATGGATTTTATTCATTTCGCTTACGACTGCTACGACCTGCTGATACTGCCATTTGTAGACGGTTCTTAACACTAAAAAAAATGACTTAATAAATTACTAACGTTACAAAACTGATGAATAAAAATCTATAAATTTATAACGAAGTAAATAGTAAACTAGATGCAAAAATAAATATAATAAAATAATTACAATAAGCTGCGTACTAACTAATTGATTTGCTAATGCTAACGCGACTTGAACGTAAAGAAAACGTGCTAGTTGTAGTTAGGTTAAGTTAGATTAGATTAGAGTAAGCATAATTAGCTGATACTGCGCGTAAGTGAAAATTATTGTTTATGGCCCGAGTTATTTTTGACTTTGTGAAATGTTATTGACTTGACATTCTTACTACAGGAAATCGAATATAAATACAGGAAGTCGATCATAAATCTTTTCTTCTAGTATGAATTCGTGAAAAATGAAAAGTTTCATTGATAAATCCAATATTCGATGAAACTTTTCATTTTTCATGAGTTCATGTTGGAAGATAAGATTCATGATCGACTTTCTAATCATATATAAAGCAAGTAAAAAAAAAATAAAATCTGTCATACTGAATGCATATGATATATTGGCGATGAAGCTACCAGTCGACACATTCACTGCTCTCACAAGTCGCAGTGAGGAGCCTATTAATCGCAATTTGCAACCAGTAATATGAACAGGATACTCGTTGCAATTCTGAGCTTATTGTTCTTCGTATTATCTTACGAAGGTACATATGCATTCTTCAACGTATATCCGCAACTCAAAGAATATCCTCTCGCTGACGGAGAAGATCCTGGTACACCGCTTTTCCTGACACCTTTGATAGAAAATGGAGAAATTCAAGAGGCGCGAACGAAGGCTCTCGTTCAACATAAGGATATGGGCAATGTTATCAGTTACTCGGGTTATTTCACAGTTAATAAAAAATATAATTCGAATCTTTTCTTCTGGTTCTTCCCAGCTATGGTGAGCAATTCAGTAATCTTTGTGTATATATAATTATGTATGTAATTTAGTTACTATGAAAGATTTTTAAATACTTGCATGTAACAAGTGCTTTATCATATTTACACAAATTTTATAAAAACAAAGAAAGACTAAAACGATCTTCAGTAATATTTTTCTGAAATTAAATTCTTAATATCTTTCTAAAACTATACTATAACTCTTAATATCTTTCTAAAATTTTTAACATTTCTTTAGACTCTTAATATCTTTCTTAATATCTTTCTAAAATCTCTTAATATCTTTCAAAACTCTTCCTAGTAATATCTTTAAAAATATTTAAGTGATAACTTTAAAAATCTTTTTTAATCCTGTAAACAATTATCTTATAATGATATATATGTAAGTCTATTTATATAAAGATTAAAATTGCTTAAAAGTAATTGTTTGTGTATTACAGAATAATCCAGAAACTGCACCAGTAGTTTTATGGCTACAAGGTGGACCAGGTACAAGTTCAATGTTAGGACTCTTTTTTGAAAATGGCCCTTTTATTGTAACTGCTAATAAAACGTTAAAGATGCGAAAATATTCATGGAACTTGGAGCACAATGTTATATATATTGATAATCCAGTCGGTACTGGCTACAGTTTTACTCACGATAAAAAGGGTTACGCCACAAGCGCAACACAAGTAGGGAGAAATCTTAATTCTGCTTTGGTACAATTTTTCTTACTATTCCCAGAATTACAAAATAATGATTTCTTTGTCACTGGTGAGTCATATGCTGGGAAGTATGTGCCAGCAGTGTCTTATGCCATTAAAAATTATAACATCAAAGCGAAAACAAAAATTAACTTAAAAGGTTTAGCTATTGGCAATGGATTATGTGATCCAGAAATCCAATTGGTAAATAGTGATTATTTGTATCAAATCGGGTTAATAGATCAAAATGGAAAGGCCGAATATCAGAAATATGAACGAAAAGCCCGCGAATTTATTAAACAAAAAAAATTCGTCGAAGCATTCGAGATTATTAATATACTTATTTATTCTAATTCAAGCTCTCTGTTTCATAATTTAACTGGTTTTGAGTATTATTATAATTATTTAAAAGTAAAAGACGACATTAATTCTAATTGGATGTCCGAGTGGATTCAAAGAATTGATGTAAGATCTGCTATACATGTGGGTAATAATAGTTTTCAGTACAACGCTGACATTGTCAGAAAATATCTAATAGATGACATAATGCGATCTGTAATAGGCTATTTAGAAGATCTTATGGAACATTATAAAGTACTCCTCTACAGTGGACAATTGGATATTATTCTAGCATATCCACTCACTGAAAATTATATACAAAAGATGAAGTGGTCAGGAGTAGACAAATATGCAAAGGCACCAAGAAAGTTATGGAAGGTCGGAAACGAATTAGCAGGCTATGTAAAATCTGTTGATAATTTAACAGAGGTTCTTGTGCGAAATGCAGGCCATTTGGTTCCCTTTGATCAACCGAAATGGGCATTGGATTTAATTACCCGTTTCACACACAATAAGAATTTTTAAATGATTATTTGTTATATACAGAATACATATGTTAAAAAAGCTACAGATTTCAATAATACATATAAATAGGCTTATATATTAAATATATCAATATAAGGCGATATCTCAATAATATTTAAAATATTCTAAAAAGTTTTATGAAGTCAAAGATGAATACAATAGATTGATGTAATAAATATTAATAAATTTATTTTAAAAAAACGATATTAAGTATTTTCTTATTATGTAATATATCATTTATACATTATAAACAATACATATATTTATAATAGATAATCCTATTTCTTGAATAGTTCTAAGCTCGTAACAAAGTTTGCATTCTTACATTACAATT